TAAGCTTCACAACACTGAAATTGGATCCTAAATACTACCTCCTGTCTTTAATATAAGAATTCATTTGGCTTTTATTTTGTTCCTAAATATAATCTCAATTCACATTGTTTCTTATGTTTATCAATTTTTTCCAAGAATATAATAATGACAATTCTAACTAATACATTTGATTACTAAGGATATTTTAGGAAATACGATATATATTTATTGCAAATAATTAACTTAAATAATTTTTTTAATTTATTAAATTAGTCAACTAGTTTTTATATTAAAAATCAAAGATAGTATTATTTACAGGATTTTCTGTGTCACGTGCTGATACTACGAGAAGGCATGCATGTAGTCCGACATGCACGGATGAATAAAATAGGGATTTTAATTGGATGGTTCTTTCAATTGAGTATTTTCAGCCAACGTCATATAACAAATCCGATACTACTTTTCAAAAAACAATAATAAGTTTTATGCATTCATGGAAAGTGCCAAAAAAAAAGCACACACTTTCTTCACATTAAAAGCTTATAACACTAATTAATGGGAAAATGATCAAGACTGTACTTTCCCGCGTGGGAATTGGAGGCATTGTGGACTGATTGATAAGGAATATAGTTAAAAACTTAAAATCAACAAATACTATGTTTGATATTTAACTTTTCCTCCAGAATACTCATATTAATTGTTTCATAATGTGGTTGTGTATTGATGATGCTGACTTAATTAATGAGGGTAAAATAGATCTTTTTTTTAAATTAATGCAAGGGATAATAAGTAGTTACGTTGTCCCTTATATTTAAGCCAGGAAAGTTCTCTCTTTTGTCTCTTAATAAGGAGTTTTAGAGGACAGGACAGAGTATGTGTTTTCTTTTTAAATACTCCTCTAGTCCTATAAGATCTTTTTTGTAGTGTAATTTATACCACAAAGGAGTTTTATATTTAGGGCCAGAGGAGTAAAACATATCCCAATATTGAGAAAAACAGCCAAGTCTTCACGAGGGTTTAAGAGATTTGCACTTGTATCATTAAGATTCGAAGCATTGTTCATCAATCATCACAGAGAGGGCAAGCTCTTCGTATAGAGAAACAAATAGCCAATTCTGCTGGACCTTTTTAAAAAGTATAATAACAGTTCATGAGTTTGAAATTTAAACATAATTTGCCTACTTTCTTAAACAAAGGAAAACATGCGGACAAAAATATCCCTACTCAACCAGGAACTCGGTGACTTTTACTTTTTATTTTTATTCTTTTTTTGGGTAAAGGTGACTTTTAAATTTAATAGATGGATGGAGGAGCATGGTGGATGGGGCCTATGAGATAAGGGAACTGGGAGAGGCTCCACCACATAGAAATTTAATTGATCTCACATGGGATGATCACAAAACACCAATGGAGAAAGAGCGAGAGGGGAAAAATACAAAAAGAGACTTGTGGACTGAATGATGGGTCTCATGGGCCCTTGGTGGGCTCCCCATCTGGCCCGTCCTCGTGTCTCCTGGCTTTGTGTTTTTGTTGCTCTCTGCTTGTCTTTTTAGCGTTCCATGGCCCCAAGAATATGATGAGTAACTCACCCTCATTCTCCTCCCTTTTTTTTTCCAATGCACACGTATCTCTCCTTAAATGATACTATTAGATGTTAAATGTGAACATTTCTTTTAGCAGAAATTTGAATATTGATTTGTCACGTTATGAGAAACAACTCACTATCATTCATCAACATTGAAAACATCATTTAAATTGGTCATTTAATCGGTCTAAAATTTTGACTTTGACTAGTCAACTAACTGGTCAACTGATTTATTAATCTAATTGGCCATCCAAATTGGACTTTACTATCATATGCTTGACACTGGCTAACCCAAACCAATCTTAATTCACGAGATGGTCTAAATCTCAAGATTCAAACCACTTTTAATTAATAGAAAGAAAACCATAAGATTTACTCCACATTTTGTAAATGCGTTCACATTTCACTATTGAGCTTAAACTGGGAATGACTTCATTGCATATCATAATCAAACAAGAATTCCAATCATAATTCATCTTACTTATTTTATTGGTCTAAAATCTATACGCCATTCGCGCGCACAAGACAAATCCCGAGTCTCGGTTTGATAATAACAAGCTAATTAATCAAGGCGAGGGGACATTAGAACCCCAACCCCATTGATTCATTCACATTAGCTTTCAGGGCATTAATTAATCACTCCTGACTTTACACACCCAGGTCTATGAGAAGAAGCTTCTTGCTTTCTTAATGAACTGGAAAGAGCATTGGCTCTGCAGCACATATTTAATTCAATTAATTAATCATGTACTGATTGAAAGATGTGTATGGATGCTGCATTCTGTCAAAACAGGCTGTCGAGTGAGGGAAGAAAGCTAAACAAAAGAAGATGAGTCATTCAATAGATTAGTTCCAAGAGAAAGAAACCAAAACAGAGAATCAAGTTGGTTTTATTGTGTCCGTTGCTTGGGATTGCATTCACGTTGTGCTGTTTCTTGGAGTTTTGTGCGATGGGACTATATGGTAGTATTTGGTAGGAATACATAGGGCCAAACAGAAACATCGTCTTCTGTGTTCAGATCATTTTTCCTTTCAAATTCAAAAGCTCTACCATTCATTTCCTGAAACTCATACTTCTGTTAACATGAACAACGAATTTATGCAGTTAGCTGTATATATTTCAGTTTTCCCATTGTAGGCTCTAAAGAAGGCAGCATTAGACTGCATGATATCTTTACCTTTTCATTCCATTCCATATATATTGCAGCACAGGGGAAGCTATACATACCAGTCGATATTTTTTCCCCACTTAAGAATATGCCTTTCTTGGATCTATTTTGATTTTGCCGGAACTCAGAACATGTACTTAACGTGGTTTAGATCTAAATTCAATTTTGCCTCTATCCGCGTGTACCTCGGTGCGAGTTCTTTTATAATTGGAGAACTTGGATTTGGACAATGATGAAAAAGTTTAACGTTTTCTTTTATTTCAGTAAAACACATTATAAATAACTCATAAATAGGATCAGATTGAGTAGACAATTTGCTTTTTGTAAGCAAAAAGTAAGCTATGAACATCTTATCTCCCAATGAATGAAGTTACCAATACCTCTGAATTTCAATAGAAGTTTCAGCATTCTGTCGCTTGCTGGCTTTGCCGCAGCCAAATTTTTCTGTCACCCTAGAAGAATATATCTATGGGAATAGAAACGCTACTTTTAAGAACACAAACGGAAGAGTCTTTCACGGCTCGAAGTTTTTCTTTCTTTGGTAAAGAAACTTGCTCCGGATCACATATATCTCTCTCTCTCTCTCTCAGCCTGACACAGATTAAAACCTCTTATCAGAACTTTATTGGAGAGGCTGACTTGGCCTTTGTCCAGTTCTGCTTCTATTTTGATACCTCTTTTTTTTTTTCCCCCCTTTTTTCCCTGTTTAAGGTACTGTCTGGTATTAAATATAAGTATCTTTCCCAATGAGAATTTGATCCAACTCCCCTTAGTTACTTTTGATTGGCTGAGACTATTAATTCTGTCCCTTTCAATGCAGCCTGGCTTTGTTTTCTGGTCAGGATCAGCCTGACTCTATGTTTCAATGTGACTAAAACCCGCTTATTGGGATAGGCCCAATTTCTTGTTTTCTGAGGCCACGGCCCAACATCCCAAAGCAACAGGCATATTCTAATTTTCCCTAAACAATTCTCTGAATAAAATCTACGGGATTGAGTCTAACTAATAGGACTAGTTCCTCACAATATCACGAATCAAGATTTCAATCTCTACTAAAAAAAATACTCATATTTAATACCCAACGGTATTTCAAATAAGATTGCTTTTAATAGAAAGATAGTGAAAAAAAAAAATCTTGGAATCAAGGTATTCTCCAGCTTGACACCATCAAAACCAATATTTGCACGGAACCTAAAACAACCATATGAATCATAGGTTGTGAACAATATGACTTCTTATACTTTTTAAATTCATGACTTAAAAAAAAAAAAGATTTCAGATTTAATGGGTTTGATCTTCTAGATTTGCACTGAGAATAAATTCGTATAATTTTTAAGAGGCCATGAAGAGAATTTATTCGACTTATACAATAGAGGACCAACCAAAACGGCTAGTCAGTTATACGGCTATAATTTATTTCTTTTCACTGGACTTCATCTAAAATATAAAGTAGCCCAGTTTAACAATATATAAAACACGACATTTAATTTTTCTATTCTGCTCTTCTACGCAATTAATTATAGTTAATGTAATGTTCACTTTTGTCAAATGCATGTTTAGGTCATAGAAATTTTATGCATATTTAGAGGATATTTGGATGAAACCAAATCATGGTTTGAAAAATAACTTTTGAAAAATAGGCTTTGTAAAGAATAGATTTTATAAATAAAAAAATTCTGAAAAGTGAGAGTGTTTAGATAGTTATTATCAGAAACACTTTTTATATATACAAATTACTAAAAAGACATAAGTTAATATGATAATTACACAAAAGATAGATTTTATAATATATTTTAATTTGAAAGAATAAAATTGTTAATAATATATTTTTTACCAACATAATTAATAAATAATTAATGTGTATATATATTTATAAGATATAAGATTAAATATATTTATAAAAAATAATTAAAAGATGTCAAAAGTCATATTATTGTTAAAGTCTATTCTAACAGGCATAATCATATTCTCCAATTTGAATCAAAAACAGAATGAATTCAATTCTCCTAAAACCATAGTTTTGCACTCCAAAACCATGGTCTTAGATTATTTTTCCAAAATAGATATTATTTGGGTGACATTCCACCCAAACCATTGTTTTGGACACACCCAAACAGGCCCTTCATGTTATAATTATCTTTTAACTAATATTTTGGTCTGAATCATGCGGTTACATCCGACTTGCACTTTGAATCGGAGCCAGGGGAGCACATTCCAAAACATGGCACGGAACAATCAACTGAATAAAACTAATAATAAAAGCCCTGTTTGCTGTTACCCCAATTCCCACCACTCATACTTGTTCCCCATGAAAAAATGTTCACACAAAATTATAATACTACTATAAAGAACCTTGATGCAAACATAACGAAAGTGATACAAGTATCTGCAGATGGGGAAATCAGAGCCAAGTTTAGCAACAATTCTGAAGCAAGCATATACAAGGATCAGCAACCTATATTTCTCATGATGATACACACCGGCAAACGCGGGTCTCTGTAAATGACGGATGCGTATCTCTCGAGTGCCAAAAAAAATTAAAAATAAAAAAACAAAAACAAAAAGGAGAAAAAGCACCATATTCTCCGGAAAATACAAGAAATATAGGCAAGGCATGCAAACGCACCAATCAGATTCAAGGGCCCCGCGTTGATCATCATTTCTTTAGTACACTGCAAAACAAGCATGGCAAGTCAGAAATGCATCTCAAGATTTTTTTTTTTTTTTGGTTGGGGGGGTTTGTAAAAAAACGAGACAACCAAACACCATCTAAGCTACACCAACAGGTGCAGATCAAGATAAAATGAAGCTCTAAATAATGCCTCGATTTGATTAAAATTAGGAAATTTAAAGTACGTACACAGCCCAACTCATTCAGAAACCACTATTGCTCTTTCTATACAGGCGATGTTTATTAATCACAAACTATTAGTCATACAGAGCTCATAATCGATAAAACTATATTCCGATGATGACCATTTCCTAAGGCAAGAATCCTTAGACCTACATTCACTCTTAAGATGCAACTCAAAGTTCCCAAATGAAACTCTAAACATTCATCAGCCATGTTTAAATAAGAAAACTTGAAATCCAAGGGCACATGAAGCAGGAATAAAATAAATTGGGACCATAATCTATGAAAAGAGGAAAATATAAGAAAAATCAGGTGCTTGTAAAGGAGATAAAAGCCTTACTTGTACAGATAAGCAGCAATTCCAAGAATTATAATCAATAACACAATATCAATACAGAAGTTTCGACTGGATCGAAGCTGGAAAAGAACCAAAATTGAGAAGATTTAGAAAGAAACCTGGCGTTGACGAGGCTTAAAATTGAAGGATGAGAAAGATAGAAAAAGATCCAGTTAACTAACCTGATTGACCGTGTCTTTAAGTCTGACATTGGTATTCTTAAGATCAGAGGATGCCTTGTCCACCTGTGAACAAAATACATAATTCCCAAATGTCAACTTCCCAATTCCAGTTATGAAAACTTGAATTTTGAGGCCACGGAGTACTGGCAAAAATTAATTGTCCTCACCTTAGTGTCAATCTCATCCATCAATGGGACTTGTCTATCCATTTCCTGTGTTGAAAACATAAACGATTCACAAAAAATGGAGATAAAAAACTCGCGCGCGCACACAGTGAAAAGGAAAGGTAAACTAGAATAGTTTAACAGACCTCATTCATATCATGCGCCATGTTTTTCAATGTATCCAGTCCTTCTGAGATTACTTCCAAACCTTGATCCTGAAGAAAGTTGAGTTAAATTTGAAACCATTCCCAAAGTAACAATTAACATATATATCAAGTGATAGAAAAACAGGAAAAAAAAAAAATTCACTAGCTACAATTGTGAAAACCGAGAAGTCACTCGCCTGCTTCATCCTGCGCATTTCATACTCCTGCCTGAATCCACTTGATTCCTCAGTTTGCTGGAAGTATTCACTGTCAAATTGCCCATCTGTAAACAGCAAAAAATACACAAATAAAACAAAGTCCGTTCATTAACAAGTTCCACGTTGTTAACCATTTTAATTCCATAGGAGATAGACAATTTATGATACCTGAATCAAATTTAATTTCGGTACGTGAGGCAGAAGCTGCCCAGCCTCCAGTTTGCTTTGGGGCAGCTGGAGCCCCATCCGGGATAGCTTGGATCCTCTCTGGCAATGCAAGAACCAAATCATTACGTGCAGCAAATTCTTCTGGTGGAAGCCCCTTCACCTGTGAATATATCATATCATGCATCCAAACAATGTCCTAGTCAATAACTTTGAACCTATCCTAGCTACAGAAAAATACGACATAAACAGAAATGGTCACTAATAAGTAGCATCATCAGAACAGACAGATACAACAAAGAAACTGCTCATTTCGGATCTTGTACGGTTACTCGAGCGGCCAGAGCTAGAGGTGTTGAATTTATTTCTCCTAGTCTCTCATCATCAAATTTTATTCCACAACCTTCTATTAGATTACATGATAAGCTTGCTGTCAGTGTATTATAAGTTAGAACATTGTAGTCTGGTGTGGTAAATCAAGGTCCCTTTATAACTGCCGCGAAAAACAGAAATCTGCAGCGTCATCCGCATAAAGAACACTTTCGATTTTCAAATGATACTGTAACCAGCAGAAAAGTTAAATAAACAACCTTTTTGACCGCCAACCTCTGCAACTTGGGGACTTCCTCCAGCAACCGAGCCTTGGTACGACGAAGCTCCGCGTTGATTGCCACGGCAGATGCCCGATTTTTCTCCTTAGAAGCGGTTTCTGCTTTCTACAACGAATCGACTCAAGACATTGTCAGGTAAATCCGGAAGCAGCCCGAACTCAAAATTCAAATTCAAAATTAAAAGAATAATCCATAAATTAGGGCACAAATTGACCCGCAAACTCTCCACCTATATGGGCTACGAAGCATTGTCTCGGTCCAAAAAGTTCATGCAGGAAAAAGAACTCGCTAAATTCAAGTACTTCTACTTAATTTTTCTTCGTATCAAGCAGAACGAATGAAAATTAGAAAAACACCTGAAGAGCAGCCTCGATGTCGGCGTCGACGACGGCGTATAGTCGAGCAAAGGCATCGTCGCCAGAAACATTAGTATCCCTGTGCTTGTCGACGTCATATTTGTCGTACTTCTTACAGATCGAATCAACTCTAGTTAGAATGTCGATGACGCTCATGATGTTGCTTGGGACTAGAATCCAGCCCTGATCTTCGCGTTATTGTTGACAGCACACTAAAGTAACAGATCACTGGGTACAGCAAAGTTCGATCTGTCCTTCAATTGTGCCCTAGTCTGTTCCAGAATAAGCCGGGAATTATTTCAGAAGAGAAAGGCGGGGTCCCGACTACAGTTCAATACCTCTCTTCTACGAGAGTTCGTTCGTTTAGATTTCTTTGGTTTTACTCTCCGTTTATTTCCCGGGCAGGTTTTAGTTTTATTTACCATTACTATTACCATGCGTTTCACTTTCTTTCCTTCAAGTCTTCAATTTTTTTTCCCCGTTTTGTCAGCAATCAGCATTGAGTAATGACTTTGAGAGTTGAGATTTGAGAACGATTTATTAGTTTAAGAAAAAGTCTTACGGTAAAATTCTTTGGTGAGAAAGAAGGGAATAATTTTATTTTTAAAAATAGCACTGCTTGAAACCCAGTTGGCTAATTAAAAAATTTATAAAAGATAAATAAATTATTTAATGATAATATGTATTACATATTACATAATCTTTCTAAAACTTGTATATTTCATTAGACTATGTGTGGGTTTATAAATTAAACATACTAGTTTGGAAAAAATTATATATATAAATACTTTAAAATAATTTATTTATTTTTCTTAATTTTTTAAAATTAATTAATTGGATCTGATGGATCTCGCGGAGGTAGCATTTCCTACAAGTTCCGCAAAACTTACGTGCTATTGCAAGGGAAAAACCAACACTAGTACTACCTCCTCCTGTCATTAATATAAGATCATGGTTGATTTTTATTTTGGTTCTAAATATAAGATCTCAATGTACTTTATCTCTCGTATTTATATATTTTTTTCAAAATAACGCTTCTAACAATGATAGTTGTAGTTAATACACTTGATTAGTAAGGATGTTTTAGGAAAGATAATACCTAGTTAGAACAAATAACTAACTCAACTTATTTTCTTAATCTCTTCAAATTAGTTAACTGGCTCTTATAATTAAGACCGGAGGAAGTATTTTGTTGCAGGAACCTAACGAGGCCTTATGTGCGTAAGCGGACAAAAAACGGTCCAAAATGGGCTCTTTATAGCGTAATATTTTTATCCGCCTCTGACCAGCCCTGTATTCCAAAATAATACTCCTTCAATACTTAATATAAAATTTAATTATTGAGTTAATTTTAGTTCTAAATATAAAATTTATTTTTTATATTTATTAATTTGTTTCTAAATTATTTCTACAGATACTCTCTTAACTATGATCAAGTATAAGAGTGAGGGAGAATATCAAGAAAGATGATTATGATGTTTTAGAAAAAACATGTCATATTTTTTGTAATTAACTAACTTACCTAACTTTTTAAATCTAATCAAATTAATTAAATAGATCTTATATCAAAGACCGAATGAGTAATAAACAGTGGCGAATGCAAACGGACCGATCCTCTGCAATAGAATATATTTGTACACAATACATCACTTCATTGCTAGAGGCCTAGAACAATAAACACAACACGTGATTTAAAATGATTTATAAATAGTTTTTTAATTATAATTTATAAAATATAAAATAAGTATACAAGAGAAGTTTTATTTTAACTCAAATGAAAAAGTTTACAAGTAATTTTAAATGTGTGCCGAACTTGGCCAAAGAAGATTGATCAATGCAGTATGCGTCATATGGTCGATAAGGTATGAAGAATAACAATGGGCATGTGGCGAGATCAAATTATGAAACGGGTTAATGGGCGGTAAATTTAAAACGGGCCATGCGACTTTTCTTAATATGAAAACACGAGATGGAGTTTCCCCCTTTGTTTCTAACAGCTGAAAGCAGGGAGCTTCAAGATTCCACAGAGAAATCATATCTATCCAACTACCATTATCATATAGTGGAGATATAGTCTGAAGGATCACGCGAGCTTAAAAACATGTTAGTGTCGAATGAAAGAGTGCAAGGTGGGCTCTTGAACATAGAATAATGTTATTGGTTTTTAGTCACAAGCGGAACACTTTTTTCCATATGATTCGGCGTAGCCTTGTGGCACAGAAACATCCACGTCTACCTTGCCCGTCTCCGTGAAGTTTCGTATCCCTCCGGTAGCTGTAAGTGCAAGACAATGAGGAATAGCAATGACTTGTCTTCTCCAGATAACTTCAAAACAAAGTTAAGAGGAGAAGGGGGGAAAAAAGAACAGATAACAGTGGCTTTAGGCAGCAAGGTTGGAAGACGATGGTTTTACTTGCATGATAAGAATATCAGTGATTTGCTCAAAGTTCGCAATCTTGGGTTTGTGTAAGATTCTCTATCCAGTTCACGCCATAATGAGAACGCGACTTAGAGAAGAAAAATACTCGTCAGCGTTCTTGGTGATGAAATGATGAAAAAGAACGGAGCATCTTACAAACACAAGAATTCTGAACGGTGGAGATTATTGTAAATAGACGACGAAAGTCTAAATTACTCGTGTTAGCTGTACTCCGCGATATAATTTTAATGGGAGACTTTAAGGGTGACAAAGGCCATCCGAAGAAAATGACCATATTATTGTTTTTCAGTGGAACTCATGTTTTTGGGCTGTCAAGCGTCAATGACACGTGTTTGTCATCACACCGAGCTGAAGTCGTAAAATTATACTACTCCCGATCTTAATTATAAGAGTCAGTTGACTAATTTGAAGATATTAAGAAAGTAAGTTGAGTTAGTTATTTGTCCTAAATAGGTGTTGTCTTTCCTAAAATATCATTGCTAATCAAGTATATTGATTAGAACTATTATTATTAGAAGGACTATTTTGGAAAAAAAATACAAATATGAGAGACAAAGTAAATTAGGGTCTTATATTTAGGACTAAAATAAAAGTCAAACAGGACTTTATATTAAGGAGCGGAGATAGTACTATGATGTATTAACACCATTCTTTCTTTGCATATATTATTAACTATAAATGTATGGATACAGGGAATAAAAGGTGGGTAATGAGTAAAAATTAGGGGTCAAACATGTCAGCCTGCTTGGATGCGGTGGTGCCATTAATCTCATTGTAATTCGCGCGTGGCTAAACGTACATGTGGGGGCCTAATTCACAAGTGCCTGCTTATAAAAATTCTCAATTGGATAGGATTAGCCTCAAGACGCATTATTGTATTTGCATCGCTCTGCAGATGCTCACCTTCCGGTTGAGTTAGGTGCACGCATTCTGCCTTTCTTGCTTTTACTTGCGGCACCCATTCTTTCTTGCACTCGCCTTTCCCCCACTCAAAATTCCACCCCCGAACGCCCCTTAGCTTTCAGGACCCATTTGAATAAAACAGCTAAATTAAAATGACACGGCTCTATCATTTCGTGACATGTAAGCTTTTTTTTTAATAAGTAAAGTTCAATGTGAAATATTACAACTCTAGGATAACGTCAAGAGAGAGAGAAAGGCTGAGCAAGATGGAGTTTTGTATAGTAATGAGAAAAAGGAGGGAAAATAATAAAGATTTGGCACCAAAGCAATGCGGTGCCGTGAGCTCCCACTACGAATAACAGTGTATTAAATGGCGTTCTGTCTATTTGGGTTGTTTTTTGAAGGGTCAGAATTGATTCTAATCAACACGCATAATCCAAAGAGCCTAAACGGTGGCGCCACCACCATGATACGCCACTTTCTAGCGAACAATAAATTAAAAACGGTCATTTTGGGGGTTTTTTTGTTTGACCTTCCATGATGTAAAAGACAGACGGAGAGAAAGAGAGAGAAAAAGAAAGGCAAGAAAAATGGAGATGTAAAGAAAATAGTGAAATGAGTTAATACGGATTCTATTGGTATTCGGTAAGAGTGGGCAGTCCAGGGAATTTCTCATCCTCTTGTTTCTTACTTCTCTCTCTGTATCTGTCTCTCTCTCCCTCTCTACCTTCTGCGCATAATCTTGGGTGTTTGAGATTGTTACTTCACCGGCACCGGACCTTCACCGATTCACAAGGCACGTTTATCTGGATGATTACCTTTTTATAATTCTGTATGTCTTGTGCTTTGTGATTACCCGCCGATTTTTGTACGATCACGCGCTTTCTGTTCATAAGTATCTGCTGTGCATACCTGCAATCAGTTTAGTCTCAGGTTTTTATATCTGATCCTCTTGATGATCGCTTCTGATGCACCGTCTCTCCAACTCTTAATCATTGTTTAGTTTTTGCTTGTTGCCTCAGGGGAAGGTGTTCTACGTGCCCATCGCTTGTGCCCTTTTCGTTTATTTTCGTTTGTTTTTTCGTGACTTGCTTCTGGGCCTTATGATTCCGTAGTCTGCCTGATTCAGAGTTGTGGATTTCATCTGGGAGATCATATGGTTTACGACCCTTGTTTTTTTAGATATATTTGTATTTTTTAAATCTCTTTTCTCGTTATTAAGCTCGTGGAATAGATATAGACATGTATGCTGTCCGATGAGAATGGTAGAAATTAATAATGGCCCATGACTCCATATGCTCCATGTTAACATGCAACTACCCATCTTTTGTCAAAAGGGGAAACACGGCGTAGATATGTTGCGTGGTTGCTCTTTGTGAAGGAGGAATACATTCTCCTTTGCCTGTATAAATCAAGTGAATTTCAGGCCATATATGTTTCAATTTTTCCCCGTCGTCGTCATAACATTTTTATTCTGTTCTTTTGTGGTTTATCAACTTTTTAATTCAAAGGAAACTGGTTGTGTCAGCAGATGACTTGGTTTTCTTCTTCATTTTGTTGATATTGTGCCATGTGCTTCTGGCTATTTAGAACTGACTTGAAGAGTTCAAGCGTTTCGTCTCTTGCGCTTTTGCTGCGTGATGGATATAAGCTGTCTCTCTTAGTTTTTTCTTCGTGGCATGAGTGGCAGTAATCAACCGTCATTAAAATGTAGTATTGTCTCTCTAACTTTTTTCCCCTTGAAACTTTTAGGATCTAGGATTTCTTCCACCCTTTACCTGGGAATATAATAAGAAAACAATGGCAACAACAATAAAAATGGGAAAAATCTCTCCTTGTTTTTCTGACGTTTGGGGCTCTTTATAAGTGGTTCATAGTGACTCATTGGGTGCATTATTGGTTATTACTTTTATCGCCATCCATTTTTATTTATCTTTGAAGTTTAGCTAACATATCCTCAATTCTAATTGTTCATTGAGCATTGTGGTTTTGCATGTTGGAGGATTTAGAGGATATTGTCAGTCCTGGTTTTCTGTAGATTTCTTTAGAATCTATTAGGTTTAGATTGTTTTTTTTTTTATTATGCAGGTTTCTTGGTGCTGATGCTATAATTTTGCATCTTGAGTTTGAACTCAAGATCAAAACGTCTTATTATCTGCGTGTGCTGGTGAGATCTGCTTTCTTTGGAAACGTTCATTTCCTCTTTTATTTCTTGCCTGCTCTCCAAGAGCAATTTATTCTCCATGGAAGGGGATGAATTTCTTCGTTTGGTTTTGCCCAGGCATTTGCATTGTGCTGGTTATGAAAGAGGGTGAATTTCTTCATTTGGTATCTTCCTTGACATTGTCTGAACTGAATTGCAGATGGCCTTGCATGAACTTTGAATCTTTGTTTAATGGGTGGTGATAATGGAACCGATAATTCTGGCATGTTCTGTTTTCTGATCACAAGTTTGTGCGACACAAGTGTTATAAGCTAATTTCATTTAAGAAGAAGGACGTGTATCATGCCAAAGATCCTCAGTCCTCTGCCAATTGGAAGAGCTAGTCCTTGATCAACTGGGATGGGGCATTTAGATACGGTTCATCCATCTTTTAGGCTTGGACGCCTGTTTGACATGAGACAACCCAATTAATATGCCAGGGATATTGTGACAGCAGATAGGTCACATTCCAATGTTTAGAGATGCAAGACGTTGATACAGAGTGTTATGGACAATTTAGGGTGGGTGGTGGGATGGGACTCTGCAAACATCATTGCTCTAGTTCTAACTGATGTCCTGAGGTGTGAAATATGGCTGTCGATAAACCTTTATGCTAACTGCCGTATGACATGTAAGAGCTTATTGTTACATCCTTTCTAGCACTCTTGGTCTTGAATCCAACATCTATGATAACTACTGTCAAGATGATGCGACTTAGTGGGGCTGTTTTAAGGGCCGTAGCAATAGCAGACTTCATAGAGTATTCAGACTACCATGTTGGACCATTAGGGCATGTTTGACGGAGGTTGGTGTCCATTCGCTCTAAATCAATATCACAGGGCTTTTTATTACGGTGCAGTTTCTTATACCGCCAAAAGTTGGTTTCTTCAATAATTCACTATGAACTGCATTACCAAAGATGAAGGGTATGGGGCATACTTTTTACCAGAAGTAAATATCCATTGGTGCATGATGTAGACAGGAAAACTTCCCATTTTGGAAGCCCATAATATGGTTACTTTTTCTAATTGTCCTTCTCTATTTCAATTACTACTTTTGAGTTTTGATGATGAATGTGATGTGTTATAATCAATGAAGTTGGATTGAGGGATGGGGGATTCAATACCCATTAGGTAAGGTTGAGTGTTTGAACCTTATGGATGGAATAGATCAAGTTGGGAGAGTTATTTCTTAATTGGATTCAACAATGCTTGAATTTGAACTAGTTGGTACTATTGAATACCAATTAATTATACAAAGAGGAAAATAGGATGTGTTATCAGTTATTTGGAAGAGGGATTAAACGCTTCACTTGTAAATAATGGTTCAATATGCTTCTATACATGATCCTCTTTTCTCAAAACTGTTAGATTAGTTTCTTAAGCCAATAGTGGCAATCTTCTCCTAATTATTTTCCAGCATTGGCTTTGTCACACATAAATCATTGGCCACTTGTAATTGCAATGGTTCTAAGCAAGCTGTTTCTTCATGTAGTATTCTTATTTGACATGTCTTGTGCTATTATCACGTGTTATGGTTCAGGATTTATATCCCTGGTAGAGGCTTAAATTTATTTACCTTTATTGAGTTCAATTAATTAAATTCCTACAGAGCAGAGTATGTCGCAATGTTCTAATTTAATTTTACAATTTCGGAATTGGGATGATGGGAATTCGTATTTTATTATGCCTGTCCTCTTCCTAAACTTCGGTTTAAGTTTTCAAGTTTGTTTTAGAGTTGTGACTGCTGACCATATATCATATATACTATTCAGGAAGGGTATCTGTTATTCTTCCACATACTAACTGTATTTTCCAGAACTTTGCGATTAGGAGATTAATGGATGATGGTCTTGAATATAGATGTCGCTGAGTCAGAGTGCAAAATGCTTTCCTCTTTCAATTGAAAGTGGTAATCTGTGAGTAAATGACTTAAAGTGAGTGTACTTGGGAACTTTCTGATGCTTGGAGTCATAGGTTGTTCTGTAGATGACATGAATATTGCCTTCTTGGCTAATTCAATTTGCCATCCTGTTATTCGATAAGCTTTTAATTCAATGCGTGGGTCCTTATTTACTTGTTCAATCTTTTCTTTTGAATTCTTGACAGCGTGACTTGGAAGTCTCAAGCTGGATGGTCATTGTCTAGGCCATAAATTCTTTTTCCATAGAAGAGGTTAAATTGGACAATGGTCAATACCAAAGACTAATGTATGAGATATTAAGGATTTTCTCTGATGAAGTAGACATTTGGAGGTGCCAGTGGTGGTTATATTTGCAATAAATGGAACAGGAAGGTCAGACTAGATGTAATTATAATTCTAGCAGCATTTTTCATTGAATAATGAAGATGACAACATTTGTTTTATTAAACGCTAAATTTTGGTTTTCAACAATTTTGCCCCCCTTTGCCTTGGCAAGACTTATCTTACCATACACATCCTAATTTTTCTCTAGGTATTGAGACCCTGCTACGCGTGTCAATAGTTACTCTTCCTAGCCATGTCCTACTTTCAGTTTATGATAATGAGGGGGGTTCCTAATTTCTATTTTCGAAAAGGCCACCCTGCGGGAGTTGTGACATCTGACTTTACACACTCTCACCCATTGTGTGTATATGCACATTTGTTGGCTGCTTCCCCTCCTCCTCCTTCAATATCTGCGAATGACTAATAAATGTGGTTTATCCTTCAACTGGGCTTTCCCCACATAACTGCTACTTGCCCACGCGTTATGGAAGTGTTTGATTTATATTTAGCATCCAGGCAAGTGTTTGGACAGTGCACTATGGTTTTCTTCTACAATGGTTTACTCAATTTGATTGAGAAATTGATGTATAATGATTATTTGCTTGATACTGCAGGGCTATACAGTCTAAGTAGATTGTGTGGGAATTAGAAGAGTTTGTATATGATGGAGTATCTAACAAATCTTATTTCTATTCCTGGGTTGTTATTTTACATGCTGAAGTCATTATAAAGCTTCTTTCTTGCTTAAAGAAATTCTTGCGGCTTAAGAAGAATTGCATGATTGTTTAAATTTCATTTTTTTTTTCTGGGTGCAGATTGTCAGCTATTTGCCGGTCTGTCTTTAACTACGGTTTCTATCCTGATATTGCAAGTGACAGCTATGAGTCATAGGCATTTGTATAGCACATCTCAAGTGTTTGAGAGTGATCATGACCAAAATTGGAATTCTATACATACTGATCAACAGTATGTGCACCTTGGTAATGCGCTTTTATTTTCCATTGCTTCTACTCCCATTCTGTCTTCTTAGCCAGTTTTTCCTCCTTGCATGAACACAATATCACTTACAGCTGGAATCTATTGCAGGTAGAGCTAGCACTACAGAGAATGGCTCTTTTGTTTATCCTGTAGAAAATATGCCTATAGATGGCATTTCTTTTGCCTCTAATTGGAATTCTACCACAATGCCAAATGGATTTGCATCCTCAAGTCTCAATATGGAAGTACCACCTCATCAATCTGATGCATCGGGCACTACCCATGATCATTTTCTGCATTCATCAAGTGCTGCGGGCTTCTTTGCAGTTTCTGAAAATTATGCGCATCAGCCTCCTCCTCCTCCTCCTCCTCCTCCTTCTTCTTCCAATTATGATAGACAGCCATTTCATGTTGTTGATGGTGGTTTTATTGATCTTACAATGGGAAATGGAAGAGGACCGCACAAGCGGAAGAGCCCTGGAATTCCTCCGGTCTGTGAGAGAGGTAGTACAAGCAGATACGTAAGCGCTGGAAGTTCAACTGATCTTCCAATGTCTTCAGAACTACGGCAGGAGAAGCCAAATATGGATTCTCAATATTTGCCTCGGGATCAAGTTACCATGCCACTCACCTTTAGAGGCAGTGGCCTTTCAATCAGGGGTGAGGGTTCCTTGAGAAATGTGAGAAGCCGTCCTGCACTTGATTTTGAATCCAACCCGGCTAGGACCCATTTATCTGGCAACCATTCACACAGCTACTCCACTGGTCTACCCATTGACCATTCTAGCACAATGGATCTCTCTGGTCAGAGTTCTAGTACATTAGCAAGGAATTGGAGCCAAATGAGCACGTCTCATGCTCATGGCAGGGTGCTGTTACCAGGTTAGTTAGTTTATATGTTCTGGTACAGGCACATAAGCATTCCATTGGCTTGCTTCAAAACTTACGAAATCTTTGTCTTAAATGGCAGATACAAGTGCTTGTGAGACAAGTCACTTCCTTGTTGGAAGTGGCGCCAGTAATGCCTCTGTAGATGTTGGGGGTTACCATCATGAGTTTGGTACAAGCAGAAATCCTATTGTGCCTCAAAGTCTTCATAATAATCTGACTCAGACTGCTAGGGGAGTGCGAAGCAACTTTTCACAGAGGTCTGCTCCGCCTTTTAGATCATCTTCAAGCTTGCGCTTGGGACATGTGGCAACATCAGATGATGGATTGCAAGTGGTTGCCGATAGTTACTCCTCAAGACATCCAAGGCCATTAGCAACGACTGGCTGGCGGAACACTGACAGAAATGGAAGGTCAAGGATATCTAGTGATAGGTATCGCCAAGTGGCTGATGCACCTGGTCTCCATGATCGATTTTCTTCGGAGGTATCGTTGAGTCTCTTGGGAAAAACTTTTTTTTTTTGGGGGGTCATAATTAAGAGGAGGATAAATTGCCTAAGTTGGGATACCTGTTATTCACACAAGCACTACCTTAGTTAATTTGAAATGGAGAGATTAGGTGTATTAACGTTGTTTGTGCAATCTTACTGTGACATCTTTTATTGTAAGTTGACTGGTCGTCATATTTCTTATTGTCATCAAAATTGTATTTCTGGCTGTACTACCAGTGAAAGGCTCAAACTTGTTGCTGTTTTCCTTGCAGGGTTTCATGATTGTTGATCGTGGGTTGCCATATGGTTCTAGAAGTATGGTTGATCAGCATAGGGACATGAGGATGGACATAGACGACATGAGCTACGAGGTGATCTTATTGATTCCATCAGGATGTTTTCCTTGCGTTGCAAATAGAGACGAGTCCTTGTATTTTGCATGAAATTAGAGGAATAGATCACATTATTCATAACTTACGAATAATATGGCTTCTTATAGATTTTTCGTTATTATATATTGATGATTTGTATTATTTACTTATATTTGAACATTTTGAATGAATGGCTTCACCAGGAACTACTTGCCCTTGGAGAGAGGATTGGTCATGTCAACACAGGTTTGTCCGAGGATTTGATTTCAAAATGCATGACGGAGACAATATATTGTTCATCTGAGCAGAGTCAGGAGGAAGGAACTTGTGTAATCTGTTTGGTACGTTGTACTTCTTCCCCTTGGAATAAACTATATTACCTCCAATTTTTAATATAAGACCTAGTTTGACTTTCAATTTAGTTCTAAATACAAGTTTTCTATCTATTTTGTCACTCATATTTATTCATTTTTTCCAAAATAGTTTTAATAATTACATATGTTAAAGATTTCATCAAATGGCAGTTTTATCTAATACACATGATTAGTAAGAGTATTTTAAAGAAGACAACACCTATTTATTACAAATAATTAACTTAACAAATTTTTTTAATCTATTGAAATTAGTTAACTAGTTTTTATATTAATGATCGAAGGTAGTATAAAAAAGTTACAGCTCCATCATAGCTAAACTCGTTAAATGTCAACCCTGTACAAAAATGCACTTTTTGGATCATATACAAGGCATTTATGTTGGTCTGCCTACGACTGCTTCGTTTTTGTGAATGAGTTCATTACATTTGTAGGTTTAGTTGTATTTTGGATGACATTATAGTTATAGGGATGCTTACTGAGCCGAGCTGAAAAATTTACAGGAAGAATACAAGAACATGGATGATGTTGGGACGCTGAAAACTTGCCGTCACGACTACCATGTGAGCTGCATTAGAAAGTGGTTATCTATGAAGAATAAATGTCCAATCTGCAAAGCTTCTGCTCTGCCAGATGATATGAAGGATAAATAATTCATTTAGTTGTAGTTTAACATATCTCATTTTGTATATAAAAATATGGATATTCCTCTAAGCTGGGGGAGACGGTCTTTCTTTTGACATGTAATAGGGATGCTACTGAATGTCAATGCATTTGTTTCTGGCTTCAATCTCATTCTGGTGAAGCCTTGAAATCATCTGTTGCCTCGTGATTTAGTAGGGGGGTGGCAATACTGTTATCCCTGCTTTCTTTACAATGCGTTCCTTATGGGCCTTGATTTACAGTGCGTTTTGAAACCATCGCAGAATAATATAGATAACCACAGTCATAGTGCAAAATTTATAAAAGAATATAAAGAATACGATTAAATTTAAATTTTGTATAATTTAGTCAAAATAAAATTTTAATTATATGTTTAAAATTGAAATAGAACAATAACGCCCTATTAGGCTATAGAAAATTGACTTCTGTATTTCTTATTTTTTATGCAGAAGAGGGACTAATCCTGAAAATACATCAAAACTTAAATAATGAGAGGGTTAAAACAATTTTTTTCATCAGGAAGAATTCTATATTTACGTTTGCGTCAATATGAACGAAAACTGGAGTAAAATTTCCTCTTCGGTTCGTGTCGTGGAGGGCAAGTCAATAAAGATAGGCCCAATTAGATTGTTCCGTTTCAATCGAGGGCAAGCACTCGAATATTCTAGACCCATCCGTTAATACCCTCCAAACTTGACCCATTCTTTCTAGACTTTTCCGGCTCCAAATAAGGAAGAACCCTTACGCTTCGAATATCCTGTGCTATAAAAGGCGCCTCTGTCTTCCGTGCTTTCTCATCAGAAGCAGCGGCTTTCGTGAGTGCCGATCTTTCATCTATAATTCCCTCTGTGCAGTTATTGTTCTTTCTTTTTGGTTCTCAAGATGCAGATCTTCGTGAAAACTTTGACCGGCAAGACAATCACCCTCGAGGTGGAAAGCTCCGATACTATCGACAACGTGAAGGCGAAGATCCAAGATAAGGAAGGTATCCCTCCGGATCAGCAGAGGCTTATCTTCGCCGGCAAGCAGTTGGAGGACGGTCGTACTCTCGCCGACTACAATATTCAGAAGGAATCCACGCTTCACCTCGTTCTCCGATTGAGGGGCGGCATGCAGATCTTCGTCAAAACCCTAACCGGGAAGACGATCACTCTTGAGGTGGAGAGTTCGGACACCATTGATAATGTTAAAGCCAAGATCCAGGACAAGGAAGGTATTCCCCCAGATCAGCAGAGGCTAATTTTCGCTGGTAAGCAGTTAGAAGATGGCCGAACCCTAGCCGATTACAACATACAGAAAGAATCGACTCTTCATCTTGTTCTTCGATTGAGGGGTGGTATGCAAATCTTCGTCAAAACCTTGACGGGAAAGACCATCACTCTTGAGGTGGAGAGCTCCGATACGATCGATAATGTCAAAGCTAAGATCCAGGATAAGGAAGGTATTCCCCCAGACCAGCAGAGACTCATCTTTGCCGGAAAGCAATTGGAGGATGGGCGAACCCTCGCCGATTATAACATACAGAAAGAATCAACCCTTCACCTAGTCCTTCGGTTGAGGGGTGGCATGCAGATCTTTGTCAAGACCTTGACTGGGAAGACTATTACTTTGGAGGTTGAGAGTTCTGATACTATTGACAACGTGAAAGCCAAGATCCAGGATAAAGAAGGTATTCCCCCGGATCAACAGAGATTGATCTTCGCTGGTAAACAATTGGAAGACGGCCGTACACTTGCTGATTACAATATCCAGAAGGAGTCTACGCTTCACCTAGTGCTTCGTCTTCGTGGAGGAATGCAGATTTTCGTCAAGACACTCACAGGGAAAACCATCACTTTGGAAGTGGAGAGTTCCGACACTATCGACAATGTGAAGGCAAAGATTCAGGACAAGGAAGGTATCCCACCTGACCAGCAGCGTTTGATTTTCGCCGGAAAGCAATTGGAGGACGGGAGGACTCTTGCGGATTATAATATCCAGAAAGAGTCGACTCTTCATCTAGTGCTTCGTTTGCGTGGAGGTATGCAGATTTTCGTTAAGACGCTCACTGGAAAGACTATCACTTTGGAAGTCGAGAGCTCGGATACAATTGATAATGTGAAGGCGAAAATTCAAGATAAGGAGGGGATCCCGCCGGACCAACAACGTCTCATCTTCGCTGGAAAACAGCTTGAGGACGGTCGCACGCTTGCTGATTATAACATTCAGAAGGAATCTACTCTTCATCTTGTGCTTCGTCTTCGTGGTGGGGATATCTAGGGAAGTTGCTGTTGGTTTCATATTTTAGATTTGTGTCCGTGTCCGTGTCCGTGTTAATGTTGTGCAGATGTTATTCTGCGTAGTTATGGAGTCATCGGAAGTTGTTAATGCTCCGGTCATCTAAACGCGTCCTTTACAATGTTGATGTTTTCTATTTGAATAAATGAATGCTTACTCTCAGTATAATGTTTTTACTTGGTTTCTGCATGAAGTGATGGATTTCATAATTGAATAACCCTGTTGCGGGGTACGTATGATACAGAGAACTGTTCTCGCAAGTTGATTGGGGAATGCCTTGCTCTTTCGTCTTTTAAATTTTTGCTTTTACATTGCAAATCCCAGCTGAACACCTATTCTCGAAATTGGAGTCTTTGGATCACAGCTTGAAATATTTAGGGTGTGTTTGGATAGAATCCAAACCATGGTTTCAGAAGTGTTTTTACGGATTACGAAGTAAATATGTGGAGGAGATTATCTCGCTTTGCGGAAAAGTGCTTCTGAAACCACGATTTGAGGATACCCAAACAGATCCTTAGACGTGGTTCAGTAGGTGCGAGGTTCCACTTAAGGGGTGTTTGGGATTGAGAGAAAGTGTTTTTACTTTCCGAGATAAATTTTTTACATATGCTGTCACTTGTATACCGTAAATCCAATCACCTTTTTAGTCCGCTGAATCTTCAGACTTTTAGTGCTTCATTCGAAGAGAGCGATTTATGCATTTGTACAAGTTAAAACTAATGGCTCCTTTCTCGCGAAACCTCTGGTCTTTGCGGCGGCGCAGTGAATTTAATTCCGCTCTATGGTGTTTCGTTCGTTCTCCCGCATACTTGTATTCGACACAGAACCATTACCATTGCAACGGAGTTGTTGCCGAGGAATGATGAAGGTCTAGAGCTGTAGTTGTTAGGAATTAGGATTAACCCTTGTAAATTTGGGCACCTTGCTTTTGGGTTCGGCTTTGTGTCGAGGTAATGTACACATCCTCCGGCGTGGCTAGTGTACCGATGCAGGCTCATTAACGACTTTCTAAGTTCGTCCATAGAGAGCATTGGCTGTTGTAAGGATGTTTCCTGGGTCATGTTTCTCAGTCAGCCACAACAACTTTGATTTTCAAGATATGTTGAACTGTTATTCGAGAAAGGCTTTAATGTTCTTAGTTTTTGTTCGGAGCTGTTTATTGTAAGCATGTTCATGAGAATTGAAACCGCTCTCAAACAAACTTCCAATTGTCACAAGCTACAGCACTTGTGCCTCTCAAGGATTTTGCGAGTGTCCTCTGAGTTTCGTGGCGATTACTTGTTTGCTTTTAAATGTGGTGCGTACTGCGGGAATGGTTCTCTTCCAATTTCTTGCGTCTCTGGACTGTCCCGATCTGGTAATGCAGATCTCGCCTTACATTCTCTCTTGGCCAGTGCTGAAAACAAAGTGCTTATGCAAGTGTTCCAATTAAGCATCATGTAATTATTGTTCAGTTCAGGCTTTGATTGCCAAACTTAGCGGAGATGGTTCTTAAAAGAGGGTAAGTTCTATTGTTTGTCCAAGTGACTGCCTGCTTTTAGCCGTGCGGAATTTTTCTTACTACTCGCTCCGCAATAACTCTATTCGTGGTATTCCTCTCTTTATGTTTTTTCTTTTTTTGGTCAGACTCTTTATGTTAAAGAAAGATATGAGTTGAGGAATCATATGATCTGATCAAGCATACAATTAGGCGAAAGCTGAATCCATCGAAGGTATCGTTCGTTTGGGTTACAATAAGTTGTTATGGGTGCAGAATTGTGAATTCAGAAGCTCCATTCACCCGACTGAACCTGACATGCTTCATCTTAATGTATATTTCTCCCTCTTTCTAAAGTTGCTACGCCTTCTACTTTTTATGCATTACCCATGTCGTCAGTACCTGAATTCTGATTTGGATTATCATATTTCAGGAGCAAAGCATTGGAGGGAGGATGAGAGAGGAGGAGGAAGTGAGAATAATTTGGAGTCTTGGAGCTTACAATGGAGCCAAACAAAAGCAGATGCCCACTGCCAGCGACTGGAAGATACAGGAGCAATGGCGGTAAGGTCATGATGATCCATCCAGTGCCTGCCTGCCCTATCCTACCAGAAATGTCAAATCTGAGAAATAAAATAAGTACAAAATCTGAGAAATAAAATAAGTACAAAATCTGAGTTGAGAGCACAGGGGTAGCTTTGGAAACTCATAGGACCATAAATGCTTTCGATTTGTGGTGTTAACTGCCCTGGAAGCTCTCACATTATGATGCTGAATATCTTTTCCAGTTGGAAAAGTTCAGCTTCACTGCTCCGGAGTAAAAGTGGATAAAATTTTTCCTTAGAATCTGTGACAAGTGTAGAACCAAGTTAACATTTTAAGTTCTGTTAGCTTTTTTGTTTTTAACCTGAAATAAGTTCTGTTAGTTAAGTTGTATTAGTTTGTTATATTTTCAGTTATACAGACTCCTCATGTTCATATATACCAGATTATTCATTAATGAGAAGCCAAGTCAAATTTTCCATGCAGTGTCATATTAAATCCATGAACCGGTATGCATTGACATCCTAAAATCTAGAAACTTTCGTGAACTAAATTGATAGCAATGCTCTTAGCTCAAACCAAATCAATTTTAGAGTATCTAAAAAGAAATTTATTTATTTTTTTCTCCCTACCCTGTAGAGGAACGAGGATCATCCAAAAGCACGGGATCTTATTGTCAAATTCACCGACCAATGAGCATTCACCTTGGATTTATCCTATCCACGCTACATCCGAAGGATGAAAACTGGCACAGACAAAACGAGCAGAAGTTTTTTGTCATTGTACAGGACTCATTATTACTTGACTGAGGCCTTAAAGCCATGTATTGCATCCCGGTGAAGAGAATCATAGCCATTAACTTGGGCACCTTTGTCCAAGTTGATAAGTATGAGCGGTGAATCAAAAGCACGGGAACAGGTTTGAACCACTAGGTTAAGCATATTCCCATCCCTTACCACTACCACAAGACTACACCGATGTCTTCTACTGTATCTCTCTGATTAATCATAACCTTTCATGGCTGATATCATTCATTGACTTTCTTTTCTTTCTGGCTTCTTGAAGTCTTTGGCCGACCATTTCCTGCCATCCAGTTAGTTGATAATTTCCTTGCCCACCTCTTGCTATTGATGGGTTGACCCAACTTAATATGCCTAATTGGTCATTCTACTCAGCATAGAAATTAAGAAATTGATATAAAGACAGAGAATGCAGAAACAGAGTTCATAGGCGGCTGTATTGAATTTGCACGAGATATGTTCATTCGTAACTTCCTAATTGTGTGTTCATCAAGCATATAATGAGAGAGAGATGGTGCAAAGCTTAATTCCTTTTTTCTGTTTTTAATTATGTACTTCACTGCTTCAGATTTTGTTTTTGAGTCTCCAGGAAATAAGAAGACAGGTAGGGTCAGGAAAGTTCTGAGCGGAATAGGAACTTGATGGTAGTGTGAGTTATGGTAGTTAAAGCCTTGTCGCACATAATTAAAGGTGGGGAGAAGTAAAAGAAGGAGAAGCATAAAGAGAATGGAAGAAGTGGGACCCACAATGATGGGTTGCTCGGTGGATGTTCAACGGCACAAGAAATCAAACGTCTAATAAGATGTTCCTATTCCTATTTTGTCTTCCAACCTCACTCCAAAATCCTTATTAATGTGATTTGTGCGTTCGCAGTAAACAGCAGCTCATTTATCTATTTATTTATTTTGGAGTTATAGGAAGCAACAATGATTCTGTATGTGGTCACTTGAGTCCCATTCCTACTTGTCGTTTCTCTGTTTACGTGATACAAGTATACAAAAATTACCAATCTCGTTTCCAACGTGTAGATTGGAATACTACCCCCTCCCTTGTCAAATCTAAAGCACAGCTGACGCAGATTTTTTAAGAAATAAAGGACAAATATGAGACACAACACAGGGTTTTATTAATATTTGATAATATTTTGTTTTAAAATGTCTTCAGAAATAATCAAAACTACTGAACGGACCGTGACACTTCTTTTTTTCCCATGCAATTGAAATGGTGGAGAAAATGGGGAAATTTTTTTTTAAAACTAATTTTTAATGATATTTATTGACTTGTGTAAAAGATGTGGGTATATAATTTTCTCCTTCTCCAACCTCGCATCCAAAAGCAGCTCTAAACAAAATGTGTGGTTGGGAAGCTTGCGGCAGTGTTCTCTGCGGTTATAATTACAACACAATCGTGAATCTGTTTAATAATCAAATCCACAAACGTTAACGGCAGTGAGGAATGACATGGCACTCCAACTTAAGAGGCCATTGTCTTCCTAATTAACTGCATTTAACTCCTTTTTATATTCAATCTCCTTCTCCTTCATCACCAAGTGGCATTTAATTTTACTTTGATGAAAATGGATGGCCAACAAGTTTTCATTGTCAAGGCTTTCCATTTCACCAAATTAAAGAACAGCTCAATTTTTCAGCTCATTAGTTTTTTTTTTTTTTATCATTCAACGCTGGCAATCTAATAACATCATTCCTTCATTATTTAATTACCGGATGAAATTTAGAAACTTGAAATATACATATAGTACTAAATACTAATCAACCAACAAAACACTATTGGACTTCTTTGTCACGAGAAATTGAGTCCGTGATTTTTCTCTGGTATATTAAGAAAAGAAAACTTCTATACAATTATTTATAATCCGATCATTAGGTAGGTTCTCTAATCAAAACACGGACAGTGTATGATTTTTCAATGAAAACGTGAATGGTTTTTTGCAGCCAACGAATCTATAATCAATATATATATACACCGGTTAATTATTGTTGGAATTTGAAACTCGATTAGTTAGAAGAATCAGTACGGGAAAAATGTAGAAGTATATAGTCGAACAACAAATCTAAACATGATGCAGTTTTATTTGGTGAATATCAGTTTCTGATAGAGAAACCAGATTCTCCACATACATGTTATAATGTAGAATAAGTTAAAATTCAATAAATCGGTTAGTGTAAATTAATATCGTCACACAAATAATGATTCCTTGGATGGTGGATAAAGCTGTGTTATCTATATAAATATATATATAAACTGGAAAGAGTTGGGGCAGAAGCAGATAACACAGTGGCCACCATGCGTGGTTGTGAAGCAGACGGGCCAAAGGTCAAAGAAAGTTGGCTAGTGGACACGCCCCAACGCTGCGCCTAGCTTCCCTCTCCACTACCTGCACTTCCTATATAAGTCTCTCACTTTCCCACATTTCTTACCATCTTCTCTCCCTCTCACTGCATACATACATACATACATATATATATATATGGCCAACTCTTCATCTCGCTTCTCCTTCTTCCTTCTCTTCCTCCTCCTCCACTTCTATCTGGGTATGCCATTTCTTTTTCTCCTTCCCCGTTTTGGTTGCTAACCTTAATGTGTGGTTTTTGGTAATTTTTAACGTGAAACCAAAACATTCTTTTAATCCTACATATGATTAGAGTACTGGGTTATATATTATACATACGTCATGCTTATTTGAATTTGGTAAAATTGAAGAGGTTTGGATTTACATTTATCCGTCTGTATGTGTGAATTCAATTAAAACCAAGAGTTGGCGTTGTCCACTACTTGTATGAAAAATATGAAAATGATTATAATATATAATGAAGGGAGAAGCCAACTGGAGGCGAACTACTACTCCAAGAGCTGCCCAAGAGCCGAAGAGATCATTAAGGAGCAAGTCACACAGCTTTACCACAAACATGGCAATACCGCCGTTTCCTGGCTCAGAAACCTCTTCCACGATTGCATGAAGGTCATTGTTTCCTATATATAATTTCGCTCCATCGATCCTGCTAGTATTTTATGTATTTAATTAATTAATTAATTAGTGCAGTCATGTGATGCATCCCTGCTGTTAACAAGCAAGAACGACGTCGTGTCGGAGCAGGCGTCGTCCAGAAGCTTTGGCATGAGGAACTTCAAGTACGTCAACACCATCAAAGAAGCTCTCGAGCAAGAATGCCCCTCCACTGTCTCTTGCGCTGACATCGTTGCTCTTTCTGCCAGAGATGGCATTGTCCTGGTATAACACCACTATTCCTACACACACACACACACACACACATATTCCTCCTGCCTGTAAACATCTTGATAGATATTTAATCAAACAGTTGGGAGGCCCCAGCATTGAGATGAAGACGGGAAGAAGAGATAGCAAGCAAAGCCATTTACCAGTGGAAGATTTCATCCCTAACCATAACGACTCCATTTCCTTAGTGCTCTCTCGGTTTCAATCTATCGGCATTGACGTTGAAGCCACGGTCGCTCTTTTAGGTATTTTCCCACATCACGTCCATTATACACACACACATATATATAGTAATAATTTTCGATCGATATAGTCACACGTGAGTTAATCTTACGTGGGCCCAACTCAACATACTGGTCTTCGATCGTGAAGGTCATCGATGTTTGTCAAACATTTTCAGGCGGTCACTCGGTGGGGAGAGTTCATTGCGTGAATATGGTGGATAGGCTCTACCCGACCGTGGATCCGACGTTGGACCCTGAACACGCGGAGTACCTGAAACGCAGGTGTCCGACTCCGAACCCGGATCCGAAGGCTGTTCTGTATTCGAGGAACGACCTCGACACTCCCATGATCATTGATAACCAATACTACAAGCATATTTTGGCGCACAAGGGTCTTCTTCACGTGGATGCGGAGCTGGCCAGTGATCCCAGAACCTCGCCTTTCGTCCAGAACATGGCTTCTGATAACGAATATTTCCTCCAACAATTCTCCAGAGCCATTCTTATGTTGTCGGAGGCCGATCCTCTCACCGGCGATAATGGTGAAATCAGGAAGGATTGCCGCTACGTCAATCCCAATTAGATATTGCACCACACACACCCATCTCCAATCCTTGTATTTTGTATCCACTAAACCCAGTGCCTAAAATCTAATAAAATCACATGCTTGCCTTCTCATGAATCCTAGTTAATTAGCAACCCACACAGCTATTGGGCCTTTCCTCTTCTCTCATTGTTTTAAAATTGGCGTGGTTCTCTTTTGGAAGCCTTTCTTATGAACTAAGGATTAGAAGCTAGTTGATTGATTATGAATTAAAGAAGCGTTTGAATCTAGAGGGTTTTCCGGCTCACATGTAGCACTTTGATTTGATTCGTTGGATCATTTGGCAGGGAAGCACCCTTCAAAACCGAAGCCCCTACTTTTAGTATTGTATTGTCGAAGTAACTTCACGTAAAGCGAGCAGCAAATATAGCAGCGTGCCAGGAAAAAACAAAAAAAAAAGGCCATGGATGACATATTTGGATCTATTTCTGACTGTCGAATCATGGGTTTGGGTTTTGTCATTTTGATCAAAGCTCTTAGGAGGGCCAGAGTGTGTCCAAAAGGAGAAAAAGGGTTGGTGAAAGCCATTAATTATAGCGGAGATATATATATGCAGCCGAGTGCGGTGCGAGATCCAGTGGAATTAGCAGGAGGGACATTCGTTGTCCAGTGGCGTTTACTTGCAGCTGTAATTTCATTATCACCACTAGGATCAAAATGTCATGCGCCGCTTATTATTATCCTACCTCCTGCTCTTAATACAAGAATTTTTTTTTTATTTTTATTTTGATTTTAAATATTTTTCTGGTTGTACATTATATTATAAAATGGATCTTATATTTGGGATCAGGAAAGTATAAGACTTCAATCTATTTTGTCTTTCATGTTTATCTACTTTTTCTCAAGGTGATCATTTTAATAACGATAGTTTTAACCAATATACTTGATTAATAAGGATATTTTAAGAAAGACAACATCTAATTATTATAAATAGCTAACTTAACTAGTTTTCTTAATATACTTAAATTAATCAACTAGCTCTTATATTAAAGGATCAGAAGTAGTAATACACATGACACGCTTCATCCAAAAATTAATAATAATAATAATAATAATCCTTCTAGATTAATAATAGACCTTAACTATTCTGATTCCACTCATAATAAACTTGCAGGTTGTTTACTTTGAAAACGAAATTTAAAACTGTGTGATTGGTGAAATTGTCAATTCCATCACATGCATAAAAAAACCCGACGCAAGGGACCGTGACACCCCAACTCCCTTAAAGCGTGGTTTATTTTAAATACTCACAGTCCCGGGGTTTGACTTTCTTGCAAGTTCATTTTATTATTTTTTTTAGTTCAATAATGGGGATTAATTAATAAATTTATTAGCCTTATCAGGCAGACTCACGTGTCTCGTATTGTTTCAGAACGTAACGTGAAACGAGCAATATCCGCACTATGTAGATGTTAAAAAAAAAAAAAACAATTAATTGTATGATTCTGGGTTTGACATTATTAGTCTGAGGAAATAAAGAAGGATATTGATGGATGGATAGATAGCTGAAATCCATGCGGAAGCCAAGGGAGGACTACGATTTCCAAATGCTATGCAATTGAGCACATGCATGTATCGTTAATAATATTTGAGTATATGTGAAGTTTATATAAATATATATATGAATAATCAGACACGTGTATGAACTTAGACTCGCATGAGGATGCATGTGTGTGAGAATTTGATGGCAATTTTTATTGAGGAATGGGCAATGGACAAACTAAAAAATATCTAAATAAAAAATTTTAAAAATAATTTTATGGTATTTAAAATAAATATATAATAAGAATTATTTTGATGTGTATAAGAATAGTTCTTGAGAGTATTTTCAGTACAAAGTAAACACTTCCTTAGACAATAAGAATTGATTCAACAGTGGGGTGATGTGATGAGATGGAGTGGCGCACTCACACCAAACAGTGGGGCCTTGATAGTTATGCCCTCAAACCTATGACGCCTGCAAATTCATCAGCTTTAATTTTCTGTTCCTATTGCTGGCGTTTTTCAACCCTTTCATGATTTTCATTTTCAATTCATGCGCCTTTTCTTAAAGACCTTACTACCCTTCCATCCCTCATCATCCACTGCCTCATCACTCGACTGCTCCCCGTGCTTGCGTGGCAAGCCCGCGCATACCCAGAGGGGTAGGATTATTTCCGTCAATATAGTATTTTATATTTTTAACTTCACATATTCTTTCCTTGCCGCTAATTCATTTGCCAAAATGTACGCATTTTTTAATTTTAAATTCCGAAAAAACTTATTTTAATTTTTTCATCATGCCAGGCCAGTTCAAAAATTCAACGAAAATAACCATACCGATAAGATGTTAGGTTTTTTTTTTTTGTCTGGATTTTGATTCCATTAACTGGCTGGAGCACACTATTGTCCTCTTCCCCCAGCGTAGTTCCCTAAATTTAAAAAAAAAAAGGAGCCTTTTTCTCCCTCGTCTTTTTATTTTTCCTTCCTCACAAAGGCACTTGCATTTTCGTTTCATATTTTTATCCGCATGATTCTTTTTTTGCTTTATAAGTAAAGTTAGTTCCAAAAAGGGCAAAAAAAAAAAAAAAAAGAACCTTATCCTCCTCTGTTCATGCACGTGAACCCAACAGACACAGAAAAATGGTTGCCAATGGATACCCTCCTCAAGCCGCCGCCTGGACACGCCGCTCTTATCCTCCCATTGTGGCAAAAGATTTATGACATAAAAACAAATCTTTACATGTATTCCCTTTAATGTCACTGCTGTAGAGAAAAAAATAATTAGAAAAAATAGAGAGCTCGTAAAACTATTCTGCAATTTGGGGAACGGTTTTCTCGTTAGAGGTGCAGAGGCATGTTATTCCTCCCGCTTTAAATATAACTTATTTATATTTAAAATCAAAAGAGTAGTTAATTAATAATTAATTTAAAGATACAAACACACACATGTATGCTTCACAATTTTTGATGGATTTTGTTGTTCTACACTAATAATTCAGAAACAGTCATAATTCGTGATGTAGTGTTCATGAATGGTGGTTAATTAAAGCCAAAAATCCAATTATGATATTTGTTTAAAATGGAAAATGAAATCTGATTGTGATTTTGTATAGATTGCAGTGGATTTCTACAGCGAGCATAGCAGCACTTGAAGGAGCGTGGCACGGACGCGTTCCTCCGACTGCGTGCCTCCTCATTAGTGTTTTGCTTGTTTCCAGGCCAAGCCTGTCTTGAGTTTGTTGAAGAAAAATATTAAAATATATCTAAATTTCATAATCCAAAAAAAAAGAAAGAAAAAGCCGTTGCAGAGTAACACGTGTCTCGCTCACTCTCCTTAGGATTCTATTCCATTGTCTACCTTCTCCTCCGTGGTATATTTCTTTGCTTGGATTGGCTTGGTGCTGTTCCAAGGCAAAGAATACAATCCCAGTCTCTTGTCTCCCCTTATCTCTCCGCCTCTCGTCTTTCTTCTTCCTCTATCACTCTTACAGCAATCGAGCCTCTCCCACCTGCAATTTTGCGATGGGTTCTTCCCAAAACTGAGCAATGTTGGTACTTTCCTTTGCATTTTCGAGTCCCATCATTGCCACTTTTACATTTTCCCTCTGCTTTTTCAACACTGTCTTCACTTTCGCAGCCACTGAGTTCGACTTTGGCACCTTAACTTTAAGCAGTTTGAAGCTTCTGGGCGACGCCCACTTGCACAATGGCAGCGTAAGCCTCACCAGGGACCTCGCCGTCCCTAACTCTGGCTCTGGCAGAGCTCTCTACTCCAAACCAGTGAGATTTCGCCAGCCTGGCACTCATTCTCCGGCGAGCTTCAAGACTTATTTCTCGTTCTCAGTTACCAACCTGAATCCAGCGTCCATCGGCGGCGGACTCGCTTTCCTGATCGCGCCGGACGATGAAACCATCGGTGACGCCGGTGGTTCTCTTGGCCTCCTTAACCCGGCGAGCGCTGCCTCCCCGGGTTTTCTGGCGGTTGAATTCGACACGCTCATGGACGTACAGTTCAAGGACCTCAACGGAAACCATGTGGGTCTGGACCTTAACAGCATGGTTTCAACGGAAGTTGGTGACTTGGGACCCATCGGAATCGATCTCAAGAGCGGTGATCTTGTGAATGTATGGATCGAGTACGACGGCTCAACCTTGGGCTTTAACATCTGGGTTTCGTACTCCAATCTGAAACCGAAAGACCCGCTTTTGACATTCAATCTCGATCTAAATCAGTACGTTAATGATTTCATGTATGTAGGTTTCTCCGGCTCTACGCAGGGGAGTACCGAGACTCACAGCATCCAATGGTGGAGCTTCAGCTCTTCTTTTGAGTCGTACTCATCTTCCCAGCCGGGTTCATCGGTGACGGCGCCGCCACCGCCAACTGTTACCTTGATGAACCCGACAGCTAATTCCGTCCCGTCGCCGCCTCCATCATTAGGTCCTTCTTCCGGTTCAGCCTCAAGCACCCAACAAAAGGACAGTAAATCGTCCTGCCACAATGAGCTCTGCAAGCAAGGTCCAGGAGCCGTTGCAGGTGTTGTGACGGCGAGTGCTTTCGTTCTGGCTCTGTTCGCTGGCGCATTGTTTTGGGTGTACTCCAAAAAGGTCAAACAAGTCAACAGGTCCGATTCATTTGCGTCAGAAATCATCAAAATGCCAAAAGAATTCAGCTACAAGGAACTCAGGACAGCCACCAAGTGCTTTAATGTCAACAGAATAATTGGTCACGGCGCATTTGGGACGGTCTACAAGGGAATATTACCAGAGAACGGCGACATTGTTGCGGTGAAAAGATGCAGCCATACAGGTCAGGGGAAGAACGAATTCCTATCCGAATTATCAATAATTGGGAGTCTTAGACATCGAAATCTCCTCCGTCTGCAAGGTTGGTGCCACGAGAAAGGAGAAATCTTATTAGTCTATGACTTAATGCCTAATGGGAGTCTCGACAAAGCTCTGTTCGAGGCGAGAATACCACTTCCATGGCCTCAGAGGCGCAAAATTTTGCTGGGCGTCGCCTCCGCTCTGGCCTACTTGCACCAAGAATGCGAAAACCAGGTAATTCACAGGGACGTCAAGACCAGCAACATTATGTTAGACGAAGGGTTCAATGCTCGATTAGGCGACTTCGGATTGGCAAGACAAACGGAACACGACAAGTCCCCTGACGCCACGGTGGCCGCCGGAACAATGGGCTACCTGGCGCCAGAGTATCTCCTAACAGGCAGAGCAACAGAAAAAACTGACGTGTTCAGCTACGGCGCGGTGGTTCTTGAGGTGGCCAGTGGAAGAAGACCCATAGAGAAAGACGGTAACGGGAACAATTTGGTGGAATGGGTATGGAGTTTGCATCGAGAAGGGAGGTTGCTGACGGCGGCTGATCCAAGGCTTGACGGTGAGTTCGAGGAGGAAGAGATGAGGAGGGTGCTGTTGGTTGGGTTAGCCTGCTCGCACCCTGACTCGCTGGCCAGGCCCACCATGCGCGGAGTGGTTCAGATGCTGGTGGGTGAGGCTCAGGTGCCCAGCGTTCCCACGACCAAGCCTGCCCCTACTCTGAGCACCTCCCAGCTCTTGTTGAGTTTACAGGACAGCGTGTCTGACTTCAATGGTCTGATCTCCATCTCGCCTTCGTCGTCGGAGAACAGTTTCAACGGCGGAGACATAGATATAGTGTGATGTGCAGTTCATAAATTATCGAATTCGTGTATACACTGTAGAGAGCGACACATTCAATTGTTGCATGTATATTACAATTGCAATAACGCGATTTTTTCCCCCTCGGGTTTATGCAATCTGGTCCAATTTTAAAGCGGAAAGTAGCATTTATTCATTCATATTTTTTATCTCCAGATCAATCAATTTTGTGTTCATCAAGCTGTTCAGCTGGTTGGTCTGGAATCAAATTCGGTTATTGTTTATGCCACAATTAATGTATTAAAAATCTGTTATCAGCACTTGTCATGAGATGATCTTAATTAATCGTCGATTTTTTTTTTAATTTTTTCAAAATATATATTTTCAGGTTTTAGTTTTCTTTAAGCAGAAAGTTAAGACTAGGTTGGCTTTTATCAACGTCTCATCTCATCACTGTTCAAACAGCACCTAAAAAAGAATACTTGTGGGTCTCACCAACAAAAATGTTTTGTATCATGTAGATTTAGCAATGATATACAGTGTAAATTACTGTTTTGGCAAGTAAAGAGGATGGTCATCATCTTGGGACGGATATGATAATGAATAACGGCAATGGTGGCTTGACATTGAAGCACTGATTAATTAGGGCGGCGTGCATAGTCGTGGGCATCTGGTTGAATACTTAATGGAGTTTGAGAAGAAGATTGGAGAAGCAATGGTGGGACTAAAAAGGGATTGAAGTTTGAGTAGAGGCTGGGGAAAGTATGGCGGGCTGGGAGGGAGGGAGGGTCCCTCCACCATCACCCACCTTTGATGACACACTCACATCATCGCGAGTGGAAACAGCATAAAATATAACGGAAACAATTATCCCAATGTTGAAAATATATGCTTACCATGTCCACTTTTTTCCACACTCGTAACGGATCATCTCCTCCTATTGGCTATTCTTAATTACTATTCCTGTTGCGTCCATACTCTAACTGCACTATTTCCTTTATGCTGTCCGCATCCACCTTGTCAGATTAAACCAACATTTTTTTCACCACCTCTCTCTCTCTCTCTCTCGCCTTTGGCCTTTTCCTCGGAAGCCAGTGGTGTCAGTTTTGTGGCGTTGAAACTTCCCCACAGCTTCACAGGACTTTTGGTGATGTAATGTTGGCAGCGAAAAAGAGAAACTTGTAAAAGGGAAAAGGAAAAAGGTGGTTATTCCTTTGTAGTGGGGGATGATGTTGGGCTGCGAGAATGGCTGCCGCATTTGGGAGCAAGTCATGTGTAAATGGGCAGTAAAAGGTCGTGGTGTGAAGGGTAATGCAAAAGAAGAGAGCCAAAATTTGGTAGGAGAGAGTTGGAGTGCGTCAAGAGAGAAACATGAATGGGATAAAAAAAAGGGCATTGATTAGGGAGAGTGGGTGATGGTTAGAGAGGAAGAGGGCCACATCCAGCACAGCTTGTCAGACTTGTAGTTCAATTCATGCTCTTGCTGTTTCTTTTTGCTCAATTCACCTCCCTCCCGCCGTTCTTTATCGCAGTTTCATGTTCCTTTGCTTCTAACTGCACCAAACGCCACCCCCCCCCCCCCGCCTTACCCGTATTCCCCGCCCCCTCAATCTCTCTCTCCTCCCACTCATATTTTATTAAGGGAAAATTACACATAGGTATCATACAAGACAATTAATTCATAAAAAGTCTCTGAAAATTCCAAAATAATTCCTAAATCCCCAGATACCTGTGTGTAATAAATTACAATTATGAAATTATCTATTTATCCCTGTTAATTTTATTGCAGTAATTTATTTACAGCCTCAACAGTATCTGTTAACAACCCGAGGAGAAATGTTAACAATCTCAGCAGTGCCCCTAACAACTCACTCTATGAGATACCAAAGGCACTACCAAGGTTGTTAACTACTTCTCATCGGGTTGTCAACAGTCACTGTTAAAGTTGTAAATGAATGGGATAAATAGGTAATTTCACAATTACAATTTATTACACACAAGTCCCTAGGGACTTGGGAGTGATTTTGGGATTTTGAGGACTTTTTGTGAATTAATTATCTTGTATAGGACCTGAGTGTAATTTTCGTTTTTATTAATTAGAGATTTGCGTGACGTAGCTCCTAATGGATCACGTAGCTCGCCCACAGTACAGACACATTCTTTGATTCCTTCGTCAGTACCAAACCTGGCATCATCTCATTGGCCTGCTGGCCACCCCAGCTTTTCTGCCCTTCCCTCTCTATCCAATTATTCATTCATAATTATTATTAAATAAAATGGTAACGCAGCATTTAAGACTCCGGGGTCCGCGCTACCAGTGTCGCCGACTCACGGTGAATCTGAGGAACTTGCCGACTGGCGTTTCTTTTCTGATTGCGAGCGTTGGCCACTCCGCTTGTACGAATTTATGCCTCATACTAATCTTTTAAATTGAGACAAGTAAATAAATTCTACCTCCGGTCTTTATTATAAAATCTATTTAACTTTTATTTTGATCGTGATTATAAAATTCTAATCTATTTTGTCTTTCATATTTATATATTTTTTAAGGTAGTCCCTCTAATAATAGTAGTTCTAGCCAATAAATTTGATCAGTAAGAATATTTTAGAAAAGACAATATCTATTTATTACAAATAACTAACTTGACCTATTTTCTTAATCTCTTTAAATTAGTCAATTAGTTTTTATAATTAGGATAGGAGGTAGTAAATCATAGAAGCCAAAATAAAAATAAAAGTCAAAACAATGCAATTATGTCGGACAGGCGAGGAGGAGATTGCAGAAGGACCAGAACAGAAGGCGGAAGCATCATTCTGTTGAGAACCTTCTGCGAGTGGTTTGTTGCCTTCCATTGTTCCACCTGATCACTTACCGTCCATATCTGAGAGTGCCACTCCCTCCAACTTCGGGTGCACGTGGATCGGTGTGGCCCAACATTATCCTGGTTTGGTGCGTAGCATAAAATATCTTCCCATATTTAAATAAAATAAAACTATCTCGGGTATTAAGGAGGGGCAAGTGGATTGGTATACTCATAATGGGCCAGTGTTAGCCCACAGAACCTGGCCCGTTTGCTTAGCGGGCTTGATATCATCTCTAGGACCAAAGGCTTGCTCCGGTTTAATCATTATTGTTTCTAGCAAGAGGTTACTTATGTTTAATTAAAAAGAATTATTAATTAATATTATAATTTACTTCGGTTTGTAATTAGGCCGCTATTTCAAACCAATCGTCATGGCATATGGGGTTACGGCGGCTACATGGTTGATCGGGAGCAGAGCAATTCGGGCACCGCTGAGGTGGGTCAACACTATCATAAATGTCACATTTGACATCTAAATAAATGCAGATCTCCTCAATTTTTGGCGTCGTCTTCATCTGAAACTGAAACGGATTGCCAAGTGTCCTTTTAAAAAAAAAAAAAATTTACCTGAATTTATAATTAAATACTACTACTTCCGGTACTTAGTATAAAATATTGTTTGACTTTTATTTTGATTCTAAATATAAGATCCTAATTCACTTTGTCTCTAATATTTATATAACTTTTTAAGGTAGTCTTTCTAATAATGATAATTCTAGCCAATACACTTGATTAGTAAAGATATTTTAAAAAAAATAATACATTTTTATTACAAATATCTAACTTAATTTTTTTTAAAATTTTTTAAATTAGTCAACTAGTTGTTATAATTAGAACCGGAGGTAGTATTAAATAATAATTTTTTAAAACTAAAATATATGGTAGATTAATAAATATAAATAACGTAGTGTATTTTTTGTTTCCGCCAAAGAAGCCAAGGAAATTTAAAAAATCAACTTAGTTATTAATAAATCCTTCGTCTCATTGAGTCATTTCTGGAAACTTCTTCCCGCGGATTCGTTTTTGGCGCAAATCCGGATCGATTCCGCTCGAGCATCAGTTCGGCACGCCATCTGAGCAGGTGGATCTGTCTGATTCTGCGAGGCATCCATGGAGGATGATGCTGAGTTTCCCGGCAATATTCCTCCTTCATTCGATCGCGTGGTACTGCCCTTTGCTCTCATTTCTTGATCTTTGGTTTTATATTATTTGGGACCGTGCGAAACTCAGTCAATTACTTGATTGCCTGCGTATTGTTGCTCATATGCATTATTGAAATTCGATTTGGAATCAGTCAATATGCCCAGCCAAACGAGCTGTCATTTGATAATATACACACATTGACGCCCTTGTTCCATCTTTCTCTCTAATCATTAAGATGGATCTTATAATCGTGGCTCAAAGCATCCATGAGGACGGGGTGTATTATATGCAGCTTAGATCCTTGGACTCATTAAATTATTTGAAGAACTGTTTCATTTGAAGTGGTTGACATTGTACCTTCAACTTTTATGTTATGCATTATATTCCGAGAGGAGAGAAAATTCGGTTGACGCTTCAAAAGTTAGAATCACTGAAGATTAGTGAATAACTATATGCATTATTAAGCTTTCAACTTTTGATATAAGTTCCTGGTTGCGGTGAATACAGGTCACACACCTATGCTAAGCATATTTTGGCTGAGTATAAAAATTATTTATTTGCTCACAGACTTTTATGATCCAAAAAATGATTCTCCGAAGAACTCATCTATCAAGAGGACAAGTGCAAAAGTTTCACATCGCGTAAATTAAGATATATAAGACAAACTTTATCTTGTTCTCATTTCTCACGATTTCTCAAATGCGTGGAGACTCGCTTTTTCCTGTTATCACTATTACAAGGATTGCTCTTGGACAATTGGTAGTGACTAATCTCAAGTCTTTGTTTTTTCCCCCCTCTTTTAACACGGAAATTACATTTGCTGTAGCATTTCGCTGATTGCTTTCTAATCTGTTTTGAGATACTATTCTTTGGTCACATAACAGGGGGATATGATCAAGAAGTCTGAAACCCAAGGGTTCAACCCAGGCTTAGTAGTCCTTCTGCTTGTTGGTGGGCTGCTATTGACATTCCTCGTTGGAAATTATATACTTTACTCGCTTGCACAGAAGACCCTCCCTCCCAGAAAAAAGAAGCCAGTCTCCAAGAAAAAGATGAAAAGGGAGAGACTGAAGCAAGGTGTCTCCGCACCTGGAGAGTAGGGAGGTGGAAATCACTTAAGGTTCTGTGTTGTTAAACTGAAGTCCTTAGATTTTTTTTTTTCTCCCTTTTTTGTTTGTTATTGGCCGTTCTTTAGTCTTTTCTCAGTTTTGAATCTGCATGTCCCTTTTGTTGATATTACCACTTAAATTGGTCGTTTGCCAATGTATTAGGAAGTTGGAAGAGGCCGTATCACGCTTGAGTCATCATTTTTCTCGCCCTAATTATTTGTTGATCGTTTCTTTAATGTCTCGCGAGAACAGATTCTGCACCCTTTTCTTCATGAAGAACAAAATTATTAGAATGAGGATGATGGAGATATAGGGGGTGTTTGGGATCACGTTTGGACCCCCAAACGTGCATCCCCACCTGATAAGCTAAAGAGACATAGTTTTATCATGTTTGGGCTCATGTTTTCTCAATCTGGCTTCTGAGGCTGAAATGGGTTCTTGGAAGAAGCAATCTGAAAGTTTTTTTTGGGATGCTGAGGGGCGGTGAAAAATATTGTTAAAAAATTTATGTGGGTGTTAAAGTTTTTTACTTTTTTACCTACATGACCTTGACCCTGTATGAATTTTCTCTCACCTCACTTAAAACAAAAACACGAAACCATGGCTTGGGGGTATCCGCCTCAAAGAAGGAGTCGCTGAAACCAAAATCCCCCTCCTTTCGTGCTTCTGCTACGCCACTCTGGACTTATCCTTCCCTGGACCTCAAATCTCAGAGATTTTCTTTTTCTCACAAATCAAATGGTCACATTATATATATAATTTTTTTATAACAATAAATTAAATTTTCTTATTTTTAATAATTTTATTTTTATTACTTCTTTTAAAATGGTCACATTATATATATAATTTTTTTTAATAATAAATTAAATTTCTTTACTTTTAATAATTTTATTTTCCTTATTTCTTAAAAAATAGTCACATTATATATATCTAATATTAGATATATATTATTTAATAAAATTCATATTCTTTTAAATCATTTGACATCCAAACTTATTTTTACATTTATTATCCAAACAAGTTTCAGCTTCTCAAACTGACTTTTTTTAAAAATCCAATCCAAACATAAATCACATTACCCTATCTGACTTTTACTCAATCTAACTTCTGTAAAAGTCAGATTGAAAAAAAGTTACTCCTACTATCGCACTTCCAAACACACCCATAGATGGTCATAGTGAACTAGCGATCAGAATTAAAGAAAAGACACAGCTAAAGTAAAACTGAACATGTTGGATTGACCGTACTTTTGGAGCGATTAACAGTTACGCCGGTTGCCTCGCAGCTTTCGGTTTAAGCAAAGCGTGAGGATTGAGCCACATAGCTATGCCCTGATTGGGGCTCCAGGAGCTCTTAAATAGCCATGCAATGTGGCGTTTAGCTTGGAACTTGGATGTTGTGACTTTAAAGTCTCTGACCCCGATTTAACAAGAGAAGAAAAGGAAGGGTTCCCCTACAAGACCTCCTTTTTGACAGCATTCTACGCACATGGTCCTCCTTAAAGCTAGAAAAGGTTCGAAAATGGAGTGTTTGATGGTCTAAGGTGTTAGAAGATAGAGACTTCGAATTCCAAGGATATTATGAGGAGGAGCATTCATAGATGCTTTGAAGACAATCACTGCAGAGACAGGGAGACAGGGATCCGTAAATGAAGGAGGGATTTGGATTAAAGGACGTTAATTGCAGCTGTAAGCTGGGTTCCTGCCCGCACAATTAAGCTGGGATCACGAACGCGGGGGAACAACAATGCATGCGGATTATGGGAATACAAAGATTACTGATGCTGGATACAAACGCTATTCTCACTGTTTATGCTGCGGATTGTAATGCATTTTACATCTTTTATCGCGTTAGCATTAGAAATTCAGAAAGTTTACACAACTAATATTCTCATTAATATAAAACTTATTTTATAATATATCTTACACTATAAAATAAGTCTTATATTAAAATCGAGAGAAATTGCTATTTTTTTTTTCCAAACGCTAACAACCTTACAAAACTACTACACGAGAATCATCCCACCTGCATTTACAAATAATATAATTTCTCATAGATATTACATACTAAATGCATCGATATATTGATAATGACTTGGTGCGATAAACCAAAGAATCACCGCATACAAACCGGCAGAAAGATCTTCACAAACCATTGCAGTCATAATACGATATAAATTTAAAAACATTAGGAATAACAGCACAGCACTAAAAGCAAACTGACACGTAGCAATCTCCTGTTCTTATACATACCAGACAGCCAGCAAGAATCTGCATGCGAGAAGCTTAACAGACTTGTACAACATACAAGCTATGTTTAGTCAACACTCATAAATAACACATAGAAATAGCCCTTTCGAGATGAAAGAAGATCATTTTCAAGCCTCACGTCCCATGATCTGCTCTGCCGGCGGGATCATAACCAAGACTGGTGGTTGAGCATTATGGCCAGGATGGGGAAGCCTACGACGCAGCTCACGAGCCTCTTGGCAAAGGGCACACGCATGACAGAATACATGAGTTGCAAAGTCACAGGCTGATTCACAATGTTCACGCTGCATCTCATCCTCCAAAAAGCATCCACAGCACCCACATGATCTATCGAGTGCCTCGCAACTTCCCTGATTGTAAATACCACAATTTCTTCAATCAATTGAAATCTTATTGTAAAGTACTCAAACACGCATAGTTCTCTGTCGGATAATCATCAAAACAGGGCAGCTTATTTAATTTGAAGCAATAAGAACTTGATATTTAATACCCCGTCACCCAAACTCAAAGCAAATACTGAACTGTCAACCCCCTAGAGTTCCATCCAAATCTACATAGCAAAGCAAATTTACTGACTTAATCTAGCTGGTCGATCTACCACCTAAATTATCACCAAAAAAAGAAAAGAAAGAAAAAAAGCTATTAACTTCAGCATGCAATCCCTCTTTACGTGGGAGAAAAAGAAAACTTCAGATATAATAGGATCATTCTCTCAATCAATAAACCTTAGTTTTGATGGGAAGAAAACAAGAGAGGAAAGAATAATAGGATGGCCAAAAATAGTTAAAAAGTTTTCTCATTCTCTCCTCCTTATTTTCCTCCCATTTCCCCACCATCTAAACCAAGCCTAAGTGATGAAAACAATAAAACTGCAAATGAATACATGAAAAGGATGTTGCCTAACTTTGACTTGATTGATTTTCACCACATTTAAGTCGCACATAAAACCTGTCACTAAAGCCAACCGTCCAAGTCCAATGCATAATACAGCAACCAACAAGTTACAGCACGATAGAGGTTCAACATATCCGAAATCCCCAAGTCCACTTTTACAGCTTGAAGTTTAGAACCATTAAGTTTTTTGAAGAAAGTGAAGAATGTGGAATCATCATTCATCTGTGACATTAGACAGTAACATTAATGCAGCATTACTGGTCATGGGACAACTTTGAAGATTGTATTCTCGAAAGATAAGGTCCAAAATAGCATGAAAGTGCACGCCATATACATCTCTTGCAAATTGCAATGCTTTGATTAAACAATTTTTACATTTTGATTTTTGAATGCTTCCTACATGTTTTATCCCGCATCTCTCATCTCATGCTGGCATCCATAACTTAGACTCTAACAGAGTTTGAGACGAAGTCAAAGTGACGACATATTTAAGATCATATTACTCTGCACAGGAAAAGATATAAAAATAACTTGCCTCTAAATTGAACTTCCGGCGAATAGCAGTACGGCTAGGATAAGAAAACCATGGAGCAAGACAATTCCAGCCAAAGAGGGAATTTCCAATAAAATACAGACCGCTGTAAGTCAAGCAATGATTAGAAAACGTCCCAGGTGCAGATCCAAGCCTCTCAACATTGCTTCCATACAGCACACAAGGAGCTACACTTCCAAGAAGACCTGGTTCATATCATGACTCCAAGCATTAGAAACGTGGAAAAATTAGGAAATTAAGCGGAAGATTAAGAAACAAGGGGAAAAAACGTAATATCTGTAAATGTTATATTATTTGATACTGTACAAACCAGGACAATATTAATATGTGAACCTGATGATCAATGTTTCAACCTTTCCATGTGGCTTGGGAAGCCTAAGCCCTAAAACCTAACAACTGCATAAGATAAGTGGGAAATCTAAATTCAATTTAACAGCTCACAGTTGAGCTTTCAGCACTTGATTTTATTTTTGAACGAATAAACCTTTGATAATTGCCCTGGAAATACACAAATTTTGAGCAAATTATTCCCAATAAATTCCAACAGAGAGAATCTCTGTCGCGTCATGAGCATGCAGCCTACGAGGTTTAAGGACTCCCCTTGTATGAAAGTAATATTACTAGGTCATTTTCTACTAACCAATCTAATGAGATCCAATTATACACAATTATCCTTCTAACCCCTCCTCCTCACTTAATTCATCGTTCGAACGAGGAATTTGAAATTGACCAGAAGCAATAATTAAAATCCAATACGAGTTTGCTTGTAATTTACAAAAGCAAAAAATAGAGACATTCCAATTTTAACTTGAAAATTCTAAGTCCAAGTGCGTATTATTCAGAAAGAGGCTTACAAACTTCAAGATCACTGCTGCAGAACTCATCGTTACGCCCGAGACAGGCACAAATGCTGGAGTTCCAAAGAGTCCGACCCATTGGCTCGCCCATCACGCTCCCGTGTGATAAAGGGAGGCCATCGGCCGTCCATCCATAACCTTTTCCGATAGTAGGCGCCGATGTCGGCGACTCTGGTGAGGTTGGACCTGTTTTGGATGAATCATGCTTCTTTTCAGTCTTGTCAGCTTCTTGACATTGCTGGAGAAGAGGACTAGTCTCCTCGCGATTATCTTCGTTGTTAGCCATCAGAATTCAGAAATACGGGAGCAAATCAAGAAGAAAACTCGGAATCGAAGTGAATGGAATCTGAAAAATTTTCAACCAGAAAAGTCGGTGCAAGCAGCGCGTAACCCGATCTTCTTTTCTTATGTTGCCTATGATTAATTAATTATTTTTTATTTTCATACCTTGCTTAGACGACGACGTCAACTGCGTTTTTTCCGGTTAGAGGGTAAATGACAAGTAACCAGCATTGCCATTTCCAATCTTAAAACTTGTCGTTATTTACTCTTAAAATATTTTTAAAATATATGCAAAAAAAAATATGTACTTTCATATTTTCGTCGGAGGACAAACTTTTACCCCGCGGACGCGGTGTGTACGCGCACTAGTGGTGCGGTACAAGTTAACTTATTATTCATGTTCGATATCTGATAAAGACGGAAAATGAGACCTTTTAAGGGGGCACTGTTTTTTTCTTTTCTTTTTTTTCCCCTCAACATAAGAGGGGCATTGTTAGAGTTGTAAAATCTAAACAAGTCATTTTAATTTCATAAGAGATAAATAAGTTTAGAAAAAATAACAAATAAAAATCCCTCAGTATATAAAATTATGATTTGAAACTCTCAATTTATAAAATAGAAAATAAAGATCCAGTCTCGTATTGCAAATATGAAATTTTGATGAAATGTCTGAAATGTCTCTCAGTTAAGTTGTGATTTAATCTACTTAAATTGTTATTCATTAAAGTGAACTTGTCATTTCCCATAGTCAACTTGTCACTTAGCCAAGAGGCATTTCAGATTTTCCACCAAGATTTCATATTTGTAATATGAGACCGAATCTTTATTTACCAATTTTTCAAATTGAGTGCAATTTCACATATTGATAGATTTACTATTTTTTCATAAGTTTATGCGCATTAAATTAGAATTGATAGGTTTTGACAAATTACTTTCATGCTTTTTATTTCATGCCTCCCACCCTCTCTCTCCTCTCCTCCCATAGCCCACTGCCTCAGGCCCTCTCCGCTGTCCTTAACGAGCAACTTGAGCAAATCCCAAAAACTTCATCCTTTATGAATTTCACTAGAAAAGTAGGCACTTCAGCACAAAGAGCCGCTGAATAGGGAAAGGTACTAAAGATTGATATAGAGATGTTGAAGCCGCAGAGTGGCTGTAAGAAACTCAGGAAGAGAGGAACCAAATGCGAAGACCTCAGGTACCTCGAGAAGGAACTCAAACAACCCAGTGAGAAGCTCTGGCAAATCATCGGAAGACAGAGAAAAAGAAACCTAAAGAGGCTTTTGTGCAGCTGTCAAGCCCATTGAAAGTGTTGTTAATCATAATATCATGCAATGGAATGACTTTTGTGGCTTGAATGCCAATTATTAGTTTAATCTCAATGTTAATTTATTATTTGGATATATGTATGTATAAAACATAGCTTCTATTATAAACTTGCTGTTTTTTTTTTAATAGATATTGTCACTTTAATGATCTATTTCATTATATATGTACTCCTCCTGTCTAAGGGTTTTATATTTAGGACCGGAAGAGTAGTAAATTATGAAAGTTATGTTATTAAGATTATGATGTTCTTTAAGTATACTTGTATAGTAATATTTCAACACATCTTAGCCCTTGTTTAATTCTCCTAAGAAGACAGACTTGGTAGAAATTGAGCATGTGAATAGTATGAAAATCATCAAATGCTCAGGAATGGGTTGCGTTATTGAAATAGTTACTTACGTTGCACAAGTTGTTATTTTCATTACTTGTTTTGTAAAATACTATGTGAATGATTAAAAGCAAGTTACAAAAATTGTTATACATTTCGTAACCTTCACTATGCAGGTTGTCACTCTCGTTATGTATTTAATAAAATTATTTGCAGAAAGAACTAAAAACGAGATGCAAATAAGTAGGTTGTAAATTCACTAATGGAAATGGTAACTTATATTACACAAGTTGTCATTTCCGTCACTTATTTTATAAAATGATATGTGGATTACTCAAAACAAGTTACAAAAATCGTTATGCAGCTAATAACTTTCATTACTTAAATTGTTATTCTTGTTACACGCTTAATAAAATTATCTTCAAATAGATTATAATTAGATTATAAATAAACAAATTGCAAATCCTTTAATGAAAATGATCACTTGCATTATCCAAATTGTCATTTTCGTTAATTATTTTGTAAAATAATATGCAAGTGATTTAAGACAAGTTGTAAAAATTGTTATACAACTGGTAACTTTTATTGTGCAAGTTACATGAACTCCTGAATGAATGAAAAAGATGAGATAGTCCTTTATTAAATTAGAATGATTTATTCAAAATTTTAGAATTCAACAAGTAATGCCTTCTAGTTTTAAAAGCGTTTTCTTTTCTGTTTGTCGTGAAAAATTTTGCAACTGTTGTATACTAGTAAATGAAAGAGTTTCATTCTTTCGAGAATAATTGGGTGATTATGAACACTGAGAAAACAAAGCATTCCATTGCAGACAAGTGTGGCGGAACTTTCAATTGGTTGGCATATAACAGCCGTATGATAATAATGAGTCAAAAGTTGCTTAATCTATGCTGCAATATGTGTCCATCTGCGTGCTTATTTAGATCTTATTAGTGAACATCATCTCCTAACACTAAAAACTAATGGCATCTAAAGGATTTATTAACGGAGGGACCTAATTCAAAATTTTAAAAAAATTTAGAAGGACCTCTGATGGTATGAAATATAAGGATTTAAAAAAAAAATTTTTAAAAGGACCTTATTCAAAATTTAATAAATCTATGAGGATTGCCAAATTGGTTGTCCAAATAATAATAATAATAATAAACATCCTTGTCAATAATTCTGCCAGGCGCTACTTATCAGGGCTCTTGTAGATCTTCGTCTTCTATTTGGGCCCAAATAAATTTTTAAATAAGTAAAGGCCTGCCGCATCTTGAACTTGACCGACCCCTTGTATTCCACTATTTCAATGCTTTGCTAACAATCAACTTAGCTGCTAGTTATCAATGGGAATTAGGTCTAGTGAAAAGAACTAGTCTTTCACAACATGATGAATTAAGATTCGAATCATCATTGAAAGAGGTACCCGCATATAGTACCTGACAATGTCTCGAATAGGATTACCTCTGATAAGAGGATACCTATGTTTTAGCAAAAAAAACTTAACTGCTAGTTGAGATAGTGAGTCATTTTACTTCTATAAGGAGAAGTATTTCAGACCCAAATTAGTTTGAGGATACTCTGTTTTATACAAAAAAAATTCGGAATTTTCGTGTCATGTTTAGAAGAATCAGCTTAGAAAGCCTTCGAAGATGCTTATCAACAAATGAACACACACATAAAGATCAACTTAGAATTATCGTCGTTCCCATGTTCAGCAGAAGCAACTTAATTGGAAAACCTTCGAAGATGGGGAAACGCGCGGTCGCGCGCGCACGGAGAATCAACGAAGAATCATCGTCCCATGTTTAACAAGAAGCAGAGAGTATCAGAAAATATTGAGGGTGTGTGTGTGGACAGTGTGGTTACAAGCAGATGGGGAAACATTAATCATCGAAGTTTTGTCACGTGATTGGTTGGAAATGCCAAGGCGATAGACAGAGTTATATCCTTCGTGTATAAAAAAAAAAAAAAAAAACCAGTGAGAACATATGACGATCTGATGATAGTTACAACTTACAACTACATATTGTACTGTTCAAACTGAAGGCCACATAGTTTTTGTTTCCCTCATCACCACACACCTGTCGTTTGTACAGATTTTGCATATCTTTAAGAATAAACATGACAAAATTCCCCACATGACGTCCCCTATTATACGAGAGCACAGACACACATACATTAAACCTGTGAAAGGCCTGTTCATCCATGGATTCCCTTCACCTGCGCAGTACAAGAGCATTAACGTACGATCAATACTAGGAATATATAGTGATTAAACACCAGATAATCAGATACTGAGTGTTACACCCATTTCCTATCCTTTTCCCCCCATTAACAGTAGTATACAATCCCAGCTCTTCCGTGGGCAATACAACACACACACAAATAAACGCAGAAATTCAATGATGTCGGATCCATAATAATCACTTGCCTTTTCTTGTTTGGGATGATTATTACTGCTCACGAAGCCCTCATTAACTTTGCCGGAACCCAGAGAGGCTTTTCGGTGATTTGAAAGAGGGCTGGCATGAGATTGATGATGATGATCTGGAGGAGGAGAGGACGAGTGGGTCTCAGGACCTCTATAATCAATTTCATATATCTCTGATTCCAGAGCTTGCGATGCCCCTACATCAGCAGAATAACCAGTATATTCTAAGTCCAAAAGATCAGCAAAAGCTAAATAGGAAAAGAGTTAGAAATAGAAAGCAAACCTGTGGAGAAATAAGGGTGAGAGAGGACGAGGAAGAGAACGAAGCATGAGGTGAGGGTGGACTTAAACTCCATATAAGGGATGCTCAGATTTCTTAAAGGCTGTAGTGAGAGAGCAACAGGAGTACGAAGCTTGTTGTTTTGGAGTGATTTATAAGTAAGATAAGGAGGATGAAGGGTTTTAAAATGTGTGATTATAAGAGGCAAGAGGTTGCTTTTGGTAATTGAAGCCGTCAACATCCACCCAGCAATAAGCAGTAAGGGGCGACGTGGATGTGTTGGGTTGGGGCATTAATGCCTTCATAACGAACCCATATTCCTACACGTATTTCATTTATTTCTTCATTTTCATTATACGTTTTACCTTTCGGGATCAAACATGATTGGAAAACAACGTAACACTGGGAAGGGGAAAGAAAGAAAGAAAGACAAGCATAATCTTTACTGTTTTTTTTTTTTCTCTCTTCCCAGTGATTTAACAGGCTAACTTCAACTTTCCTACTGTAAAAATGATTAACTTAAACTCCCCTTTTCTTTCAAGTTTCATGGTGCAAAGAGAGACGGTTACACATTAATGAATTGTAGTTGAGACAAGTGCATGTGTTCATAATTGAAAACTGTCCCATGGAGGGACATCCCATTGAGATCGCCCAGCTGTATTTCACATTCCTCATTTTTCCTTTCAGCTCCACTATCTCTCAGCTAAACAAAATGCTCATCATAATCGCTTGCTTCTTCCTCTCTAGCTATTTTATTTTATTTGAGCTTGTTGCTCAAACTAAAGTTTCAAGGTTTTTCAGCTATTATATATTATTTGCTGAAATCTCTGGCTCACACAGTTCATGGCCACACTAGGCTAGTCAGTTACGATGTGTCAAAAGGGAGACCCCATTATGCATATGACCAAGTACGCAAGGTTCGGATAACCAGGATAGCGACCCTTTTGTTTCCATCTGCTTCCATCCACGTCAATGAAGGTGGGTTTTCATTTTAACAGATATAACTACAGTTGTTAATGCGTTTTTTGATTAATACCCAGAAACAAAAACAAGGCGTTATAACCGAATCACTTTCGGATTTCGTACTATATGATCATAACAGATAACCTTAGAATTGCCGACTTCAGACTTTCGTATGCCGCCAAGCAACACCTAAGTTTTTCAATGCAGCTCAACTGAAGCTTTTGACTAGAAAGTCTAGAGCTCTTGTTATATTATCATTGGCTCCGAAATTTAAACGAAAAAAGAGAGGTCATTTTCGTGGGAATAAAGAGTGGGTCCTTTGCCTTTTAATGGGGAATATAAAAGATAAATGGAATTAATGGCAGCAAAAATGATGGGAATCTGTGGTGCCCAGAAGTTTGATCAAGGTTGGTAGAAAGAGAGAGTTTATAGGCTCAATGTTGTGGTATGAGGTCAACATAATTGCTGTGAGCGAGTTTAGGCTTTTGAGTACAGATTCTGATTGATCAACTTCGATTCTCCTTGCGTGTTTGTGTTGGATCAACCTAAAATCACAAATCAGCATCTCAGCAAATCAGCTTCAACTGCCTGGGGCTGCACATGCCCGTCTTCTTCTGCACTTTTAACGGTTCAAGTTTCTACTGGTTCTTCTGGTGGAAATCATCAGACTGCTACAATCTGTGATTCTTTGACCAAATAATTTCCCGTCATGGAAGGTCGGATTTCATTTTGTGCGGTGCCAATGATTGCTTTCTTACCACTTTTAACTGAGGAGAAAGTTGTTGAAGAGACCGGGTAAGAAATTATATATTAAAAGAATTAAAAGAATCTAATTAAAAAAATCTCAGAAGCTAAATTATTAATCTAATAATCATATAAGAAGCCATATTCATGAATAATATTTTCATTTAGCATATTTTATTCGTGTCTGGCTTTGTTTTTTGTCATTTTCTTCCATTGTTTTTTTATTAAATGTAATAATTAATAATGTGGGACCGAGAGTTCTGTTTTTTTTTTTTTTTAAATGGCCTCAAACTCTCGGAAAATTGGATATTTCTGCATTTGGTTTTCTTCAAAACTGATGTGCACACCACTTCATTAAACATTGTGAAACGTGCCAAGCTTTAAGATTTGAAGCGTGGGCTAGCGTGACCGGCCTAGTAAACTCTATCACGCTCGGTCCATTAGGGCATGGCGTTAGCCTAACCCAGCTCGATGTACAATGTGTTTTTTTTAATTATTAATACATGTTGATTTTATCTTGAGCCAAACAAATTAATCTCATGGTTTTTCTTACGCTTTTTACAATTACAATCTTTTGATTTTATTTACAATTTTAAATTGATTTCTAACTTAATAACTTATTTATTTTCCTGTTTATACATATAATAAAAGTTTTAAGTAATTTTTTTTGTTGCATTTATCAGATTTGATCTGTGCTGATTCTTTCGGATCAGAGAACACCCACAGGCGATATTCCGAATCATTCATCAAAAATAGATGCCCGGAAAAACAAAAATCATAAAACAAAATGAACAAGCTCAGGAAACACAGCTGGCCTCAAAGGCTTCATTTTCACACATCATCAGAGTAAATCTTATAATTAGACTGAACTTAACAAAACGACAAGCGCTATTGACGATTTTTTATTTATCCCGCAGGGTGTTGTTCTCTCTCTTCTTTTTTTTGGTTCTGGGGAGCAGGAGGGTATTTTTCGCACTTAGCAGTTCAAACATCACATCCGGCGCTGCTTCTTCCATGTTATTTAAGATGACTTGCATTATTATGAATGATGGTGTGTAAAGTAATTGACAAATTGGTCAAAAAGAAGAGAGTAACTGATAAGAAATGGGATAATGACAGCCCGTCTGTCAAATCCTAGATCATCAAATTTGCTCTCACTTCTACGTCTCAATTGTAATGTTAGAGAAATGTTAGTTTCGGTGACAGTACTGAGGCCGCCCTTGTACTTAATTATAAACTACATAATTAATTTAAAAAAAATAAAAAATTAATTAAATTAGTTATCTATGATAAATTTATATTAACGTCTTTAAATTATTTTTATTTAATCATATATTAGGTCTGATCCTTAATATAAAAACTAATTAACTAATTTAAATTAATTAAAAAACTAATTAAGATAGTTATTTATAATAAATAAATATTGGATTTCCTAAAATATCATTGTTAATGACTATTATTATTAGAAGAACTATCTCAACAAAAATAAAAAAATGTAAAAAAATAAAATGAATTAGGATTTTATAATCAAAACCAAAATAAAAATCAAATAAACTCCTATATTAAAGATTGAAAATGGTATATTAAAACTATACTTGAATGAAAATAATTTATAATAAAGATATTTTTGAGACTATATTATAAACTTAAAAAACAAAAATAAATTAAAATTTTATATTTAAGACTTCCAATTAGATCTTATATTGTAAAATGTAGAAATTTTCTTCCTTGCCAGCAAAACCTCTTTACAGAAGCCCCATTCTCCGACTTAGTTTTAAAAATATTAATTAAATACTATCTCCTGCTCTGAACTCTGAAAGTGTGCACGAGCGCAACTATATATTAACCATTCTTTGTATAAAAACAATAGTAAACAATCAACCCACCCCATACAAGATCACCAATCCACCAAATTAAATACATTATAGAGTTCACCTAAGAGTCATCAATGCATCACTAAATTAAGTGAATATTCGATAGTTGGTCAGAGCATCCAAGGACAGAAAATTCAGCAAACATTAAACTACTGTTACTTTCGTTTCCGAAACATTTGTGAGAAGAAGTAAAACTAACGTTAACATTTGTTTTAAGAGAAAAAGAAACTGAAGCATGTTTAATGAACCGAAGGCCATAACTGCAGGCGCCCATGTTCCTCGAGCGCTGAAAGAGTAAATGTTGCTCATGACGTCGTTTCCTTGTTTATTTACTTCTGTGTACGACCCACTTACCTTCTTAATTTACCATGGAGCCCTGGAGATTCTCTCGCACAGCTCCAGATGTCAAAAAACAAGCGTTCATCTTATAAGCCAGATGAAAAATAAAAAAATAAAAACTACTTCTTGAGAACTATGCTCAGGCCAGTGACCATAATGTAGGAATAAAGAAAAACCAAAAAAAAAAGGCAGGGTTATGCAGACAAGAATATAATAATAATCACAAATCAGAGAAACCCGACCTTCTCTTCTTCCAGAAATTTACCTCAGCATCGATTTTCTGCGCGGTTCTTGCGGGCTCTGATTTGCACCGTGTGAGAACCAGAGGATGTACAGAGTCTACCCCTCCTCCTGCGATTTTTCTAAATTCTTGAGAGTCTTCTAATTTGAGGAGTCTCTCTTTGACTGAATCTTTAAGTTCTCGGCAAAGCCTTAACTTTTCCTCTGATTCTTTACCTGCCGACTCTCTCTGCTCAGGGAGTTCTTCGCTCTCCGTGGGGTTTTTGTTCTCAAGCCCTGTTCTCTGCTTCTGCTCTGTCTCTTCGCCTCTCAACGGCGAACCCCAGAACCTATTAGCCAAAGACGAAGATCTGTACGGTGCGGATCTACATCTAGTCAATAGCAAAGCGTTTTTCGGCGGCGTGCAAGACTTAGAAGCAAAAGAAATTGCATTATCATTAGCATTAACGTGAGCTCTCTCTTCATATTCCTCTTCAAGTTCTTCGTAACCACGCCCTGACTCATCACTGAACCTATCCCGGAAATTAGACTCGGTCAGAGAAGAGTGAGAGTCTTCTCTGACCTTGGTGGGTTTCCTGCGGAAGCTTCCGACCCGACAGAAGCCCCACTTGGGCCATACGGGGTGGCAGGGTTTGGGTTTGATTTTCGTGGAGACGCGATGACAAAACAGAAACTTACGGATCCACCGGCAGCGGCACCGGGTCGTGGCTCCCTCGCGGGCCCGTCGCGGGCGTTTCGACGCGGCTTGTTTGGAGGAGCGTCTAACTCGGACCTGACCCATGCATGTGACCTTGGGGGAAGAAGGTTCCTGGGTTTCAATGGCTGTACTCTTCTTCCGCACGAACATGGGGCTCGTCCTGGACCTGCCTCTGCTTCTACTCCCGGCATTGCTTCTCAGGAATCTCATCAATGGCGGCGGAAACTTCTCCGCCCGACCCGGACTCGAAATGGGTTTTGTAGACAGCTTCATCGTTACCCACACAACACAACACAACACTGTCTCCGAAGCGAGCGAGGGGGCGTCGAGAAGGTGCGTGCTGAGTGAAACTGAGGAGATATGATGTGATGAAATGAGTCGAGGCGGAGGATTGTCTGTGTTTGACAGTGTGGTTTGTGCAGATTTTGTTTTCTTGTGTGGACCAAACAAAGCTAATCTATTCTCTTATTTACCATTCGCACGGATGGGTGAATCATCTGCTATGATTTCTCTGTATCGAGGTTGTAGCCTTGTTGTTGTAGGCTTCTCTCGGGGGAAATAATGTCGGACCACTTTTCGAAGGGAAGAAATCAGAATTCATATGCTGTTATGTACCCAGTAAACTTTTTTAAAAAAAAAATAAAATAATTAAAAAATTAATGAAAATTTAAGTTGATGAAATTTAAAAAATTTTAGAGTGAATATTAATGTATTGTCTCATCTAAATGGGTGAGGGAAAATTCTTAAATATATAAAATTAGGCCAAAATGGAATTAATTGTTTTATGGAGAATTTATTGTATAAACTTGAGGGCGTTGATTGTAATTTTACGTTGGGCTTGACCTTTGCTTACTGCGGATCTGCTTGACAGCCTTGACTTTACCATCTCGAGGTCACTGATTATATTTTCAGGGACAAGGCCAGAGCGCGCCAGATTAAAAATAGGCAAGTCAGGAAAAATAACGCGCGCCTCTTGATCACACGTTATAGTAACAGGGAGCCGTTGGATTTCCGGGTTTTTTGATGGGGGATTAAAGTCGGTGGCCGTTAGATCTTCAAAGAGAGACCCAGGGCATTCCTGACAGTTCATACATATATTTGTTGGATGGATGGATGGGTCGACGGAAAGATATTTAGAAGGTAGCCCCAACTTGTTTGGACTGTTGTTAGCCAAAGAAGAGGGAATAAATAGCATAGCAATAGAAGGAAAATAGTCAAACTCAAATGAGTGCTTGTTTGGAAAGGGAAAATGGACATGATTTGACGGCCATTGATAGATCTTCTGTTTTGTCCATTTATTAATGCACCCCCCCAGTGACGACTCTCAATATCATTATGATAAAGAAGCTGCTCCATTTGTGACTCTGAGATCACCAACGCGTACTCATATTATACAACTCTGTCTCCTATTGGAATTGATCGTCTTTAATACAATACTTCACTCGCGGAATTTCTGTTTTGCCGGCTGAATTCCTCTTCTCTGCCTCGCAGGACTCCGTTCGAAACACTAAATTTGGAAGACTTAAAATCCAATTAAAATCTATTTAGTTTTTAACTTTCTTAGAATTATTAATTTAATGCTTAACTAGCCTTAAGAGGGGGGGGGGAGAAGAAAAAAGAGGCGATGCTTTGAAACTGCGGGATTGCCGGTAGGCCCACAGAAGAGTGAAGCAACATGTGGGATGGGGAGGAGCATTTGGTTAGAAAGGGGAGCTGACCGTACAAGGAAAGCTGCCACAAAATCTGAGAGCACCATAGTGATATCAGCGAGGATCATGGTTTCCAGTGACCTGACCTTAGGTGGAGTCAGGCCCATCAGTTCCTGAGTCAGCCTAGTGATCCATAGGTTTCAATCCACGTGTGAGGAAGCTCGCTCCCAACAACACAGCTTCAAAGTCAACAAATCTTTCACATAGCTCCGCTCCACCGTCAAAATCTGTGTTATTAAATTCGCATGTTCAGATTTCCACACTACATGACACCTTCATGTGACTGTGATGGCCGCTTCTATAATAACGTGGAGAAATGCCATAGAAATACGAAAGAGTTATGGACTAAACTAGTCCTTCCCGTTTTGTAATAATCATTATTTGCCAAAAGCAGGAACGCACCTACCACATAACGCGGAAGCGTTGAACCAGTTCTTCACATTTTATGATCGTTATATCACATAATGCCCACCCCACTGGTTTCCACTGCGTATTGACTTACTTTTTTGCCCTCTGTGTGAATACGAAACTTGATATGCCTTTCAGCTGGTTGAGATCATATATGGCCACTTTCAGGTAATACGTATGCACCTGATTCAGAATCTTCACGCGCCTTTTCACCCCGACAACTCACTGCTTTGACTCGGTCCTTAACATTGAAATCTTATTCGCTGGTCATGCCCTCTGGATCATCGCCACCGTCAGTTTCAATGCCTCATCGCCTGATACGCTTACTCCTTCAAAACGACTGATTCTTTCATCCACACAGTGGACGTTGCCCAAATTGCCTGAAACTACAAGAAGGAGCAAGTGAGCAACTCTTGAAAGAGTGATGAGTTAATTTGCGAGTAAGAATAAACAAGCATGAGAAAAAGGAATTAAAATATTAAATGCATTTTCCTTATTTATTTAAAGAACAAAATATTAATTCATTAGACTGAGGTCCACATACATGCAGGATTTAACCTGAGAAGCAATCTTTCAAAATACAACCTCTCTCTCTTTTTTTTAAACAATCGCAGTCAAATCCACAAGTTGTTGCTTATTTGTCAATTCTTATCTCTTTCCCACCAAATTTTTTTTGCGATGGTTGGATGCACGGATCATTATAATTCGATCACGGCCATCGTACGTCTCACGTTCATCTCAGACCCACGAAATACTCGGACCACCTCCAGCTCTGTTTATGGATGCAAATTTCTATTTATCTCAGCTCATATCAGTGTATTCGGAAAGTTCCAAGACTCCTTTAGATAATCAAACGACAAACAGTGAAATATTTTAAGGGAGTGTTTAGGTTAACCTCTTAAGAGTGGTTTATGGTATATGAGGAGTTTTATCTTGATTATATGAAAACATATTTTTGAAATACTCCTCCGGTCCTAAATATATACCCTTATACTTAGGACCGGAGAAGTAATTTATATGGCTGCCAAACTACCCCTGAATCACAACGACGCTTTATTGATTTTTTGTTTTTTGGCAGAGGAACTCTCTCCACTTATCAATCCATGCCTCTAACCTAGTTTCTAGCTCCAAACATACAATCTATCTAATTACATTTAATCTAAAATTTTGTGTATCCTAAATAAAAAAAACATTTAACGAGAAAAAAAATAAATGTTGGATCAGAATAAAACAAAATGAAAACTATCCTGAAAATTCAACAATCATATTTACATTTCTGGTAAAAAAAAAAAAAAGTCATATTCACACTTATAGCGCGATGTCGTGGACCGCCAGTGCATTGGGCGGGCTGGAATCTCTTCTGGGAAAAAGGCTCAAAAAAACCCACCAATCCTATGGCCCTTTTCTGGCCCATTGTTATGAAGCCAACAGGGGATTCAAAAACCCGAAAACGCAAGTCAACTGTCTTGGGCTAATTACTACTAATATTTTCCTCTGCTAAAAAAAAAAAAATTAGTGTTTATATTTAGGACCGGAAGAATACTACTTTATATTTTTAAGATAAGAGTTGTTTAATTAATTTTAAGTTGCATTTCGTTTCTTGAAGCACAAATAATGATCTTGCTCAAAAAACGTAAAATAATTCACTCAATCTCACACAGACAAAAATATTAACCACTACAACCTGTTCTTTACATTTAATCAATTTTGCCATACACAAATAATTTCACAACAAATCGCTAAATTTTCGTGGTTTAAATCTAAAACGATAATTCTTTTTGTTTGTCAAATTCGTAATTTATTTTTTAAAGTATCATATTGATTACATATATTAGAAGGTTTATATTTCTAAGTAGTCATGATTAAAAAAGATGTTTTAATAACGTTAACTCATATCTGTTATAAATAATTAATTTAACTAATTTTTTTAATTTAATTAAATTAGTTAAGTAGTTTTCATATTAAAAATCTAAGGTAGTATCAACATAATTCTTAACTTCAAGTCCAGCGTGATCGCTCTAATAATGTACTGCCGTATTTCACTTCATAACTAGTGTCTCATGTTTAAAATATAAACTTAGCATAACAATGATAACATCATCACATAAAAATGACAAGCAATTACGTGAAAATATATCATTTATATGAATTCATGAGAAACGGAATTTTTATTTGCCCATGGTCAAATCAAATACCAGTTTTTTCCATCTAACCAAATCATAATCCGTCCCGAGACTTCAGGGGTGTTTGAGAACGTGTAAAAATGTGTTTTTAAAAAAATACTTTTCTAAAACTCTCCTTTTATTGAAACCCAGGGAAAAAGGATGCATAATTGTCATGTGCGGTAAATAGGAGGCCGGAGCTAAACGAGTCAGGCCGTTTGCTGTCTGAAAGGAAACCTCGGTTCGTCTTCCTTTTACGAGTTCCTGCCGCGCTGGGAGGTTCATCTACCATGGCTGATCCCGCCTCGGCCAGCAACAGAAGGGATTCTAATAAATCCTCTGGTATGGTTTCCGTCTACTCTAGGTTTTCATTCAGACCATAACAACAGAGACTGGAAATGTTATGGTTGTTAGTTTATTCTTTCAATATTTCAATTCTTATACAATAGTTTATTACAGTTTAAGGAGCCCCAAAAGTTTTAACTGGGTCCTAGTTAACTAGCAAACCGGTGTCATTGTTTCCCAGCAACCAGCTGGAGCGCGCAGAGAGTGAAGAGCATGAATGCAGTTTTCGCTCCTAACTGGAAACTTGGCTGCATTAAATAGTTTCAGAATACTGGTGTGATTATGTTTCCTCAATGCATGAACAATGGAAATTTTCATCCAATCATCAATTTTTATGTTGTTCATCGTCTATACTTGTGTACTGCATATTTGCACCTTCCTATAATTACCTAATAAACTGGGCTTTGCTGCTTGCTATTTTTTTTCAACCATGTATGATATTGAATTATGTATTTATTTCAGTTGGAACCGTTGCTGCCGATAGAAGGCGGCAGCATGCAATCACAGTTGGAAAGGAAAGAAGGGAATCACTCGTGCGTGCTAAACGGCTATGTCGTGTTGGCATTAATACTGATGGCGAAGCTCCTCTTGATAGTGAAATGATGATTGAGGATGAACAATCGATTTTGGAGTCTCAAACCTCATTGGCAGTAGAAGAACTGAAGTCTGCCGTTGCTTATCAGTAAGCCTTCCAAAATTCTTTTACGTATCAAGTTTCTTCCCTGCCGTTTGTAATTTGTTCATTTCTCATGGTTATGTTTAACAACTCAAACGAGATACATGAACTATACTCTGTTTGTATTTTTCTTTTTGTATACTTTCGGATACAACCTTCCACTGAGGCAAGCATATGTAGTTTGTTTTGATATATAGTATTGTCTTGATCATATTTTTGACACAGACTGAGAAGGCTTCAATCATATCAGTTGTAGATTCAGTTTTAATTCAATTTGGCACATGTATTTCACTACGTGCTTTGATTGATAGGGGGAAGGGTGCAATGCAGAAAAAAGTGAGTGCTCTCCGAGAATTAAGGCGCTTACTGTCAAGATCTGAATTTCCTCCTGTTGAGGCTGCTGTCAAAGCAGGAGCAGTATCCATATTAGCTCAGTGTCTTTCATTCGGTTCCCCAGATGAACAGGTTTAAAGACTCATCTGACTGTGTGATTTAACATATTCATTGCTACATAAAATACTAGCAACTCATTGCTGATGTGAACGATGTTCAATTGTTCCTACCTCTTGTACTCACGAAAAGATCTGACTTCGGACATCTCTTTGTCTGTCACATGGATTATGTGGAACCCTAAAGCTTGTTGTGAGGACTTGTTGGAAATTTTATTAGTATTATTTGATAATTTTTGCACTGTATTTCTTCTGCAGTTGCTTGAGGCTGCTTGGTGCCTTACAAATGTTGCAGCAGGGAACCCAGAAGAAACAAGAGCTTTGTTGCCTGCATTGCCTTTACTTATTGCTCATCTTGGGGGTAAGTGATGCCTTTTAGAGTTCCTTTGCACATCAAGAGAAACATTCATTTATTAATTAATATTCGAACATCAGGATTAATATTTGATGTAATAACATACAATTTTGGCTTTCTAAGTGAGTATAGATGTTCTTATTATAGAAAAGGCTTCATGGTCACGTAGATAGGATGGTAGCAGCAAAGAATAACTGCTCAGTGGACTTTGGCGGGAAAAGGAACAGGCAGATCCAAGAAACGCCGTCTTTGATTCACACTTAACTTGAGCAACTCTAGGAAATTTTCACTATTAGTTTATGCGATATCTATCTCCTTTTCTCTGTCTTTCCGAATTACAAATCCATAACACTAATAAGCATTTATCACTTGTCACTTGCTGCTACCTAGGTTCCCCGAGTGGTGACAATTATTTCTGTCATGGAACAAGCTTAGATATAGTTGCACTTTCTTTATCCATATGAGTCATGATAAGGCCTTAGAATTGTGAACCTACTATAACGTACGTGATTCTCTGTGGGATTTCTTTAATGCCAAGTATCTTGTGAGAATCATGTTCTGTGAAAATAAAAGCTATTACTGCTTTATTTTAGATGTTCTGAGATTGAATATACAACTGAAATATCAGCAATTTTGAAGATTAGCTTGTAAAGTAATTAGGGAGCTGGTCCTCTGCCAAAGGTCTTGTTTGAGCCAGCATATATCACTGCAATATGCTTCTAAGTTTTGCTACTTTAAAATTTATTTTGCCAAATAACCAGTCTCTTTTGTGTGTGTGTGTGTGTGTGTTAAATATGGCATATTACGCTTAAAGGTTTAAGCTGAGATTATCATAATGTAGCTTTCACGGCTACCCTACCAACTCATGATTGCTCGTTTTCTGCAGAAAAGAGCTCCTTGCCTGTTGCTGAACAGTGTGCTTGGGCATTAGGAAATGTGGCTGGGGAAGGTGAGGAGTTGAGAAATGTTCTGCTAGCTCAAGGGGCGTTGCTACCTCTTGCAAGAATGATGCTTCCAAACAAAGGGTCAGCTGTGAGAACAGCTGCCTGGGCTTTGTCCAATTTAATAAAGGTTTCAAATCTGTTGATAGAATAATATGAGTAGTTGGCCCTTTTTGGGGTTCAAATATTTAGTTTTTTCTGACATTCTGTATCTGTATTGCTACTGTGTTTACTTGTTAGTCATGGCCGGAATTTCTGGGGTATGCTCTGTATTATTATGTGCAAGTGCAAGTGCGTTTGCAGTGTTTGCTGTGTGGTCCTTCTTGGAAATATATCATGACTCGAGCATTTTTGCATGTAGGGCCCAGATCCTAAAGCTGCAACAGAACTCATCCGTGTTGAGGGAGTATTGGATGCATTAATCCGTCATTTGAAAAAAGCGTGAGACTTACTTTGCTTTGGAACTGCTTTTAGATTTCTGCCTAGCGGTTTTGGTGCTGCAATGGGCTCTGGCTGCTTTCAGACTTGCATGCTTAATTACTTGTAAACACCGTACATGCTTGGTTTTACAGTGCATGGAATACTGTTAACTTTTCCTTGCTTAAAGTTTTGCTGCATTTATTACCCCAAAATAAGTTCACCTTTTCTATATTGGCTTGTGGGCTTGAAGATATCTGAAATGGCGGTAATGCAAATTGCAAACCCTCTTTCTGTATTATGACTCTATGGAAAGATTATTTCCTGCAAATATTACAGGAGATAATCAGGTCTTATACTCATCGATGATGTGTCTCTAATAGCCTATTCTAATTTTTTTTTCCATATTAAATTCCTCATTTACTTCAGGGACGATGAACTAGCTACTGAAGTGGCCTGGGTAATTGTTTATCTATCAGCACTATCAAATGTAGCCACCAGTATGCTGGTGAAGAGTGATGTACTTCAGTTGCTTGTAAAGAGGTTGTCAGCATCAAGCAGTTTGCAATTACTGATTCCGGTACAGATCCCCACTAGTTTTTTGACTGGTTTACAAAGTTTACCTCTCTGCGTCAGTAATTTTGTATGCATATTTTATATCTGTTCTATATATCAATAATGAGAAATTTATCTAGGTTTTGCGGAGTTTAGGTAATCTGATTGCTGGTGATTCCAATACAATTTATGCCGTTATTGTGCCAGGACGTGAAATTACTGGTTAGTTAATCTTGGCTTTTATATTTTAAGCCAGGGGGAAAAATCAGCTTCTATTTTCCTCGTTTAAAATATGCAATTTTATCGTAAAGGCTGACTTCCTTACATTTGATTTCGTAATGGCTTTTTCAGATAATGTCATTGAGGTGCTAGTGAAGTGTCTGAAAAGTGAACACAGGGTGTTAAAGAAGGTATAGTTTTTGTTTTTCCAATCTTTGGTTCTTTGATCAAACTTCATATTACTTTTGATGTGAGCTTTGTTATCTATGCAGGAAGCAGCATGGGTGTTGTCTAATATAGCTGCCGGTTCTGTCGAGCACAAGCAGTTGATATATTCCAGTGAGGCAATGCCTTTGCTGTTGCGCCTTCTTTCTGCAGCTCCGTTTGATATAAGAAAGGAAGCAGCATATGTATTGGGCAACCTTTGTGTTGCCCCATCTAAAGGTGAAGGTGGCCAGACGCCGAGTCTGATCCTGGACCACTTGGTTCCACTTGTTGAAAGAGGATGCTTGCCTGGCTTTATTGATTTGGTTAGATCTGCTGATATTGAGGCTGCTAGGTTAGGACTTCAATTCATAGAGCTGGTAAGAAATTGCGATTATTGCATCAATGATATTTTGTAGCCTTTGTTTGGACTGTTAGTTGGTTTGATCTCACTAAATAGAGCCTATCAGTTCGAAAATCAAGTTCTTTGATGTTGAAATTCCTACTGTGATCTCTTAGAAGATTTAGTCATGTTTGTAGGTCCTGAGGGGGATGCCAGGGGGTGGGGGGCCCAAGCTTGTAGAACAAGCAGATGGGATTGAGGCCATGGAAAGATTTCAATTTCATGAAAATGAAGATCTGAGAACAATGGCAAATAGTCTGGTTGACAAGTATTTTGGAGAGGACTACGGGCTTGATGAGTAGTTGATTGGTGTTGCCGGGATTAGCGTCGGATCCCTCGTCCCGCTGCGCTGTACTTGGTTTCTAGTCCGTCCAGCATATCAAGTTACGCTACCCACCTGATTTGGGATTCTTCTTCCAAGACAGCGGAATTTTATCTAAGGGGGCCACGTTTGATGAAGCTGTCGCGAATTTCTAGGTTTGCAGTGTTGCGGCTTTTATGTTGTAAGAAACCGAGGATACGTAAACGTGCTGAAAAATGTACATTTTGGTCCATGGTGAATGTAGTCTCTTTAGTACCCCATATGAGCTGGCATTTTCTAGTTTTTTCCAACTTTTTTTGGGGGTCCAAATCCGTCCTCTTCTCTAGAAGAAGTTCTGAGTTTCGATCTGACCTCGGTTATAACTCAGTGAAGTATGTTTTCACTTTCAGCAATTAATCCCAGTACCGTTAATGCAAAAATGTTGATATTAAAATTTTAAATATGAACAAAATATTGTCGAATAAAAAAATGGTGTTTCAAACATAATTGAAGACATCTATGTCTAAACAAGAAAACAAAGGGTGAATTGTAATGAATTACAGTAAACATAGTTACTAAAAAGTCTGCAACAAAACAACCTTTGACAAGTTTCAATGTTAATAAAAAGATAATTTTTTTAAATTAAAAAATAAAAAGTTAAATTAAATTTTTGTATAAAATTATATGATCAACATAAAAAAGAGAATCACAGGAAAGAGTTAGCGCCTTCCTGTGCTTAAAAAATATTAAATGAACTCTGAGCGGGCTCATAAAATCACCGGCGGCGGTGGCGGGTGCTGGCGGGGGAAAATCCCTAAAAGAGAAGTGGGACGCATAGTGTGGCGAGCAAGCCTTGTTGTCTTCAAAGAATGGCCAACGGCTCGTCCTTTTTGTTTTCGGGCATTAGCTTCGATAGAAAAAGGTTCGGCAGCGATATTGCCAAGTTCGAGGTAGGAAATGTCCTTCTTCGTTTGTTTGTCTTTTGAGGTTTTCTTCCCTTTTGAGATTCTGGCGTGATGTCCTGTATTCGTGCTTCGAATTTTATTCTCACTGACATGTTCATTTTTGCCGAAAGAAAAAAGAAAAAGATCATTCCGTGAAGGTTTCGAGCTCGGTTGAAATTGAGAAAGCAGAATCAGTTGATGGAAAGGCGCCTGCGAAGAAGAGGAAGCGGAAGGGAGTGGTTTCAGGTTTTTTTTTCTTGGGCGCTTCTGGATTAGTATATTCATTGATCAAATTTGTCTCATTTTCTGTTCGTTTCTGCTGGGAAAACAAAACAAGAACAGAAACAGTTGAGGGATTCAATGTCTTTAAGAAGTCCAAATCAGCGGTACTTCAACCTAAAGATGAAGATAAAGTTGTGGTTGAGTCCATTCAGCAGACAAAAGAGCAAAATAAGCAACTCGAGGTTCTTCCTTTCTGTCTCGTGAAATATGACACAATTTTTATCATTTTGATTTTTTTCCCCCCTTACTCTTATTATGTACTGATTCTTTTTGCTTTCCATGTCTAGCGGGATGCTCTATTCAGGAAGAGGCACAACATTCATGTGTCTGGGTACAATGTCCCGTCCCCGCTTCAAAATTTTGAGGACTTGAGCTCAAGGTATTCTCAAACTGCTGTACACATGTGTCTGTATCTGATAATTACACTTGTTACGTGACTATTAGAGTACTTTCTCCTAACTTTTATGTCTTCTGATAAGATCCCGTTCACGGGAAGCAAATTTTCCAGTAGAAAATATTGTTTGCAAATATTAGTCACATTCCATCTGACTATGGTTGCTGATGCATAAATTGTTATTCCTTTCTTTTTTTGTTTTGTTTGTATTTTTAATGATATGACGTTTTGATTTAGAGGGTCCATCATCCCTTCACTTTTGAATGCTGCAACCAACCTGTCTGTCTGTGTATAATTGCTTGTTCTGATTATGCTTGTCTTTATAAATTACTATGATTTAGATTCTAAATAAATTCTTCGCAGATATAAATGTGAACCATATATGTTACGCAATCTGGCAAAACTCGGATTCATAGAACCCACACCAATTCAAAGACAAGCTATTCCTGTTCTCTTACATGTAAGGAATCTCATTTAAGTTCCTTGTGCTTTTATTGAGCTTGTTTTCCCTTTGTTTTATTAGCCTAGAATGCATTCGTTGATTTAATCATATTTTCATTTACTTGATATTGACCCTTAGTTACTTTTGATTTGTGAACATTATTTTTTTTGGCTTATTTTCTTGCTTAATAATTTGTGGTCAGGATCGTGAATGCTTTGCCTGTGCCCCAACTGGCTCTGGAAAAACCTTGGCATTTGTTTGTCCTATGCTTATAAAGCTCAAGGTATTGCTTAACCCTTATTTTGTATTTTCAGTTCCCATGCTTTATGTTCATGTGATCAACTCTCATTTACAGGATCCTTCAAAAAATGGCATTCGAGCTGTTATCCTTTGTCCCACTCGTGAATTATCTTCTCAAACTTACAGAGAGTGCAAAAAGCTGGCTAAAGGAAAAAAGTTCCGTATCAAGTTAATGACGAAAGAGCTAGCAAGAAATGGTGATTTTACTAGATTTTCATGTGATATACTTATATCCACACCACTTCGGTTACACTTGGCTATCCGGAGGAAAAAGATTGACCTCAGCCGGTATGTGATATTATAGTCTTCTGGAGTTGAGATAACTTTAAATGCTTGAAAATTGAAATACAAATCTTTATATAGGTGGGTATGATCCAAGTATTGACCTGTGAGGTTTTTCGTTGACTGATTAGTTAATCTATTGAAGCCATTCGAACCGCAAGTTGTTGGCTCAATTTATTTAAGTTCCTCCATTGCCAATGCGGATTTGGTGGTATGAAAACATTTTGAAAAGCAAAAACAATATCACAAGTGAGGAGACTCAATTAGGTGTTTTAAAATTTAGTTGTAAAGTTGAATATATATAAAATTTTAATTATAGAATGTCACCAAAAAAAAAATAATTATAGAAGTTAAATCAATAAACATTTATTGTTCAATCGCTTTTGATTAAGCTTAAGGCCAGCTACTTATATTGTTTTAATTTTTAAGCAATTATCTGGCAATGATATCCTTAACTATATCTTATATTGTCTGAGATACTGGTAATTGTTTTACACTGCCATTGATATATTTTTCTTTTCCACTTTTGGTTGCTCTGCAGAGTTGAGTATCTTGTCCTGGATGAATCTGATAAGCTTTTTGAGCTGGGGTTATTCGAGCAGATTGATTCTGTTATCCAAGCATGTTCAAACCCCTCAATAATACGCTCACTTTTCAGTGCCACTTTGCCTGATTCTGTTGAGGATCGTGCTCGGGAGCTTATGCATGATGCCATTAGAGTTATTGTTGGCAGAAAGTAAGATTGGTGTTGGTCTTTACAGAACCACAGCACACACAATTCCAGTTCACTGTTGTTCATTAATGCCCTGTTTTTATGTCAATCAGGAATATGGCTTCTGAAACAATAAAGCAAAAATTAGTTTTTACTGGAAATGAGGAGGGAAAACTTATGGCAATTCGCCAAAGCTTTGCAGAGGTATTATGCTAATTGGAATGTTTGAAAACAAAGCTTTTACATTAAGATTATGCTTATGTGACAAGGTTGTTTATACTTAATATCATGACTTTATCATCACACGATTGTTGATGCATCTTTTTTGAGTTTGATATTCATTATTATGAAACCTGGTTAATTCATATGTATGATATGTAATTTTGTGATCCCACAGATTTTCTAGAGTGTATTTGTTCTTAATTTGTACTGTTTGGCAATAAATTATAAGTATAACAATTGTTTTATGATTTGTATGTTTTTCTTAATATTTCACCTCGGGTTGAGAGTTATTGTTTTGCTGCTGCTGCGCCGCCGCCACCGCCATCGCACACATGCACAGTATAATGTAAATGTAAAACATGCTGTCAACATCTGGGTTTTTTGTTAGGAATTTATGTTGCTCTTGGCAGAGCTTTTAGCTTGGAGTGATAATTATGGTAATACATGCTTTTGGAACTTTGACAGAATATGATAGTATAGAGCTGCTTCTTTTGGTTCATTTTACCATTTTCTTTTATTTAATTTTTTAATTTTTGGTATACATTATACCATTTTCTTATTGCCTGCGTTTGTTGATCTGCATTTTATCTCGTCATCTTGTAGAGTTTAAATCCCCCAGTATTGGTCTTCGTCCAAAGCAAGGAGCGAGCAAAAGAACTCTATGGTGAACTACAATTTGACAACCTCAGAGTTGGTGTTATCCATTCTGATTTGTCTCAAAAGGAGGTAGTTTCCAGTCCCTTTGAACAAGAAGTTGCATCCCTAACATATGGACGATGTCTAAACCAAAAGGGGGGGGGGGGGAGCGATGTGTGTGTGTAAGCTGTAATAATTTACATGGCAGAGATGCATGTGGTAAAATCATCACATTCTGTGTGGCATTTGTTTTGTAATTTTTAGTGCTTTTTAGCCTGTCAGTACTTTTTGTTCTTGTCAGGCAGTATTATATTTATGCAATTAATGATGGGTGTCTTTAGGACTCTTGGGACCATCTTGAACACTTTGCCCTGGACTACTATAGCAGACTTGGTGATTTAACTGGGATTTGATTTTTCTTTTTGGTAACATCTAATTTGAATGCAGCGAGAAGATGCTGTGGATAATTTCAGAGCGGGAAAAACATGGGTTTTGATTGCTACTGATGTAGTTGCTAGAGGCATGGATTTCAAAGCTGTGAAATGTGTGATCAACTACGATTTTCCAGATTCTGCTGCTGCTTACATCCATAGGATAGGTACGTGCCATCATAGTAATTTGCTTTTGCCTTGAATAAATATTAAGGAGGCGTTTGATACATTTTATGGTATGAGATGACAAAGTAGCAGATACTATAAAATTCATGACGTGGTTCATGTTGAGATCCAATAGTGCGGAATGTTATCAGATAACCCTGTTTTTGGTGGATGTTGGTATAGGTGTCATAACAGATATTGTCCTTTTATCATATCGATATACTAAATACTATCATTTAATCCTAATATAAAAAATACTATAGTGCAAGAGATGTTTTGGACAAGATTCCAGTATCTGAAACTCCTCGGTGGAGTGTTGAACGGTGATGATTGAAAGTTGTATGATTTCCTCGTGAGCATTGGAGTCATGGTTGCTACCTCTCTGTGTTCATGAAATTATCTTGCCTGCAATGATTCGTTATTTTGGTATGCAAATAGGTCGTTCTGGGAGAGCAGGGAGGGCTGGAGAAGCCATAACATTTTATTCGGAGGAAGACATGCCCTTGCTGCGTAATATAGCCAATCTGATGGCAACATCAGGCTGTGAAGTTCCAACTTTTCTCCTGGAGCTGCCCAAAAAGAAGTGGAAGAAACACCGTCCCAAAAGAGATTCTATCTCTACCAAACCCAAAGTATAATACACCCTACTGTTTCATCTGATGTTTCGCTTTGACATCTACGAGACAGTTGATGTTAAAAATGTAGGATGAAAAGAAGCGGAGCCTACGAAGGGGCGAGATGTAATTGACTCTGAGTAATAGTGATCAGTTTTGTCTTGGAGGAATTATGTTAGGCTTTTTTTTTTTTTTTAATCAGTGGAATTATGTTAGGCGTTAATTTAAAAGAAGTGGCAAGCTTTTTTTCCCCCTTTTTTAATTTTTGGGAAGCCACAACTCCGATGTGCCGCGTTGTACGGTGATACAAACAGCTGGATATTTTTCCCCTCTACATTACCTGATTAACACTAAATATTTTGAGATCCCATGGGTGGCAGGTCCCTAGCTCTCTGCAGATGATCTTGTATGAACGTTATTTATGAAAGCGAATCTCAATTGTGAATTTAAATATATAATAATTGGACAGGAATAAAAATTTCTTACCTACAAAAACATGAATGTAGAGTTTACACGAGTGGCTCGTCATCTAACTTCATAGGCATTTCTCTTGCATGCATGTGTCGATACATGAGATTGTTGAAGGTCAATAGACTGGGAGTTCAGTAAGGATTCATGATCATCATATACGGATCCTTTTCATGACGAAATATCTTCATTGCAGCAATGGGAGGACAATTTTCCAATGGTAAGTACGCGAAGGAATTTCGTATCAGTGCGTTACAGATTAACAAAAATGATCAAATTGATTATTTCCATTCGATATTTCAAGTTCGAAGAGCGATAGAATTAGTTTAATGAGAGACAATAAAATGGCCCTTTCTGTAACATAATCAATGTACGCCTGTAAGCAACTTTGAAAGCCCTCAACTGTTTCTGTAACATGATTAGAAAGCAACGAAAGAAATTTCATCATCCGACAGCTTGTGGTTACAGAAAAGCTGAACGAAGCTGCTCAGCTTGCTTTAGTTTCTTTTCATTCTTTTCCTGAGGACCTCGGATTTTTGCCCCAGAACGAGATTAAAAGAAAACTCAGAATCAGATATTTGACTTTTCGTAAGTAGGACAACCGATGTGGTCAGCGAAGCCCATAACCAAACAGCGATCCAAACAAACCCTAATCATCTCGCTAAGCTTCTTTTCCTCCCCTTTTTTAATCTCACTCTTCATTGCAACTGTTTAAATTAATGTTTCAGACGGGATTGGTCCAAAAATCAACCCATAATCATAACACCTTGATTAAAAATTCGTTAGGCTCATAATTGTTCGATATAACATTATAATGCAACCTTTTTCAGCACACCCATGCTTATTTTCACAGGACGATATCGAAGACCAATATTCAATGTTAATTTCTTTTTTCAGAATCCCTGATAGTGTACGTACTAACGGTCAATTCCAAATTAAAAATTCAACAGAAGACAGAACGAATAATGCTAGTTAAATGGTGGAGTTGTCAATTGTTGAGTAATGATGGGCAACATCCCAACTGCTATTTGGTGCTGGATAGCAACTCATGCTCAAACCCAACCTATTTTTTTATTCCATTCATATGCCTTTTACTTCAAGTGACACCAAAGCGAAGCAATACCTTCCCAATGAAACGCCTCCAAACATAAATTTTAAGCATTCAGTTTGGCTGTACCAATCATAATTTTTCTTTGGTTCCGACTTTTTTTTTTTTTTTTTTAGTCCTAACAAATATGTGGAGCCCCTTAAAGGTTCTACTTTATATTACCTAACCACCTTCTTCTTCTCCTTCGCTGATTAATCAAAAACTTGCATTCTGTTGCAGCAACTGGTTTTACAGAAAATGGGGTCACTAGAAAGATCAAAGAAGGGAATTCAGTTGTGGAAGAAAGCCATGATCCATTTCTCTCTGTGTTTTGTGATGGGGTTCTTTACAGGCTTTGCTCCAACAGGTAATTCATCTTTCGTTTCAACAAAAGTAGCTTCTGCCTCCAATGGAACAGAATTTGCACCGCAAGCTATTGAAATGTCACACGACCAGCCAACGAATGTCAACAGAAGTTTAATATCTCCAAGTTCTAGGATCCCCAAACACAAGACAGAGTCTCATGTACAAGAAGAGCCCAGTTTGAAGCCTAGAAAACACATAATCATTGTCACTCCAACGAGCAACAAAATTCCCTTTCAGGCAGTGTTATTGAGGAGGTTGGCGAATACTATAAAGCTGGTTCCTCAGCCATTGTTGTGGATTGTGGTGGAACCACCAACGGAATCCACAGAACTGTCGGAGATACTCAGAAAAACAGGAATCATGTACAGACATTTGGTGTCCAAGGAAAACTTCACGGACCTGGAAGCTGAGCTGAATCATCAAAGAAATCTTGCTCTTAAGCACATCGAACACCATAGGCTAACTGGGATTGTTCACTTTGCTGGGCTTTCCAATGCTTACGATCTTGAATTCTTCCACCAGCTTAGACATATTGAGTATGATATCCTCACCCATTATTTCTTACTTTTGACTTGATTATATTTCTGTTTTTCCATACCACCCTTTGGTCGCTTTCAAAATCTTGAAAAGCTGGTGTTGATGTTCTGCTTGTCCACGGGATGGTGCATGGAAGGTGAAAGATGATCAAATTTGCAAATTGATTAATGAAAGGCAATTAGAAATTCTTTAGGTACACCAACCACAAAATATAATCAAGTATGCAATATGTTTCACACTTCCAGGTCACAAGTCTTTGTTTTTTGTTTGTTTTTCTGTTGCACGTTGTTATGTAATCTTTCTGATCACTCACATTCATAACTCATAATCTTGGGGATTTAAAATTACAATAACTATGTGCATATGGGCGTATGTTAATGTTTATATATATATTGATATGAAAACTGGGCAGGGTATTTGGAACATGGCCAGTGGCTCTATTAGCAGCGAACAGGAAGAAAGCAATTATAGAAGGGCCAGTGTGTGATTCTTCACAAGTTATAGGTTGGCATCTGAAGAATATCAACAATGAATCTGTTTCTGCCACTCCTCCCATTCACATTTCAAGTTTTGCATTCAATAGTTCCATTCTCTGGGACCCTGAAAGGTGGGGTCGCACTTCTTCCGTTCAAGACACATCTCAGGTACTTATTATCTTCAACTTTCAAGCCTCTTTTTTTTTTTTTTTAATGCAATTCTTGTAAAATAGGAAAAAAAAAATACACATTTTATCATTAAAAATATTAGAATATCAGACTCATTTGGAATCCTAAGTATCTTCATACTTAACAATCCATTAAGCAAAGTCCATGTGGCATTTTTAGGTTAATATTTTCTTCTCCTTTTTTTGTTTTTGTTTTTGTTTTGATGATTATGCTCTTATAGGATAAGACTTCACTGTTTGAGCCTGAGGTATAAGTTTTGGTTGAGGTCTGGCCAACACCCAACTACTTTAAATAGGAAAAATGAAAAAAGAACAAGGGAGTAAGTATTAGCCTATTAGGTAATATGATGACAACTTGGCTGACTTATTCAGCTAATCAGAATGCGACCTTGAATTATTTTATACTCCACCATAATGTTACTAACAACTAATAATGTAGTTTCCCCCTTACTCCAACATAAAGCCCACTTTAAATAATATCCAACTCAGTGATGAACAGTTCTTTCATATTTTTCTTTCCCCCGGCTGAAAATAGTTCATTCACTTATTATATGGTTTTTGTTTTGGGATTTGTCAGAACTCAATCAAAATTGTGAAGCAAGTCGTATTGGAAGATGAATCAAAGTTAAATGGGATTCCGCCAGAGGGATGCTCCAGAATCATGCTATGGCGTTTCAATTTTCAACCTCCTGTCCCTTCAAGATATCAACTTTTAACATCCACATCAAATGGTAGCCCCAGATAATGAAACAAGAATCCAGAAAATTGCAAACATTGAGGCAAATCCAAGGATTGGCGAATGCAGGAATTTCTTTCATACTTTTGAGGATTTTATTCTATATTTTCTTTTAGTTTTGGTTAGTTTTACGTTTACACATATCTTCTGTATGTTAATAATTTTATTGGTTCATAAGGAATTCAATGTTTTGTAGCGTAGAAGAAGCGAAAAACATCCAATCTGGGATCATTTTAAGTTCGGGAAAGCTATTCTTTTAGTGATTCATCAAATGAAGTATATGGATCAGGTTGGGCTTTTTTGGATGCCAAATATGCTTGTGCAGTTTTTTGTGAAGTGAGACCTATGAATGGCCCTGCCGACATGGCACGGAAGGGGGGTTTGGATCTAGCCTCCAAATAAGATTGTGATTGTCAGTAAGAAAATACCTGTATTTAAAAAAGAAAAAGACATGACACAAAACAGTTGTGATCCTGATACCGCTCCTGATTTGAGATTCTTTTTTAGGATTATGTTCTCTGATTCTTTGATTTGATGTCAAAAAAAAAAAACTTGGTAGAGTGTATTTGATTATTTCTATGTATCCTTGTCTTCCCGACCAAGTAAATAAAAACATAGCTTTTATGATATTCTGCGGATTGGAAGATGGTTGATCGAATGTTGCCTTGAGTAAAGCTAAACTACTCATTTCATTCTTGTATTTTAGTAAACTGCATACGCTTTAAAAAAAAAGAAAAGAAATTATAACACCTTTTGTATATTTTAAAATATGTAATATGCAGCTCGATTTAAAGATTTTGACATGTGTGTATATTCTCCAATAACCGAAATTTTATATTTATTATACTATCTCTCATTATTAATACGAGAGTTGGTTGGAGATGAATCTGTTTATTTTTAAATATATAATCTTAATTCATTCTGCCTTACTTACAGATTTATAATAAAATATTCCTATTAACTGTAAAAGGTTTTCACTGAAGAAATTATTCGAGCGCATATAGTTAATATGGCGTGTGCTTTGCAGACTGTTTGGAAGAGAGAACGTGCATTGGAACGAGGGAAACATGCGTTGTTGGTTGGTGGGGATTTGAACAATTGCTTGGTTTAACTTTTTCTCAAATTGACTTTTGAGAAAAGAAAAAAAAAATTGATTTAAGACAAAAGCTAATCATAATACTACCCTCGGTTATTGATATAAGATTTTATTTAATTTTTATTTTAATTCTAAATATAAAATCGTAATCTATTTTATCTCTCGTATTTATGTATTTTTTAAGATAGTCTTTTTAACAATGATAATTCTAACCAACACACTTAATTAATAAGGATATTCTAGGAAAGACAACACCTATTTATTACAAATAACTAACTTAACTTCTTTCTTTAATTTTTTCAAATTAGTCAACAGTCCTTGTAATTAGGACTAGGGATAGTAGCTTTTAAGGGCAAGATGAGGGGTTTGTTTGGATTAGTAATTAAAAAAGCAGCTTATTGTCAGTTTGATTTTTGAAAAAGTAAAGTTAGGTAAAAGTTAAACTGGATAAGTTGAATTATATTTTGATTAAAAATTCAGAAAAACTAATCTGTAAAAGTGAGATTGGTAAAAAGTTATTTGAATTATGATTGAGTGAGAGTAAACTTGTTTATAAAATTACTAAAATGTTTATGAGTTTTAATAAATAATGAAACATTATTAAAAAAAATAATTTTACATAATACAATGGATTTAAATTAATTTAATATAAAGAAGTGAAATTTAATAAGTGAATTAAATTTTAAAACTCTAGAGAAATCATAAAAAATATTTTAAATATAAAGTGAAACATGATTAAAAAATGAATTTACATAATACAACAAATTTAAGTTAATTTAATATAAAGAAGTAAAATTTAACGAGTGAATTAAATTTTAAAACTTTAAATAAATCATAAAAAATATTTTAATAATGATTGAGTAAGTAATTTTAACAAAAGTATATTTCTAACTTATTTATTACTTTCAATTAATTTTAATTGATTTTTTTATCTACAAATTAGTTATTTGAGGCTTATAATAAGAACCAAATAAGGTAATGAATTTCTTAACCTTTTATCTTTCCATGTTTTAAAAGCTATAAGTCATAAATTATTAATTTTAGTTTATAACTTATTATAGCTTTTTACACAAAAGCTAGATTGTTCAATCGCCAAGCCAAACAACACAAATTCTTTAAACGGTCTTATACCTAAAAAAAAAAGCAGCTTATTTTCCTCCAAATGCTTAGCCAACCAGACTCGAGAATGTAGACTGTAGAGAGAGAAAAAATAATCATAAAAAAATACAAAATGACTCCAACAAACCCAATAATAGAGATGATAAAAAATATAAGGGTATTTAAACGGATCCCATCTTAACCCAATAATTTAATTTTTTAGAAGAAAAAATTAACTAATAAAATTTAATTAATTTAATTAATTATTTTTCTAAAATATATCAAATTGTATATGCACGGTATATTACATTCGCTCTTTAATATAAGACCTCAATAGATTGATTTGAATAGATTAAAAATGTTAAATAAATTACTTACTTATATTATATGTTACATGATTTCTTTAAAATACTTATATATTCTTTATCTTTTCAAATTAACTAACTAAGTCTTATATAAAAACTCATGCCATTTTCAGTTATTTTACATATAAATTTATTTGTTTGTTATCCATTTAAATAAGTTTCAACTTTTTAAATTAACTTTTTATAAACATTAATCCAAACACAAATAACATTAAATTGACTGATTTTTATCCTAAATTAAATTTGCAAACGTTAGTTGAAATAAAAATCAGTTTTAACACTACTGATCCAAACACACTCGTGATAGTTTGTGAAAAGTCAACATATATTTGTTATAATTAACTAATTTAACTTTTTTTTTTTTAATTTTCTCATGTTAGAAAAAACCGGATAGTACTTACAGCCCTAGAGGGACTTTTGATTATCTACTATTTTTCACTAAAAAGGGCTTTTTGATGTGTATAAATGGGACATATAATTTGTGTTGGGTTATAAAATAATATAAGAAAGTTCTCTCTTTCACTTGTCTCAATTATACCTTCTGCATACTTCATTTATTTATTCTGGGTCAATTATCTTGCTCCATTTTATATCAGTTTCGTTCGTATGATTTGTGGGTGAAATTCATATTTATGCCGGTTTAAAATCCATATTCACACAATCACACCCACAGTATCCAGCCCATAATTCCTGGCAAACGGACTTTAACAAGCATTACAGATAGGCTTCCTATTTTTATTAAAAACGAAAAACCGAACAAGTCTTGGTTTTGGAACTTGGAAGTTGGAAGTCTTTTCATAATAACTTTGGATTTTCGAACGGTACCAAACATGACCACGTATATTTTTTTAAACCTAGTAGGACAGACACATACACGCACAGGTATAATTTATTAGCAGGTTCAAGCTAAATGAGCATTTATTTATTTTGCCTTCGTTTTTGTTGGTCCTGGTGGTTGTAGACGCTGAGAACCTCGAAGCCCAATCAACAAGCAAATGGAGCTTCTTTAAGGCACTGTTAGATTCGTTTGGCGTTATTCTCCAATGCGCTTTCAAGAATTCAAATATTTTGTGCTGAATAATTAATTTCAAAGCTCACCCATCTCTCTTATCAATGATTCTGCATCATAAACTGCTCAACAGTGAGGCGCTGTTAGCCGCTGGGTTGATAAGCAACCACGCTTTGTCTGCAACAGTCAACCTCCCTCAAATAATGCCCTACCTTCTCCATTTCATCATATTTATCCTTTAAAATTATTATTCACAGAATTAAAATAATATACTAATAAATACGTAAAAATATGATATGCTTCCTCTAACTTGCCGTTCATTTATTGCTAACTGTATCACCTTAACATTTTAAAAACATTGTTTTGCTCTGAGAATAAAACAGAAAAAAAAATTGAAATAAATTTTTTGGCATTGAAAAGAACAAAATAACATAACGTAGTATCAAGTACAAACACAAAAAAAAAAAAAGTTGGGCTTCATTTTCTGACCTACTCCAATTATGAAAACGTCCAGGCTTCACAGAAAAGAAAACAGCATTAGGCGAGAAGGAGCCATATTTGAGTTGCATTATGCCTTGGAAATCTGGTCAGACCAATCCGACCCCACCGCAGTGATAATCATTTGGTGTTTTGGCTCGGTTGTACCAACCCCAATGGTATGAATATAATGGAGGAAAGGAATATAATAAAGCGTGGTGCACTGAATTTGCCGTGTTTAGCGAACGATATTAATGTAAACCCAAATTTATTGAAAGAGGTGGTTAGGGTTCTTGTGTCATAGAAGACAAGCTTGCTGGCGCGAGAAGAAAAGAACTTGAAATGTCAAAATAGAAATTCATTTGTTACTCTCAAATGGGCTCTACATATAGTAATGTGAGCAGCATGCGGAGAGGAATGGAGTGCAATTATTACTATCAGAACCCCACTGTAGCTTGCAGCCTCACAGTCAGTTACCATGAAGGAAAAGGAAAGGTGAATAATTGACGCACGGTGGGTGACCAAGGGAAGAGAAGATTTTATGACTCGTAATTATGAGATGTCACTGCGGAAGCAAATAATTTGCGTTATTAAAAAATTGACCTAAACGAGACTTGAATATCTGATGTAAGATATATCAATCACAGATGTTATATCCTGATTGTTGTAGAAATTGCCAATTGCCAGATCTCTGAAGCGCCGCATCAAAATTACAATCGTCGGCGACCAAATCGTTAATTTGATCCTTTCAACGAAGGGAAAGTGTGGGGGGTTTTAGGCTGATAACAATGGAGTAGGACCCACCATGGCCAATCCAAGCTGTGGGGCCAATATATTAGCAAAAACCAGCTGGGCTTCCCCTCCCTCATAGTCCCTTTTATCGCTGGAAGCTGGGAGAGAAAAGAAGGCGTTGTGGCAAGATCTGATTTATTTCGCTTCCCTCTTTACAGGGGAGAGCGACATTGTGGTTGAACTGTAATCTTCAAGTTCTAATCTTTTTGTTTCTTTTGTTTATGAGAGAGTGATAGTGAGAGGTATAGCGACCCCAGGGGAGGAGAAGAAGATATTTGAGATCTGCCATTTCCGGGGTTCAGTTCAGGTATTTTCATATTCATCTTCAACGGACTTGCATTTTCAGTTCTGACTTTTCACTTTTTCTATGCTATATTCCACTTCATCATTTTGCTAGAACATGTAATTCTCTGCTTACCTTTAGTATTCAGCTGACGCTCTTGGATTTCCTCCTATGTCTGCATTATTTGGAGAAATTTCTCGCAGTTCCAACTTTTTACTGCTGCTAATACGTGGGGAAGCCTGCTAATCTTGATGGAAAATTTTGCTTTTATCTGTTGCTGTCTCTTTGCTATGAAAATTCATGAAGGAAGATAATTCAGTAATCTAGATGGTTCAACATGATTTGGTGAAAGAGGATCTTGAAACTTTTTTTTGTTTTTTTTTTCCGGTCAAGAAACTTCTGTTTTAGTTTGCCGACACTTTTAGAATTCCTCTACGAGATTCTTACTCGGATTGCTTTCTTTATAATTTCAGTTACTTTTCTCCCTTCTTTGCCCATTGTGTTCATGATAATTTCCTTACCAGAAGTTCCATAGTCATTTCCTCTTCCTCAAAATAAAACGAATATATGATCAAGTGATGAGGCTTACTCCGTCTCTGGGATTCCTTGCTTTTCACTTTCAAGTTTCAAAACTCGCATGGCTTTTCGTCATAATTGCCGTTTCTGAAGCTAAATTATGGTTGTTCATCAGGTTTGACTTGAGATCTTAAAATTCTCAAGTTTTCTATTCAAGGAACCGATTGAGGAATGCCAAGAAGATGGGTAGGAAAGGAAATTGGTTTTCTAGCGTGAAGAAAGCTCTCAGTCCTGAATCAAAGAAAAGGGAAGACGAGGTTTGGAGTTTCTTTTCTTTTCTTTCTTTTTTAACATACATTTTTATATTTATCTCAATTTTATTTGATGTCTCTGATGTTTCATTAACTACATTTGCAGAGATCAAATAAATCAAAGAAGAAATGGTTTGGAAAGCAAAAATTGCAGACTTCAGATTCGTACTTGGAAACTGATAATGCACCTCCTCTTCCTCCACCAGAAGAGGTCAAATTGACTAACATTGAGAGTGAAAGCAATCGTGCTCCCGATGTTGAAGTTGCAACTGCTGCTACTGATACTGAGGAGCCAGTTCCTGCGGTTCAAACAGCCCCCGTTCCAGTTCAAGCTGCTATCATTCCTCAGTCTTCTAGGAAATTAAGTACTGAAGTAGCAGCAATTAAGATTCAAACAGCTTTTCGAGGATACTTGGTATGAACTGCATCCTTATAAGGGCAAAAAAACGTTAGAAATAACTGTATATACCTATTGTTTTTGTCAACCCTCTAATTTTCCTTATAAGCCAACAAACTCAAATCAGTTGAGAGTCATCTCTTAACTGGCACGTCTTGCTGAATTTTTATTTCTATTTAATGACATCTTCAATGATACCGAGTTCTGAACACTGTTATTCTATAATTGCTGCAACAGAAGGTTCTTATTGATTGAATGACCAGTCACGATTTAAACTGAGTTTCCTTTGGCAATCATTTAGGCAAGAAGAGCATTGAGGGCTTTAAGAGGCTTGGTTAGGCTGAAATCTCTGATGGAAGGGCCAGTTGTAAAACGCCAAGCTGCTAGTACTCTTCGTTCTATGCAGGCTCTGGCTCGTGTGCAATCTCAGATTCGATCTAGGAGGATCAGAATGCTAGAGGAGAATCAAGCTATTCAGAGACAATTCTTACAGAAACATGCAAAAGAGCTTAGCATCCAGGTGTGCTTTATTTCCTTATCTACTACGTGTACATAATGCTAACCTCTTGCTTATGATTCATAGTATTTGTTTTGTAATGCCGTTTTATGAAATTTATAATTTGTTTCAAATTGTAACAACAGATGGGAGATGAATGGGATGACAGCCTGCAATCAAAGGAACAAATTGAAGCCAAGTTGCTGAGCAAGTACGAGGCCACAGTGAGGAGAGAAAGGGCGCTGGCTTATGCATTCTCTCACCAGGTGTTCTATTAATTTTGTGAATTTAGACACATTTTTGTCATCATGGAATAAGAGGGAAAACAATGGAAATGAGTGAAAAATTTTGATGAACTGAATAGAAAAAGACAGTAGGAAAAGCTAGCCAATTAGTTTCTCACTTTGCATGAAAATATCACACTTAATTGACAAACTTGTTAAGAACCCAAATTTTTCTTGGATTATTATTCTAAAAGTTATTAGTTAGTGGTTAGTTTTAAATTCTAGGTTTCCTTATCTCTCGAAATTCTTCCTCTTCTATGATCTCTCCTCAACTCAGGCTTGACATAACATGAATCCGTTTTTTGGGTCTTTGACTGTATTCGAAGCCTTAAACTCTGCAGTGCTGCCTTTGTCATGGCATCGGCCAGACATTGTCTTTTTGTCTAAGAGAAAAACATTTATGAGATATGATGACGTTGGATTGCTACTTTCCTAGTATCGCTTTGTGATCTCAATCTAGTTGCGAATCAATTTTGTTGAATATAATTATGCCTGCATTCACAAGTGAGCATGACGTTTCTTAACACCTGATGCAATTGCCTTCTAGCCATAACAAATTTCTTAGGTACCAGGCGATATAAATCTTTTAGTCTATCCTAGTTTACACAAGAGAATAATAACCACTAGCTCAGGTTTTTGAAGTCTGATAGCAGCACAAGATGCCATATATCTCAGGCTTGATATGTTAGTGAATGCCCTTTGGATCTGTTTTTATTTATTTATTTTTGGCAAAAACAGAAATAGTTTTCTAACTTATTTCTGAAAGAACTTTGTCTTACAAGTTTGAAGTAAAATTTATATAGGCAGAGAATTATGTTGTTTGAAACCTTTGTTCCCCTTGTTAGAATTTTTTTTCTTCATGGAATTTCCCCCCCTCGAAAAGCCTTAAAAAACCAATTGTATTATTTGCTTGGTAGAGTGGCAGCTTACCTACTTTTCGTTTACTTGCAAATGCAAATGATATTATTTGGTTACCTAAAGAAAAATTCTTAGGCAAACCTAGTCTCTACAAAGATAAATAGGCGGAGCAAATAATGAAGAAAAAGAGCATGCCAGACACTTTAGTGTCATAATCTATCTCTGACATGTTTTCTTTGGCTTACCTAAGGTTTACTCACTTGAAGTGCTGACTGCTGACGCTATAGCTTACAACCTATAATGGTTTGCTGATTGTCAACTTACTTAAGTTCGTTCTTTGCTCCCGTTAAATGTTTTGACAGCAAAATGGGAAGAATTCATCGAGATCTATAAACCCTGTATTTATGGATCCAACCAACCCAGCATGGGGTTGGAGCTGGCTGGAGCGATGGATGGCAGCCCGGCCCTGGGAAAGCAAAGATGTGAATGACCAGTCGTCGGTCAAAAGCTCGAGCCGCAGCATCACCGGCGGAGAAATCAGTAAATCTTATGCTCGTTACCAGCTCAATTCTGAAAAGCACTCTCCAACGGCCAGCCAAAACCTAGGCTCCCCTAGCTTTCACTCCCACTCAACTCCTTCCAAGGCACTCGCTTCTTCAGCATCAGTTGCCAAAAAACTGAAGAAAGTGAGCCCCAAGGAAACCTCGGTTATTGATGATGACTCTAAAAGCATGGTTAGCGTGCAGTCTGGTTTTCGAAGGCACTCCATTGCTGGATCATCTGTGAGAGATGACGAGAGCCTCTCAAGCTCTCAGGCGGTCCCAAGCTACATGGTGCCAACTCAGTCTACGAAAGCCAAGTTCAAGACACACAGTCCATTAACAGTAGAGAATGAAACAGTAGAGAAGGCATCCTCTGTGACAGCTAAGAAACGGCTTTCGTTCCCTCCTTCACCAGCAAGGCCAAGACGACATTCAGGTCCACCCAAAGTGGAAAGCAGCTTCAATGCAGAGGTCACCGTCGGCAATGGTGTGGCTGGTTGATTATGCGGAAAAGAGCTGGAGCTGAACAGAAGTGTTACTGAAAGAGAATCATAGAAGAAATAACTCATGAGACGAAAATGTTCAATCTGAATGAGTGTTCATTTATTGATTTTATTATAATTTATCTGTATCTTATTGTTGTGGAATGTATTTATCTGGGATGAAAATCGAAATTTATTTTACTTGAGGGGAGGAAAGATTATTGATGTCCTTATGGCGTCCTCTTGGATCTTCCTCATTAAGGAGGATTAATATACTGTTTAAATTTGTCGGTTCCTCATTTATGGCATAAAGTGTATATTATGCTATCTTCAGTTTCTTGGGATGGTAGTGTTTATTTCTGCTTCATGGTGATGCACCCTAAATTGAGCTTTGTTTCAAAATTTGACATGCTTGTTGCCCTGAAATGATCGATTATGTAAATTATGCTTCCAGGTGATTCTAAATATGATTCTAAATAGAGTCTTGGTAGAATGAGCAGAGAAGAAAAGAGTAGTTCTAAAGAAAAGGTGGAGCTAACAAGAGGAGTACGGCCTAATCAAGATTACAATGACAGTATTAACAGTCTTGTACTTGAGAGTGAATAAAAGCTTAGCATTTTTTGAAATGTTATTAATTAATGTTGGCAAAAATATGATATTGACGTGAAATATAAGATGCTGGGCTTTAACAGGCATTTCTACGAAATTATTTTATCTACTAATAGTGGACAAATTGGAGTATTACCAAATCACGCACTTATTGCCACAGCTGTAGATATCGGTATTTTGAACTGGAAAAAAATTATTCAGAGTCGTTGTTTCTCTTCAGTTGAAAAGGAAGCAAGAATGCAAGATTGTTTTCAGACAAGCAGAGCTATTTATTTTATTTTATTTTATATATATTGATTTTTTTTTTTGCCAACTTATTTCTTTTTATATTGATTAGCTATTGATATTGACATCCAAAAAATTATTAAATATCCGAAGGAAAACAATTGCGGTTTATTTGAAAAATAAAAAGAAGTCAGCTCTCGTCTTTCTCTCGTACATTCTTTGCGCGAAACGCAAACCCTAACCCGCTGGCTGCGAATGTTCATTGGCGGTTCTTCCAGGTGATATCAATATGGTAAGCGCTATACATGCTCATCCTCATTGGAATTTAACTTATTTTTATCTATTTGTAAGCTTCGGTTTATATTGAACGGGAAAATAATCGTAAACAAGCTCCTGAACGGTATGCGAATCTTAGAGCTGTGTCCACTGTGACTGGCATATTCTTTGGCATGCTTAATTAATTTTCAAATCTCGTTATCATTCCTTGGTCTTTCTGATTTGAAGCTTCCTCATCTCTCTATAGAATGTCTTCCCTGCTTTTCATTTAAAAAAGAAAAAGAAAAAAAGAATGCCTTCCCCGCTTTCGATTTGCCATTTGTGCCGCTAATTATACTTGGCGCTTAGATTATGATATCTACAGAAATTAAACTGTTACTTGTATTGGATTATTTTCTATTCATCTGTTTTTCAAGGGCGACAATGAGGCTTTATAGCATAGCCAGGGTGTGCAATTTATATTTTGGGTGGGAAATGAGGAACATAATCTCACATACTATGTTGAATAATGAATATCAATCAGAAGCTGGAATTTCCCATTCTTCATAATTACAGCTTAGATTTTTTTGTGACTACCTGATGCCCCAACAATAAGGGAGGCTTTTTCTTATTAAACTGCGGTCTATTCTTAATCTCCTTCAGGACACTGAAAGTAATACTTGTAACAGGCTACACCATTGATGGCGGGGCTTGCTGTAGCTGCCGCTGCTTATGCTGGCAGATATGGGATCCAAGCCTGGCAAGCATTCAAGGCAAGGCCACCAAGATTGCGTAAATTTTATGAAGGTGGTTTCCAACCGACCATGACTAGAAGGGAAGCCGCTCTTATACTGGGGGTCAGGTACTGTCATCCCTTTTCGAAGCTTTAAATATGTTGATGTGGTCAATTCATCCCTGCGATAACTTGGGAAATGTCCAGAATATGACATTCTGGTTGATGACTGAGAGCTTGAGTCACTGATGACGAGTTTTCTTTATGAGATTAGTTAATTAAATTAATACTTTTTTTTTTTTGTGGTTAGAATATCCAACGCATAGTATACATTTAGGTTAAGGATTTTTAAATTTATATGCAAATTGCAAGTCTCTGCTAATCAGGTTACCAGTTCATGGAGTCAATGCTTCTCCCTTGCCAGTGTGCTGTGCGGGCCTCAGCGGCCCTAAAGCTCCCCATATGCGTTTTAAGCTCTGGTTGATTAATTGAAATCCAAATAAATTTACAGCATATAGCTTATGATCTGTTCAGAATATTGGAAAATACGAATCATATTTAGAAATTTGTATGCCTGTTGACTTTTCTTTTGCGACGGATTGTTAAATGGTTCATGCATGCCTGTTGGTTTTTAACCTTGGCCCTCTTGCTTTCACTTTGCTCTGGGAGGGTGAGGAGTATGCACATTTTACCACTTATAAACAAATTTCGGTGAAATTATAGAATTAAATTCCATTCGTGTACTTTGGAGAGGTTTTGGACTATGGTTGTTAGTCCCAGATAACTCAATACCCGCTCCCCCCACCCCCCCGGGGGCGGGTGGGGGGAAAACCTGTTACATGTCTTGATTTCTCCTTCCTCTGTGGCTGGTTAGATTTCCGTTGGTTCTTATTGAGTTCTTGTCACTCAGCATGGCCTTGACGTATATCTTACTAGATGCCTTATATACCATATGCTGCTTTCATTAGTATTTCTTGCTGAATTCAATGTCATGGCAGGGAGAGAACTCCAACGGATAAGATCAAGGAAGCGCATAGGAGGGTGATGGTTGCAAACCATCCAGATGCTGGTGGTAGCCATTACCTTGCATCGAAAATTAATGAAGCAAAGGATGTGTTACTTGGCAAGACCAAGGGAGGTGGCTCTGCATTTTGAAGCTCAATTTCCCCCATCCACTTGTTCTCTTCCTTGACAGTTTTGACGATATCCTGTACCAAAATTCAACGGAAATTATTTTGGTCTCTGAGCCATCATTTTTTCGACCTAATTATATCAAGTGATAAATGATTAAATGTAACGCATAATATTTCTTTTTCCGATGAGGAAGCTTTGTAGTAACTGGGGTTGTGTCCCTGAGAGTTGAAGAGACCGTTGGTTAGAGTTATTTCACTGGCGCTCGCAACATCCTACCAATTCTTTTCTTGACTTGTTCCTGTTCTCCAGTATCTTATATTTAGAACTAAAATAAAAGTCAAACAGGATTTTATATTAAGGACCGGAGACAGTACTATATTTATATATATTTTTTCAAAGTAACCTTTTTAATAATGACAGTTCTAGTCAATACACTTGATTAATAAGGATATTTTAGGAAAGAAAACATCTATTTAGGACAAATAACTAACTTAACTTACTTCCTTAATTTTTTCAAATTAGTTAACTAGCTCTTATAATTAGGACCGGAGGTAGTATTTTGTTTTTAACAGTACTATATTTATATATATTTTTTTCAAAGTAACCTTTTAATAATGACAGTTCTAGTCAATACACTTGATAATAAGGATATTTTAGGAAAGAAAACATTTTAAGAAAGAAAACATCTATTTAAGACAAATAACTAACTTAACTTACTTCCTTAATTTTTTCAAATTAGTTAACTAGCTCTTATAATTAGGACCGGAGGTAGTATTTTGTTTTAACTCCAAACGATATACTTCCTTCTGTCCTTAATATAAGATATTGTTTGATTTTTATTTTAGTTTTAAATATAAGATCTCAATCTATTTTGTCTTTTATATTTATATTTTTTTTAATCAAGATAGTTCACGTAATAGTGATAGTTTTGACTAATATATTTAAGTGTGGAGGAAGTATTATATTTACTTATTTTAGCAGCTCGCATGTGAATTGAATCGAGCGGTATTCAATATTATGTTCACAATATATATATACACATATTCATAACGTAAATGCGTACTTAATTATCAATGACATTGTGGGGAATTCAGAGTGGCAAACGGCTTTAAAGTGAACAGAAATCTCATCGCCTGAAAGAGTTAAGATGAAACAAACAACTACTTTGTTTATTTGATTCTCTCCCCGGTTGAGTTTTTTATTTCCGCTGATAATTAAAAATTAAAAATGTTCTAAGGTCGTGTGTGCTCCTTAAAATTTGAAAAAAGAAATTTTTATAGAGTTATAAGTTGAAAGTATTGATCGCAAAAATTGAGTCAAAACACAACAAATTTTACTTAATAAATTATTTGTTTATTGGTAAAGAATGATAAATTATTTATTGAATGATAATAAATACGAACGAGAGGGATTCGAGTAAAAAAGATAAAAATGAGAGGAAACATTGAATGGATAAATGGCATCCGATGAATTGCATAATATAATTCTGAATTCGTCTTATAATTCTTGATCAAATAATCCCAACACTTCAAATTAAAATACATTTAAAAATAATTGCCTCTCCATTTAAATGGACACTAGAGTTATGAGCCCAAAGCCAGTGGCCCGATGGCCCAGACGAGTTGTCTCCTTGCTCTTCTCCTATTTAAACATGCACTTTAAGTTGAGCTAGGGTTTTACACTGCGGCAGCTGCTTTATCGGCCCCAAATTTCCTGAACTCTGTTAGCGAAGAGGAACTAACTCACCGTCAACATGGGGTAAGAGCCTCCACTTTCAGATTCCGACCTCGCTCCTTTGGTTTTGCGACGAGTCCTCGTCTATCATGTATATATATTAGAGGTGTAGAATGCTTGTAGAGAGCAAAAAAAGAAGATGGAGAATGCTTGGGCTCTTTTGTGTCTTGCTGCAAAAATGAACAAAATATGTGAATGGCTCTTATTGATTGGTTCTGTTATATGTGTTTCTGATCATCGATTTGTATTGGGGTGCATCTAACTATTTTTTTATGTTTTATTTTCGCCTGGATATATATATTTTTCCCTGAGAACCTGCATGGTTTTATTTGAGTGCAGTACTATAATTGTAGCACGTAAGTTGTGTTTACGTTTTTCCAAGTTTGCGGTTGTTTGCAAAATTTATTGTTCTTAGTTTCAGAGTGGTGACTTGTAAAATCTGATAATTATGATCTCTTGATCGTCTGCCATATGGCTCTAAGTATATGATCCAGCCACATGGCATTTGAGGAAATTGAATAGCAGCGAGACTCCTAAGTATTTCTTCCTGAGCATGTAATTTAAAGTTTCTGGTTCTGAATCTTTACATGAAAGATTGTCTTAATCTGCAATCTTTCAATTCTCATTTGTTTGAGTAGAATATGATGCCCTCCCTACAATTGGGAATTTTCTTGTTTAATCTAAAATCAGAACATCAGATTTGGCCGATTAAGTCTTCTCACATAGTTTAGTGCTATTACAGGAAGACTCGGGGAATGGGAGCTGCCCGCAAGCTGCGATCCCACCGCAGGAGGCAAAGGTGGGCAGACAAGGCATACAAAAAGTCTCACCTTGGGAATGAGTGGAAGAAGCCTTTTGCTGGCTCATCCCATGCAAAGGGTATTGTGCTTGAAAAGATGTAAGATTGTCTGTGATTTTTCACTGGAGCTTTTCTTCGATTGGAGTAGTGGTATAAGGAATTAATATGATATTTTACCTGCAGAGGGATTGAGGCTAAGCAGCCCAACTCTGCCATTCGTAAGTGTGCCAGGGTTCAACTTATTAAAAATGGGAAGAAGATCGCTGCTTTTGTTCCAAACGATGGTTGCTTAAACTTCATAGAAGAGAATGTAAGTTTTCCTTTAGTATGACCCTAGTTATTTTCTGCGGATCCTTGTATCTTTCTAGTACTGTGACATTTCAATTGTACTGAAATCTACTTATGTTTCTCTTTGAATGTTGTTCATATTTTATGATGTTATATGGAGCGTGTTACTTGTTTGTAGGATGAAGTATTGATAGCTGGATTTGGGCGAAAAGGTCACGCCGTCGGTGATATTCCTGGGGTTAGGTTCAAGGTTGTGAAGGTGTCCGGTGTTTCCCTCCTGGCACTCTTCAAGGAGAAGAAGGAGAAGCCGAGGTCTTAAATTTATGAGACGGCTTGTGATAGTCTTAAGATTCATGAGTTTTACTTTTGGTAGTAAAAAATGAGTTTTTTTTTTGAGTTCATGAGCTGTGTGGACAATTTTGTATCCCTCTTAGTCAATTTGCTAAACTCCTTAAATTTTGGTCGCAAACTAATCTATTTAGTTTGGATCGCATACATTTACTTTTCGAGCGCGCTGTTTTATTTTAGCTTTAATGTACTTTTTTGGCTGGCCCCTATTTTGTGCTATTCTTTTTTCTTTTTTTCTTTTTGGTTTTTATGATAACAAAAGGAGCAGAGCTCAAACTAAAAACTACTTAATAGTTTTGATTGGGCGCTAACTACTCTCTCTAGTTGTGATCGCTTGTATTTGGTTCATTTTAACAATGCATACGATGCTGATTTTGTTTCTTTTAGCGAAAATATAAAAAATTAAAGAAGCCTGAATAAGACAAACAAAATCCTATATGACGTTGAAGGATAATTGCCGGGGGATCAGATGGACTCTGGCACCGTTACTTTTCTTCAGCAATTCTTCTGTGATTCACTCAATGGTCCAAAGCCGCCTAAAAATTTTAGGAACAACAAAAAAAAATGAAATTTTGTAAATAGCAAATAAGAAATGTCAATAGAAATTTATTGTTATTTACAAATTCAGACTTGTTAACACTAAATAAAGTTGTATTACTAAATCAGATTTGGGATTTGTAATTTTTAGTTTTTTTTGTCTGTTATTCTCTCAATTTTATTGAGACCGGTGTAGTACTAATTACTGTAATTAATTCTAAATAGTAAATGAAATTATATTTAAATTAGTTAGAACTAACCAATCACATTTGACCTCACTACTCGTGGAAGAATAGTATTTCGGCCACTGAACTCGCCTCTATAATTCTTGTGGGCAATGACACAATTATAGCTATGCCGTTATCACTTCAGTTAAAAATTTATTCAAAAAATATTTTACAAGTAATTTCATTCCGTCAATAATTTTTATTTGGAACTAGGTCCCTAAAGCAGGTGAATTACAGTTAATATATTTAATATAAATATCTAATAAATTATTTTATGTAAGAAATATTATGTCTTCACTCTTCAATGTTCCGCAACACGTATCTAATTTATTTTTATTTTAATTTCTGGTCACATTGCTGATATGTAAACGCATTCGCGAGTGAAGAAGAAGAGACTCCCGCCAAAACCTGTGGAAGGAAGAAGCCGCGGGAACGGGAACGGCTAGGTATCGGAGGGAATCGGGATGTACGGAACTCCGTTAGAGAGAAACATTGTTGGATATGGCTCCTTGGATCCAAGTGGGTTCATGGATGTAGTGGGCATTTATTTTCCTCAGCAGCTTTTCACAGTCGAACAAAGCTGGCTCGACCTCATGTCTGCTCTCATCTCTTTCTTTTCTTCTCCATCGGGCAAAAACCTAACTTCCCAGGTAATGCTCACCCCCTTCTGTTAATCTTCCTTTTTTCTTTATTTTTTCCCTCCTCCCGTTTCTCACATATTTTGAGAATTTACAGTGATGGATTTTCCCCTATAACTTCGTAAATGTTTTTCGGTGGATTATCTGGAGTCGTTAGTATTTAACTCATAGACAATAGCTTATACATAACGAACACTCATTCTGCCCATAGTTTATGAGCAACCAAGGTCTAACCATTTGGTCCATTTATAATTGCATGAACTTCGTTATTATTTGTATTAAGTGGTAACCTGAAAATAGAAACCAAGACTCTTTCAAGTTGCTGATAAAAATGATTTTGCAATCTGGCAACTTTGAATGGTTAGTTCCATGCTTTCTGAACACCTTTGGATGTGTAGTGACATTGAATATTTCATATGGCGTTCCTGGGGGACGATTTTTAATATGTTGTTAACAGGTTAAAAATCATCATGGCAGCTTTGCCTTATCACTTGACTTCCAGCAGTTTCAAAATATATGCCATATTGAGGAATTCTATAAAATGTTAGAGGAGAAACCTAAAATCGCTCTCTTGTGCATGAGCGCTGCAGTTCATAAGGTATGGTGACTATACGGTGGCATTTGCTTCGGTCTCTTCTGTTGTTGCATAAAAAGGTGTATATCATGTGTAGGCCAAGGCATAATTTGCTCAATACTGGAAACAGGTTCTTAGTGCCATATGGGAGAGTGACCAACTTGAGGATGGTGCAAAAGTAGACATCCGACTGCATAACTGTCCTGAAACTATGATTGCTCTGAAAAACTTAAAAGCAGTATATATTGGTATCTCTTAGTACCCCTTGTAGTAGCATGTTACTTTGTTTTCCATATTTGCTAGGATTAAGCTTTCTTATGGCTAAAGAAAAAAGACAGAGTATAACATTTGTTGTCTCGACAGACAAACTTGTCTCAGTGCGTGGTACTGTTGTGAAGGCCAGCACTGTCAGGCCTCTTGTGATGGATATGAGTTTTGAATGCGGAAAGTGCAAACAAAGAATTAGGCGTATCTTTCCTGATGGAAAATTTTCACCACCATCAATTTGCAATTTGAATGGCTGCAAGAGCAAAATATTTAACCCATTACGATCTACAGCTCAAGCTATAGATTTTCAAAAAATAAGGTGGGCTTTGTACTTTCTCGCTAACTTTTGTTCTTTTGCGCAAGTCTTTTTCAATCTTTTACACTTTTGCTGCGGGAGTTCAGGTTCTTAAAATCCTAATATATATGTGGGTTTTTGTCCTTTGCCGTATGACTTCGTGCTGCACCAGGTTGCAGGAACTCCTAAAACCCGAAGACCATGAAGAAGGACGAGTTCCTCGGACAGTGGAATGTGAGCTCATCCAAGACCTCGTTGATACATGCATACCTGGAGATGTGTTGACTGTCACTGGAATAATAAGGGGAATTAACACTTACATGGATATTGGTGGAGGTACGCAACGCAATTTTCTCCCTTTGCATATGGTACTCTGTATCAGGTATCAACCTTTTACATGTATATTGAAATGAAAGCAACCTAGGTTTTTGAGCAAAGATAACCATGTTCTCTTTTCTCTCCTTTATTTTTTGATGTTCACTGAGACATATTGAATTTGGTCACATCTTATGCAGCTTGTTGGTATTTATGTAGGAAAGTCGAAGAACAGAAGCCAGGGATTTTACTATTTGTATCTCGAAGCTGTTTCCGTGCAAAATTCCAAGTCACAGTCTACAAATGAGGATTTGCAAGACACTAATCCCAAAGCAAGACCGGCTGAGCTGCTTGATTTGTTTTCATTTTCTTCCAGGGATTTAGAGTTTATTGTGAAATTTTCGATGGAGCATGGCTCAGATTTGTTTCGGCAAATTCTTCAATCTATATGCCCATCTATCTATGGGCATGAGCTTGTTAAAGGTATGCCTATGTTGCCCATCCAATGGCTGAAAATGTCATGCTTTTGGATGGCAGTAAGCTAGGTGTGCAATTTTTTTACCTGTAAGTCCATTGGTTATAATGTTGCTAAATTCTGACTACTTGCTTCCTCAGGTGCATAAATGATCCTCCTCAAGCATGAGTTCTGAAATCAATTATATGGAATGGTGAAATAGTGCTAATTTGCTTCAATTTTTACAGCTGGGATTACGCTGGCATTATTTGGGGGTGTGCGAAAACATTCTATGGATCAGAATAAGGTTCCTGTAAGGGGAGACATTCATGTCATAATTGTCGGTATGCTCAATGTCTTTTCCTTATCTTTAAACGAAGTCAAACCTCGGAATCTTGTTTATCTGACGAAGTGGAATTATTTTTTATGATCATTTTTTCTTCACTAGTTAAAGGAATTATGGTGGAGTGATTACAAGTGGTGGAGATGAAATGACCAGCTTGTATCATTTAATTTCATTTTCTAGGTGATCCTGGACTAGGCAAGAGCCAATTGCTACAAGCAGCAGCCGCTGTTTCTCCGCGAGGCATCTATGTCTGTGGTAATGCGACAACTAAAGCCGGCCTCACAGTAGCTGTAGTAAAGGATCCTATGACGAGTGACTATGCTTTTGAGGCCGGTATGCGTTCTTCCTTCAGTTCTACTTAACCAGACCCTTATTTTCTGGTTCTTTGTGAACAAATTCTAGAATTTGAGGGTTATTTGTGGTCGGTCATGGTTGATAGCACTGTTTTCGAAAATTTTATATTAAATAATGTTATTTTAACTTTAGTTGTTTACTATTTCATAGATATTCTGATCTTCTCTAGGCTCTATACCAGAAATAATGCCTGCTGCTGTATAATCGATGTTTTAGTTTGAATGGAGGTCACATCGGACGGCTATGAGCTCTTATAAAATTATTTTTGTCTGGCTTTTAGCGTGATTATGATGCATGCTTCCTAGATCCTAACTTGACGAACAAAGACCAAAAATTAAAAATAACAGAACGATTGTTTTCATGGCTTCAGTACGAACTCTTGTTTCAAAGTGTATGTTCAATAATTCATAAGCTTAAATTATCAAATCACATGCTGGACCAGTGCTGAGTTGTTTTTACGATAAATGGAAAAAACGGTGCCCTTGTTTATCTGAGGCTCGTCTCTAGTTGAAGATACATGCTATTTAATAAGATTATATTTATAGAGTTCCAATGTTTTCTGTTATCACTAACGTTTTGTTTTTCCTTCTCTGGTTGTCCAAAAAGGAACTCCTATCCTCTTCTTTTGGATTCTTCTTTCTCTTATCCATTGAATTGGGTCTAGCAGCTTCTGTATGGTTTCTATAAAATATAGTTCTTAACTTCGCCTTTTTTTATTGATATTGTTCTTAGGGGCTATGGTGTTGGCTGACAGTGGATTGTGTTGCATTGATGAGTTCGATAAAATGTCAGCCGAACATCAGGTTTGTCCTCTGGTTGCCTGGCGATCAATTTCTAGTAATTCTTCCCCCGGCGAAAGGATCAATTTCCAGTAACTTGAATTGCGATTTTGAACTTAAGCCTTTACTCATGGCAATAATACAGGCTCTACTGGAGGCCATGGAACAACAGTGTGTCTCTATTGCAAAGGCAGGATTGGTGGCAAGTTTATCAGCTCGAACTTCTGTCTTAGCGGCAGCAAATCCAGTCGGTGGTCATTATAAGTAATTTTCCTCCCACTATTTTGTCAGCAGACTGTTCTTAGCTAGATATTCCGCCTTAGATTATCACAAAAAACAGTCACAAATTTGATAAAAATGAATAATATTCCTCGCCTTTTGCTCTATTTTAATGAAACAGATATCATTTAATACCCAAAGAAAATGTTTCTTCCAATAGATTCTGCAGAAGCTACGCGATTTTTATATTAAAGCAGCTAAAATGTTTCTTTCTGTTGCAGCCGCGCGAAGACTGTGAATGAAAACTTGAAAATGAGTGCCGCTCTGCTGTCCCGATTTGATTTAGTTTTCATACTGCTGGACAAACCTGATGAACTTCTGGACAAGCGAGTCTCGGAGCACATCATGTCAGTAAGTTATCCTGCCTTGTCACTTTTAAACGGTGCTGCTGGTAAGCAAATCACACCATGTTCATATCTCATCCATGGTGGATGGCAATGGCAACTCTGTGTCTCTGTTTGTACGTCATTCTGTTGTCTCCGAAGATGAATGGTTCGAATGTATCCTGCAGCTTCATGCTGGTAATGGACAACTAGCAGTCAAAAAGCAACGTAGAGGTTACCTCTTTACTTCCTCTAGCATGAATTTTTGTGTTTGCTAGAGTATCCAACTTAATGGTTTGTTTTGCTTTACTTATGGAGACTGTTGATTTTGGCCAGATTTACCTTCTGATTCAAGAATTACGGCACCACAGAATGCTGAAAGCATCGATTTGGGGGTTAGATCTGGTTCTTTAGTTTCAAAGTTGAGACTTGACCCACAACGAGATAGTGGTTTTGTACCATTGCCTACACAACTTCTTCGAAAATACATTGCTTATGCGAGGAGTTTTGTCTTCCCCAGGTTATGTCTGTCAACTGTATCTATTGATTCCAGCGGAAATTGTCCCTTGGCAGATTATAAGATTTTAAATGTAATTTCACCTCAGGCAGAATCTAAGATACCAATTGATTCGTCTCTTCCACTTAATCAGGATGTCCAAGCCCGCAGCAGAAATCCTACAAAAGTTTTACCTTAAGCTGAGAGATCATAATACTTCAGCTGATGGTACACCGATAACGGCAAGGCAACTTGAAAGCCTCGTGAGGCTGGCTGAAGCTCGGGCTCGGCTAGACTTGAGGGAAGAAATAACGGCCCAGGATGCCATGGTTAGTTCTAGTTGGGATTGGATTGAATAATCCAGTTGCATCGGTCCTAGTTTGATTACGATGCAAGTTTAAGGGTTATATAGATCAATGCTGACGTAAAAATGCCTTCAGAGAAACAAGTTAAAAGGTTAATTGTCGTTTTGTTCCCCTATCTTCATAGTATGCATTAATGATCATATAGAAGTTTCGGTTAGCAAGACAAGTGTATTGACGATTGTTTCTTCAGGGGTAAAAATTTGAGAATTGCCAAGTTTTTTGTCATAAATTCTCTCGAATCAATCTTCTGATGACAAGGTCGTGTTTGCAGGACGTAGTTGAAATAATGAAGGAATCCCTGTATGATAAATACGTAGATGAGCATGGATTTGTGGATTTTGGACGAAGTGGGGGGATGAGTCAACAGAAAGAGGCGAAACGCTTCCTAAGTGCCCTCAACAAACAATCAGAATTACAGCAGAAAGATTGCTTTTCAATATCTGTATGTACTCCTTCCCCACCCCCCCGGGGGGTAATTCGTGTTTTTTGCTTTTTAACTGAGAGATGTATGCGTCCCCTTTCCAGGAAATATATAGTCTGGCGGATAGAATTGGCCTACAAGTGCCTGATATTGACACTTTCATCGATAATTTAAACAGCGTTGGTTATCTACTCAAAAAGGGTCCAAAGACATACCAGGTACGGTTCCGTCGTGAATTTTTCTGCACAGCTGGATATTTATACTTGAATATAAAGCCTCAATCCAAATATGTATTCACCAGCAATACCTGCTTGGATTGGAGTTCATCATCATAATATTGCTGGGCTTGAAGACGTTATCTCACAATTCTAGTCTTTAAGTAGGGATAGGTTAATATCATGTTGACAACCCACTTATAGCATTTAGCCATTCATTACGTTATGACATGTCGCCAAGTGTAGTAACCAGGAATCCTTGGACTTGTGCAGGTGTTATCCTCCTCGTATACGCGAAGCCAATCATCTAGGGCAAAGAGCTAACCGGCTAGACAGGCTAGGCGATGCCCATTTTCCCACATGCTGAATATTATGGAGTCTGCCGTGGAATGTGATGCGCTTATAACTGAGCCCCTATGCTTTTACGTGCTGTATAGGATGAAACTGATCCAAGAGTACGGAAACCTGTACTTGAGTCGATTAGCGACTCGTGATGAACTGCGCAAGTGGGGCATTCAACTGAGACTATTGTAACTACATATAGCCGCTGAGCCTTCGTTAAGACGGACAAACGTAAGACCTAACATGCAAACGTCTACATTGGCATCAAGCTTGACCTTTTTGTTCTGTTCTTTTTCCCTTCTTGAGACTGACTTTAACCAACAAGAGTACAATAGATAAAAGAAGCCAGCTTTTCTATATGTAATATAACTATTATTTTTTTCCTTTTATAAACATTGATATTGGTATGTACTGCCATATACAGTTTTTTCTTGTGACAGTGTCATACTTTTCTATACTAACATTGGTGTTCAGTTCCATAAGCGGATATACCAATGAGTTTTTTTACTAAGAAAAAAGAAAGAAAGAAAGAAAGATACGCTGCTAGTGACTAAATCACTAAACCAAATCAGAATCATATCCATCAATAGGTTCTAAACGCCACTCACTTCCATAATAAGAATTGGGCAATCCCAACCAAAACTTGAAAGCCTCAGCTGCTCTTTTCCTCTCCATCCTTCTGTCCTGTCTTGCCTTCGAAGCATGCTTACTTGTGAACATTCTTGAATGCATTTCCACATAGATTCTAGTAAACTTGGTCTTGTTGGGAGGTATCCCATGTTCTTCCATGCAAGCCACTATTTCCAAGGCCTTCCTAAAGAAGGCAGCCCTCACGCAGATATCAGCCAAAGTATCTAAAAGCCCTTCATCTGGTTTGAGTGGCGGCGCAATAGATGAATCAGATTTGCCTCCTTCCTTGTCAACCCTACACCTCTCTTTTACTTCATTCCAAAGTAGAAGTGCCTCTCCTGGTCTTCTCGCTAGCGCTATTCCATTGGCAAGACTGCCATAGGTAGCCACGTCAGGATATAATCCATTCTCCTTCATCTTTTCAATTATTTTCTTTGCTTCTTCAATCAACCCTAACCTGCAATATCCTTCCACCAACATATTCCAGGCGACCCTATCAGCCTTCACCCGCGGATCATTGAGCATCTCATCAAAAACCCTGTGAGCCAGCTTTGGTTGACCCGACAAGGCAAAAGCTTTCATCAAAGTAGTGTAACTAACCTTCGTGGGAGCTATTCCTTTTGCTCTCATCTCATTAAAAAAGGCAAGAGCCCCAGCACTGTCGTCAACTAATATACATCCATCAATCAGAATGTTGTAGGAAACCACATCAGGCTGTATCCCTGCATCATCAACCATATCCTTAAGTAGCTCCCTTGCCTGATCTATCTGCAGCTGCATACAATAACCCTTAAGCAGAATATTGTACGTAATCACATTTGGATTCACGCCAATTCTCGTCATTTCAGCAAGGATTTGACGAGCCCTGTCCATTGAACCTGCCTTCACAAGTGCTGAAACCACAGTGGTGTATGATACATGATCGGGATGACTGGAACGATCATCTTGACAGCGCATTGCCTCGAGCATTCTCACCGTATCACTCACACGACCTGCCTGCATGTAGCCTTTCATTAGAGTGGTGTAAATTCTGGAGTTGGGAGCATATACTTTTGGCAGCAATGGCTGTTCATTGTCACTCTGGTTTGTCAAATTTGGAAGCAACTTCTTGAAAACGGATTCATCATTTTCAACCAAATTTTCTGAATTGGACGCCCTTAGTATCTTGCAAAGATCCGTTCTCTGTTCCCTCATTGCTTGAACCAACTTCTCTGCTGTCTTCAAGTCACCAAAGCCAACATAAGCTGCAACTAGGGAATGCAAAGTAGTCATGCATGGAGGTATTCCCACTTCTAAGATCCTCTCCAACACAAAAACAAGCAGGTCTTTTCTATCAGTTTTACAACATAGCTTTATCATGACATTATAAGTCAAGGCATCAGGTTCAACACCATGGTGGGGCATTTCATCAAACACTTGCAAGAACTTCTCGCTATCACCCAAGTTCGCACAGGCATTTAACGCGGCGTTAAATGCAACAGTATCAGGACGCGAGTTAGAAACTATTTGAAGGTCATTGAATTTTCGTACACGCCGAGTGACCGCTTTGAACAACCTGAGAGCTTCCGCAGGACCTTCGTCGCCAGAAGAAGCAAGGCCACTGACGACAGCGCTCCAGGCCTTCACGTGGGGAAGATAGCCAGAGCGAAGCATGGACTTGACGATTGACGTGGCGTAAGACGTGTAGCCGGCCTTGGTAGCGGCCACGGCCAGCAGGCCGAGGCAATTGGCATCCAAGCGGTGGAGCTGTCGCTCATGACGGAGGCGCGTGACTATGGACTGGGCGCGCGTGAGACCCGAGCGGGTATTTTGGAAGGATAATTGAGAAACTAGACGGCTGAGGCAAGCGGGGCTAGGAAGGTGGGCGCTGTTGGTGTAGGCAGTCCAGGCCTCTTCAGTTTTCCTTTGGCGAAGGAGTGTGAGCAGTTTCTGATCTAGGGCTTCGACCGTCGGGTCAGAAGAGGTGGAAATCAGAGACAGGTCTGATGGGTCGGCGTAGTTGGCAGCCCCGCCAACGAGAGAGGAGCGAGCGGGTCTGGAAGGGGAGGAGGCGGCGGCGAGATTGAAAGGAGGAGAAGCGCAGTGAAGAGGGTATGGGTTAGAGACTGAAGAAGAGAAGATAGATGGCAAGGAAGGTGGGAGCAGGGCAGCATTCATGACTACTTCATGAAGTGAAGGGATGGGAGGGATTGCCCACACGATTGGCAGTGGATAAGAGCCGAGCAGCTTTATTTATGGAAAGGGAACGTACTACGTTTTTGGTATTCCGCCTGTAGTTTTCTAATGAAGCCTGCAGCCTTTCAGGTGATACATCGCAAATAAAAATCTAAAATCTTCAACCACAAAATTGACGAGATCACCCTGTAATAACGTTTTTTTTTTAAAACCATTTACTTGTAATAACGTTAAACAACAAACTAAATTAAATATAAGCAAAATGAGAACAATTATAAACTGACCAGTTCAACTAGCACGGCATACTTTTCCTCAACATCATATGGGAGGAAGAGTTTTCACGCGCAAGAATCATCTCAAATCAAAGAGCAGTAAATGTAAACATCAAAAGGGCATACTCCCATCTCCCTGGGCGTTCATTCATACCTTCGTCATCCAAAAAACCGGAAACTCCAACGTCCCGGACCCTCCTCGCTTTCCCGTGGGTACATGTTTTATTACATATACAAGAATTTAATAATAAAGACTATGGACTTATAATTACATTTTTAAAAATTAGAGACCAAAATCAATCAATTATCAATCATTAATCAAATAAAACTTTGACTACTAACCAATTCAGACCCAAAAAATGTAAATATGATTCTCAAACTTATTTTTGGCCTCATGATTCCTAACTAGTTAAAACTAATTTGAAATCCACCAAGAATTCATTTTCTTTATTGAGAATTTTTTAGCCTCACGATTATCAAATCTCAACGTAGAAGCATGTTCAGACAATTGGAGCATGTCATCCTCCCATCACGTTTCTGGTCTACTCTTTCGACCTACCGTTCAGAAAAAATGACTTCCAAAATTTTCAACGACTGGACACGAAAATAGAAAACGAAAGCCAGGCGCCAGCTTCATCCAATGTGATACGGAAAGAATATAGCAAATTATTTTTCCAATCTGTTACATAAAATCCTGAGTTAATAATACCAAGGCTTCCTAATGGAGTCAGACAAACATGCATGGTTCCAGGATTTACAATAAAGCTACTTGAAATAGTGAAACTGCTCCAAAGATAATATACAAACCTTAATAAAAATTATCTGGACATGAGAACCACAATCTCCTAATGTCAGTATTCACATAATATTAAATTCATTCAGAAAGACGAAGTCACCAAATAAATCTCCACTGGCAATTAAAATCACACATCGGAGATTTTTCCGTTTTCAATAGTGGAAACTCCACTGACAACGGATGGACGGATTAACAATGACTACTCCGGACCCTGCGTCGGAACCATCATATGTTGAGCCTGTGGCAAAAATACTCAAGTCAGATTTGATAAATACTTATCAACTTATGACCGAGGTAAATCACATATCTTGCTACAAAAATAAAACGACTTTTACATTTTATCCAAAAAAAAATATTTACGTGGGAAAAGAATGAAATTAACAAAGCACAACCTCAATTTAGATAATGTCTCAATAACAATACATTTGAGGAAAAGCCAAATTAGAACTTCCAACAAGAGGAAGCAATAGACTAATCCAATAGCAACAATCAAACCATTTGAAGTTTTAGCAATAAGAAAAAAATAATAAATAAATAAATAAAATGAAGTAGATTACACTAACTTCTCTTTAAAGTTCGTCCAAATTATGCCTTCTATCCCCCCTCTTGTTTGAAGAAGTCGTTAATCTACTTCGACATTTAATATATTTTGCGAAGACCTCCTCGTTGATTATCTTCAGTTAAACTTAATTTTTTGCACACTATGATTTCCTTTCAAATGTCCCTTGTTCCTCTCGTTTTGGCAGTGCACATGTCTTGTATGATGCACGCTACTAGTTTATTAAAATGTCTAGCCAAGATAGTGACTGTATCAGGAGTTAAGATCCAAGACTCTCATTTTATCCTTAATGATAATAATGTAACAGTACACATCTTGTGCGAAAAGTGATAAAAATAAAAAATAAAAATAAATCATCGTGGAGGATGTAGCAATATATATCAGAAGCTAGGAGGATAAAGAAAATGGAAACAGGATGATATCAAGTTTAATTTAGCCACAGCTAGAAGATTGGTGTAATTTACTCAAATTTGTAATCAAGGGCTGGAACAGTGGTAACATGCTCCATTGTTTGTACAATTAAGAGAGAAGAGATGAACAATGACGCACTGCTTTTAGACGCATTCATTCTGTGTTCAACCAGAAATAAATCAACCAACAAAAATATCCAAACACAAACCAACTGAACAAAGCTTAGAGAGTGGAGAGGCAAGGGGATCAATACTTCAATAGATCATATTGAACTTAAATATCAACCTGTTGTTCAGGCAATTTTAGCCCCGGCGACTTCAAGGGAGTAAAGATCCCATATAGCCACTAAAGATAGCTCACTTGCAGAGACTAGAATGTCATCAGGCATTAATTACAATATGAAGCTTATCTAAAGTCAATGCGTTAACTAAGCTTAATTAACACGTATTCAAATAAAAAGTGATCAATCCTAGAAAGTTCTTCGGGGAATCTAGCACCAATCAGTTATAAATCCTTTGTCCACGAATAAAAATTGTATCCCACAGCACTAAATTTCTCGCTCGAGGGAGATATAGATTATACATATAATTATATCGTGAGTAAAGATTTAACAGAGCACTCTCAACTCCACTAATCAAAATGATGCTGCGGAAAAGAGGAGAGTAGGGCAGAGAAGGATTACCTGAGAATTTGCGTAATTAACACCTTGGGGAAAAGAACCTTGATGGGCAAGCTGTCGATTTCACACACAAAATGCCAACATAAGATATTATTGCAGTCTAAGATAAATGTCCAGCAACCAAAGCATAGTGCATGTACGTATATTCCACCTGAGCATTAGGACTTGGCTGAACATCTTTCTTGGCCGATGCATCTCCGCCTTTTGCAGAACTCTTGGTATCACCCTGGCATGCCATAATTAGAAAACACATAATAAAAAACAAGATACGAAAGTCCAACAATACGGAGAGGGAAAATAATACTCAAACGGTAGAAGATAGATTAATATTTACCTCCATCTGCAACATTCCAAATCGCCCCCGAGAAGATCATTAACAAACATGAAAATAATACCATCAGTAAAAAGCAAAGACAGCAGTATCACACGATGATCGTATGCCCAACTCTTTTGTTACTTATAACAGATTAAGCCAGAACTTTATCCCCCACTCTATTTTCGTGCTTCTCAGAATTTAAAGAGGCACTGTAAATATAAATTACCTCTCTGTATCTGGCCAGGTAAATCTTCAGGGGATCAATATAATCCTCAAAACCTAGAGTTGCCATCGCCCAGAGCAAATCGTCACCATTAATCGTCTTCCTCTTCTCTCTCTGACACTTATCACTCGCCCTATATCAGATGACCACCAAATAATTAAGCCAGGAGAAAATGCCTCGTACGACATTCTATACACTGGAGGAGAGGGTGTACATGTATAGTAAAGTAAATTACATACTCGCTAGTGATAAAGCTGATGAACTCTGAAACACACTCCTGCACAGTCTCCTTAGCATCCTTGGCTATTTTCCCATTAGCAGGAAGTGCCTTTTTCATAATTCGACTGATGTTGGCGATGGGAAGGAACCTGTCCTGCTCACGGACATTAGAGCGAGGGCTATGCTCACCGCTCTCATGGCTGCCACCGCCTGGACTGGCCGGAGCTTCAGCCATCGTCGCCGGAACCCTAAAGCAACAGGGGAATCAGAGAAAAACATGGTAAAATCGCGTGAAGAGAAACCCTAGATGCGGATCTAAGCGAAAACGTAGGGAAGGGCAAGGATGGGTTTAGGCACGAAGGGAAAGAAGAGGGGGAGGATACCTGGGAGGAAGGAATGAATTCGTATTTGGCGCGAGTTTAAAGAGGCAAGGATCGGTGAGAATGGAGAGCGATCGGACGCTGGAGAAGAGAGGAGAGTGGAGACGATTGAGATGCGAGAGCGAGGCCTATCCGCACCGTCCGTTTTGCCTTAGACCACAAACAAGGGTTTCTGCTTCCTTCCTCGCTTTTTAACTCTCTCTCTCCCCGCCACTTGAGTGCTGGTGGTTTCATTCGACCACGTGTTGAGGACTTGACATCCCGGTTGCTTTTAGGGTTTCCGCCCTATTAGGCGCTCATGCATTACCAAATTACCACATCGTTAAGTTTTTCCCCCCACTTTCTTTAATACAAATATTTTATATAAATTATATCTGTGTTTTTAGAGTATAAGATTTTCTATTGCTTTAAATCTATAGATTATCAACTAATGACAACTTGTACGTTTTTTATTTTATTCATGAATTATGAATGTTTGTATTTATATCCATTTATGTTTAGATAAAATGTATACTGATATATTCAAAAGTCCCTAGAAATAAAAGATATCATGAGCACTGGATGATAAGGACGAAAGGAGACATTTATTGAATTTGTATATTCTTTAATCTGGTGAGTGCTGGGAGGGCCGATACAGACATGTTAGGTACTACTGGTTGAAAGGTACATGTCATTCGCAGGAAGAAGATAGCGTGCTTTCTTTGCAAGGTGCTGGAGTGGGTGCTGGCTTTACAATGATGTCCGTCGAGCGAAAGCCCAGGATTTTCTCTTTGCCCTATTTTCCTCAACAGAGACTGCGTGTTGGATCTCCTTCAAAACTGTTGGAATAGATGGCCTCTCGACCACGTGAGGTTTCACGCACTTCATCGCCACCACTGCTATTCTCTCTACGGATTTCAAGTCGCAATGGTCCCCTAGTGACGGATCCATAATAGCCTGTATGCTTCGCGTCCCAATGCGCGATTTCGCCTGTCATACACACCCAGTCGAGTTCAGAACTTGGCTCAACCAAAAAACTTCAACAACTTACTATTAAAATTTCTAGGAGAAATCAAAATCACCCAGTCCACGACTGTGTTTTGACGCCCATCACCAGTGCCTGCTCCTTGACCCGATATCAGTTCCAGAAGAATTACTCCAAAACCATAAACATCTTCATGCGGCGTACTGAACCTGTTTAAGAAAAGTTTTGATGATGTCGTGTTAATTTACATGAAAGATCCAAATGGTTATTAACCCTGTCCAACAATACTAAAAATGGGAGACTACGATTCGCTCGCCAGAGGCCTTACTCAGGATCTGTATCTTCTACTGTGCCACCAGATCTAAGTTTCGAAAGGACAACACCTGAAACCTTAGCTCTCATGCAGTTGTCAAGAAGAATATTAGCGCTTTTCACGTCTCCATGGACAACTACAGGAGCACGGCCTGTGTGAATATACTCAATCCCTGAGGAAAATACAAATAATAAGCTTTCAACAAGAGAAATGGCAATCAAAACTTTCAGTTTAAGTGGTTCATAATCATAAATAGCTCCACAAACCTTTGGCAGCATCTTCTGCGATCCGAAGACGCCTGCACCAATTGAGACTCCGTCGAAGTTGTAATGGACCTAAAAGAAGTTAACATAGTTGAGCATATGGACGTTGCGCTACTTCGTTTAAATCAAAGTGGGCTTACCCGCATCATCAAGTAGTTCCCTCAGACTTCCATTTTGCATTAACTCGTAAACAAGCATTCTATCTCCTCCTTCAAGGCAATACCCAAGAAGCCGTACCAAGTTTGAGTGACGTATCCCTGAAAGAACGGCTACCTGGATAAACGCAAACAGAAATTTAATGTTAAACATAAAAATGACTTGATCAAAACGTAAACGATAAATTTCATAGCTCCCGTTATCTGTTCCCATAAAAAAGGGAGCTACATGATTAAAACAGAGCATGCAGGGAGATCTCCAACGTGGGAATGATACTCCAAGAGGCTTATTAAATGCAGGTTACCTCACTGAGGAACTCTCGTTCTCCTTGAACCGGATTATTGGCTAGAACTTTAACTGCAATCTCAGTTCCATCATGCAGTTTTCCCGAGAATACGTCTCCACGGCCTCCAGAACCAATTCTGCTCCTAAAGTTTTTTGTGGCAATTTCAAGTTCACAACGGCCAAAGCGATGAGCACCTTCTCCGGCGGCGGGAATCACTTGAGTACCATTAATATCTGTCAAGAGTGGAAACATGCATAAATTACGCTATACCTCAAAAAATCCGGACAAACAAATATATAAATTATGCCCGATTTCTACCTCGCGTATTATTTCCCCTGGTTCCTTTGAAGATTCCAAACAGGCCCCCTACAACGGCAACTACAACTAGAATTCCAGCCCCAACAGATGAACCAATAATAGCGGACAAGTGGGTCTTCTTTCTGCTTTCTTTATGAAGATTGATGTTCCCGGAGGAGCTGTTGAGAAATAAAATAGCTGTTGTGAAGATTAAGCTCCAAAATCCGATCATGTGTACGTAAATATCTTCTGCATAATTTAGGAGGTGTTTGGATGCCCTTAAAATCACTTTTCATAAGCACTTTTCATAAATCGAGGCAATCTCTTCCACATATTTGCTTCGTATACCGTAAAAGCACTTCTGAAACCATGGTTTTGATCTTATCCAAACACTCCTTTAATCGTCTATAATAGCAATTATCCTGAGATTGAATCTGCCAATTAGTTCCTTCGCTTTTGCTGAATAATTATATTAATAATTCGGCGATGAATGCTTATGTTTTTGTTTTTAACAAATAAAATTCTGTGCTCACTTCAAAATGATATCTCTGCTCGAAAGACCGGCTGGCACTGTCCCAGATAACATATTATTTTGCACATACCTGCAACCGATAAAAGCATAATCAAGATTTTATCAGAATAAATGTTTTTGTTAAAAGAAACAAACATAAAAGCTTTTTTAAAAACTGGCATATAAGCTCCACTAGCTTACAGTTCCCTCAAATTTGGTAGGCTAACTAGAGAGGAAGGGAGACCACCCGTCAATTGATTGTTCTCTAGATGACTGCAAGGGACAAAGGCTCTGTTAGCCTGCTAAAAGTAAGAAAGTATGGCTTTCTATCTGGGGCAAAAAAAAAAAAAAGGCAGTTGTCAGACGGTACATGATCTTCAAGTCCATGCATCCAGTAAACTCAGGAATTGGGCCAGTTAACTTATTTCCACCAAGCCATCTGCATCCACAAAAGCTTGTCATGCTCCTGACCAACGCAAAAATATGTTCGATAGGACCAAACATAGAAAGCAAGATAAAACTTACATTTCAACCAAACCAGTCAATTTGTTGATCTCAGAAGGAATATTCCCAGACAGGTTTTTATTAGACAGCAAACTGCCACCACGATGAACACGAAATAACTGCCATCAGTTCAATTGAACTACAATTTACATGCATGCAAACTGGAGGTTCTTTTTGTCTGTTATACCTCTAGGGGATTGGTTGGCAACCTAAGAGAAAAAATCTACATACAACTCATAATAAAACGTTAAAAGGGAATAAATAATGTTACATTGAAATTATTCTTGGATTGGGATCTGAGCTACAGCGGACCCATGACCATGGAACTGGCAAACATGGGTCACCTCCTTCTTGTGCCCAATCTGCTGAAGAATAGTGTGACAGCAAACCGGAAATAACTTCTCCTGCAATCCATCAAATAAAATAAAAATATTTAACTGATCATACTACTTATTCATGCAGGTGCGAGTCAGTGAAACAAAATTGGACAGTCCCTTTGTGAAAATAATTTCCTGATTAGGGGACTTACCATCTAGAGAGCCATCATTTTTCTTCAGATACTTATTGATCTCCATAGCATTCAGGAGAGGGCCCCTGGAAGAATCAGAGGTCTTGTCTAATCTAAAAGATAACACAAGCGGTAAGGATAAATTGGCAAATCCCAGTTCATAAAGATGATATCTGCCGTGAGCATTTTCTTCAATATTGACAATAGCTGCAATGACTTCAGGATGGTCTGGGAAAGCTACAGTGAATTTTCTGGATTCATTTGAAGCCAAATTTTCAATCTCTGCAAAATACATGCATGCCCAACCAAATCCAGGGAACCCTTCCAAGTTCAACTGGTAGGATAGAGATCCATTTGCACCCGCTACAGCTGTCTGCATCACTTTAGTTGGTGGCATTTCATCTCCATCAATGTGAATTGGCATTCTGGTAGAAACTTTCACTGTTCCATCCGAAACATCAACTAGATAATCTTCTCTTTTGATAGAATCTGAGTCCCAAATTCTATCAAAAGAGTCATCAGGATACCTGATAGGAATACAGACTTCTAATGTAAGAAGAAATTACTTCAAAACCAGATGGAGCGTCAGTAAAACTGCAAATAGCATACCGAAAGATATAATATGCAATTCTTTCTTTGTTATGGAAATAATTAGAAAAATCTGATTCATGTGTGAGGACTATGATGATGAAGTAACCTAAAGAAGTTCCTAGATCCTTTGCTTTTCTGTGTATAATCACACAGAAAAAATATCGTAGTTTGGCAAATGTAATGAATTTCTGGCTTTAACATTTGTATGCACAAGTAACGAAACATATACGGACTTGAACGTACCAAAGAAAATGGACTGTTTAGAGGAGATAGGGAGGTCAGCAATAAAAAGAAAGGAAGGGCTAAGGTACCTGATTGGAGCATCGCTCCCCGCTCCAAAATTTATTCTACTAGATACACTAAGGTAAAACTGTTCCTCATGCTCTGTATTATAAATTGAACCATTGAATTGCCGGAGTTCAAGCGTAGATATGAATGGCTGTCCTGTGGTTGCGTTTGATAAACATACACTGACAGTAGATGTTGTAGCTAGAAATATAAGCTCTCGCGTTTCTATAGTACTATCATCAGATATAACGACAGTAGACCAATAAGTAGCCCCGAAGTAAATGTCAAATACTGGATAAACGTTGTTGTTATCAAAATTCCCATACAAGAATGATGCCCTCAGTAGGTATCTTGTCCTCCTGACAACATTGAGCGTGTAGCAGTATTTCCTGGAATCAGCGGGAAAGTGTCGTAACGTCGCGTATTGCTTTCCTGTCCCGCTTGGCACTTGTACTGCGCTTGTTTCTCCGTAAGTGAGTTTATCATCAGATATCCATTCCAGGCCAAGTTCGTCTGTGAAATTTTCTTTACCTCCGCAATCCAAACTCAGGAAACCTACTTAACATTAGATAGTTTATCACATATTAAGCGAGTGAATTAATTGCAAATTCAATCATAATCTATAATAAGCGAGTCTCGCGAAAATTTCAAATCCGGTAAATGTTATGCTGAAGATTACTTGTTTCTGAGTCAGAGCAGTTGAGACTAGAGACAAATGGATATGCTTATATTGAACGTCATTAAGTTATACATGGAAGAAAAGAAAAAGAAGGTATAAGCTTATAGAGCAGAAAATAAATCAACAGGATCTTTATGTTTTGCATGTAACAGAATGGTCGGTGGATTCATTTCTTGCATGACATTGAACGCTCTTTCCCAAGAAAGAATGAAAGAATCGCAAAAGAGTTCTTTAGTCTTGAAATTGCCCCATCATAGCTCAAAACAAGGGATATAAAATTCAAAGACGAGTGAAATAAGAAGTAATGTAAACAAGAAAGGAGCCAAGAAAAGAGAATGGTAGGCCGGCGACGATCAACGAAAACAGCTTATCATCACGATGCAGATATTGGTGCAGGAGAAGAAATGCTTCAACCACAAGAGAAACCGATTAGAACTTCAAGTCAGCGAAAACGGAGGAAGAAGCACCTGGCATCTGTGCGTAAGAGAAACACGAGAGAAGCAGCAGTGCGAGTGAGGGAAACAGTAGGAGGTGAATTCTAATCGCCATGTTTACTCTTGAGAACTACACTGAGAATTTCAAGAGACTAAAAATGGCGTAAAGAAACGCAATTAAACAGAGAAATCGGTTCTTCCGTCTCCAACCGAAATCAAGTAGAGCCACAAATAATGACAAAACTGAAGTTGGGGCGTAACTATTTATAAACGAAGAATAACAACCCCCATGTGGGTATCCAATGATTTTTTAATTTAAAATAAATAAAACTGATAATCAAACATTATATATTACCTTGGAAGGTTAAACAAGTGGAACTCTGTGAGAGCGTGAAAATGCTCCTTGAGTGAGAAATGCATGTTAAGATGTTAAAATAGATAATGTGTACATACTAAATTGGAGAGTGGAGACCCATCATTAAGTGAGACTGTGAGACATGTATTGCGAGAAATCTTTATTTATAATTGTACTCCTCCGGTCCTTAATATAAGACTCATTTAATTAATTTGATTAGATTAAGGAAGTTAGGTAAGTTAGTTAATTATAAAAAAATGTGATATATTTTTCCTAAAATACCATAATCATCTTACTTAATACTCATTCTTCCTCTTCTACTTAATTATGGTTGAGAGAGTATCCATAGAGGTAATTTAGAGAAGATTAATAAATATAAGAAATGGGTCTTATATTTAGGACTAAAACTACCTCAACAATTGGGTCCTATATTAAAGACTGGAGGAGTAATATATACACATTTATAAAATATCTAGTGAAATATGAATAAACTGTATGTTGGGTGAAAAGAAGATGTTGCAACTAAATGTTGTATTTAATCTAAACCGCGAGAAAACAGTTATTCTTACACGGATCATGCATCATGATCTAGTTATCATATTAGGTCAGGTCAGACACTGTGACTTTCTTACCGATTATTCACGTAGAAACATGATAACGATCATGAAGTGCCTGTTTGGGTCAGCGTTTGCTGGCCCAAACGTAGCTTATAATGACTTATAAGCTCAGTGAGAAATTGGGACCGTTTGGCTAAGCTTTACAACAATTGGGCTTCTGAATTTTTAAGCCCGTTGAACGTGCGATTGGGAGAAGCTGGAGAGGGGGAGCTTCTGGATTATGGAGAAGTGGCTTATGGACCGTTCTGACAAAGGAATATATTCCTTTTACTTTTCTCTCCATTCATGTGCGTTCTCCCTATTCCCCCGTGAGCAGAGTCCGGCTTCTTCAACCCGAGCCCCCACTTGCTCTGTCTTTGCTCGTCTCGACAAGAAGGTCCGTCCGTGGTCGCCTCCGAGAAGCTCCGTCGCTGGTGACCGTGAAATTTTAAAAACGCTACGTTAGAAAACAACGTCTCTGCTCCATCAAGCGCTCCTTTCTCTTTCTGTATTTTCCTTATCTTTCTGTGTATCTTCTTAGCAGCGATGACAACCCCATCTTCTGTCAAGTCTTCTGGTTGTGTTTCTATCATATGAGACATCACACAATTGCCGAAGTAGTTTTCAGAGATTGGAGGATCTAACCTGGTTCTGCAATCCACTACGAAACCCAGGAACACTTTAGTTTTCTTTTGTTCGGTCCTTTCCTTAGCTTTTGCGAAGCAGATCCATACGTAAGCAGCTGTAAGCACAAAGGTTGATGAAGTTTGAGGCTTTGAAAATGATGAATCTTCTCCTTCATCTTTCTCCTTGTGATTTTCCCATTTCTGCAATACCCTTTCCTTTATCTTGTCTAAATCTCCACGCTTGAGCTCGAACGTGGCTCGAGCTGAGTCTTCCACTTTCGGAGAGAACATGTCGGACAAAATCTTCAAGCTTGGCTTCTTCTGAGTTGGATCTAAACCTGACCACCCTTTGATGTATGCACCTTCAATGCCACATGGATCGACTATAACTTCCCTGTCTAAGGATGGTTGTAGTTCTTGAGGGAGCAAACCAGAAGAATCGTTCTCTGCTTCTGTTCGACAGAGATAAGCCCAGGCCTTCATGAACATAGACGATGATTTCCCATCTGAACAAGCATGGTGTACGCTGATTCCTATGCAAAATCCATCGTTGGGAAACAGAGTGATTTGCAGAGAAATAGCCGAAGCAAATGTATCAGAAGAATCCAACATGGGAACAAAAGCACGAGATTGCGAGGCGTCACGAGGGGATTTGTTTAAGACATGGTTGAAATCAGAATCAGAAACAGCTATGGTGAGAGAGACGGCATCTCCGGGAGTGTATTGAACGATGGGTTTGGGCGAGTCGGAGGGCCAAACGATGCTACCGGCGAGAGGAAGAAAGTGTTGCAGAGTGAGAGAGAGGGAGAGTTTGAGCTTTGGAACGATGGAATCGAAGAAGAAAGAAGGGTTTAAGTGAGGAGCCGAGAAGAAGAAGAGACGCTCGACAGGATGAAATCTGAGCCAAAGCAAGTCGAAGAAGGTGAGAGAGAAAGAGGATTTTGGTGAAGATGGTGGCGGAGCTATTCTACAGAGCTCGTGTATTTTCAGAGAGCTATTAGTTATGATTTTTTTGAAATTTTAAAATTTAATTCACTCATTAATTTGACTTCTTCATAATAAATTATTTTAATTTCATTGTATTATGTCAAATCATTTTTTATTATCATATTTCATTATTTATTAACACTTATACCAATTTTAGTCATTTTATAACCAAACTCACTTTTACTCAACTATAATCCAAACACCTTTTTACCAATCTCACTTCTGCAAATTAGCTTTTCTGAACTCCAATCCAAACACAATTTAGCTTATCCAATTTAGCTTTTACCAACTTCACTTCTCCATAAGCTACTTTTCCTATAAGCTGCTTTTTCAATCGCTCATCCAAACGGACCCGAAGTATCTAACGTCTCATTCCATCGAAAGTCTTGAGGGGGTGGCATGTATTTCGAGAATTCCCACTGCATACTCAGGTGATCTTGATCCTCGAAATGAAAACGTGAAAGAAGATATTTTTACTGCGCGGGACAAATAATTAATTTGGTGACAAATATTTTTAAACTTCTAAAGTTGTACAAACTTCTTGTTCATTTTTATTTTGTTATTTTGATAATGAAATGCAATGATAAATGAGAAAATTAAAATAAATGAGACATTATTTATTTATAAAAAATAAATGAGAAAATTAATCTTTTAATCCTTTATCTTTTCAACTCACTTAATCTCTCAAGTATAAAATTTTTACTCGCTTAAAACTTAATCTTTAAAATTTTGACTTCTGTCAAACCCAGTCCGTCAACATTAGACGATTTATATTTTTACCTATTATCATCAATAATTCATTTTCAAGTAAGCATTGAGTCATCCTAGTTGGCAAAAAACATTATGACTCAGCATCCATGTCCATCGTGAATCAGCACAGGAAAAAACACAAAAAATGAGGGGTCAGGGGGAGCAGATAACGAGATCGCGGTCGCCCGCTGCTTCTTCAGCTCACGTCAACAATGGCGGGAATCTGCCATTGGTGATTTCCAAACACTCGTGAAATGCAATTTCAAGGCCATATAAGGCCCGAAATTATTATTTTTTTCAAACATTCCTTCAAGCATCATTTGATTTAATAATTCAATCAAAGGAATTTGGCCCCAGAAAATGCACAGAAGCAAGGGTTCTTTCTAGACAGTTTGAAGCTTTGGTGTGTGAAAATAGTGTCATTTACGCAGTGTCCTCAAGGTCTAATATAGCAATAAGCATTGATTATTGAGAAGAAATAAGGTCTAAATAGATTTCAACCCCAATCTACGATCAAACTTGTTCGATCTGCAAATTTATGACTTCCTGACTTAAATCGATCCATATTAAACATATATTATATGTGGGGAAACAAGCCCACACCATGAATCTGTGGCTCAAAATGCTCGACACCCCCCCCCCAAAAAAAAAAACATATCCTTTCTCATACATCATTCCATTCACTGCTCTCAAACTTTCAGTCAGACAGCTGAAAATCGTAAGAACTCGTCTTCTCGGGCGGACGCAACACTGTCGTTTTGTAGGAGGCACTGACCAGAAATTATAATGCCGAGAATATGCAAAGTAGAGATTCTAAATGACAAATATTGTTACCGTTTAGTCCATATGGGCAAATTTACCCGAAAGACAAGGTGTCTCCATTTCCCTATATGATTGCCCAAGTTCAGTGCAGCAATTTCCAATGAACAAAGCTGCCACGCAGATTGCACGGACATATTCGAATTGAGACAAATACGAGTCACAAGGTAAAATTGGTTTGTGGATTTTTGTGTGTATTAATATGTTGATAGGCAAAGGAAAAGGGGTGATGATATTACTCAACGAAAAAATTTCATATGGTCTAACTTGCAGATGCGGTATGGCGACAACTTGGATCTCAAGGTATTTAAATGCAGTCCTAATTATAAAAACTCTCTCAACTAACCAGTAACGGCAAGTAAACTGTGGTGGGAGGGAAAAAATGCACATAAATATAATACCCCCGTCGTCCAGCTAATTTCCTCCCACCTATGATCAACTTGTCAAAAAATGCAAATGAGATGCAATAGAATCGAAACAGAAGGCAAAATTTGCGATTTACTTCACTGGGAAACACCTAGCCACTTAGAAAAGCTCTCAAATTCCGTGTAATCAGAATCAGACACCATGGTTTGATACCAAGCTTTTCCAGCAGCCTTTATAGCAGAAGCCTCCTCCTGATGATGATGCAAATGAAACCAGATTAAAACAATTTCCAATCTCAAGCATAGAGTAACAAGCAACAATATATATAATTAAAACGTGGGGGCAAAATGCATACTATCAACATCAACAAGGGCAACGCTATTACTTAATTTCTACTCTTCCGTACATATATATGAACCTATACACATTTACTATCCTCATTCTTCAGCATTTTCCACTGACAAACTAAAACAGACTGGTACATTGTCGATTGTACCACAACACAGTCACAAATTAAAATGCAAGAAATGAAACAACTTGCAGATACTTCCGTTCGAAATAACAATATTCTTTCACTTAAAAAAAAAAAAAGAATATTAGCAGCAGTGCATGCTGCCATTACTGTATTACATGAATTGGATGTGAAATAAGCTTATTCACGTCACACCAAATGTCTGGGATAAGACATGTAATCAAACTCTTACTTACAGAATGAGGATTGAAGCAAACATTTGAACTCAGAGAATAAGGATTGAAGCTAAACATGTGAACTTCTGAGCAAAATAAATATCATTATACGCAGGAGATGAAAACTGAGGATGCTCTTTAACAATACGACAGTGATAATTGCACAAAAATGAATTTCTTATCGAAAAACGCACCTTGGAAACAGACTTCCTCTTGTTATCAAGCTTTTCTTTCTTTGCTTTCACACGCTGCGCTTCAGCTAGAAGTGACATCCTCTTAGCGGTTTTGGCATATGGATTCAGTTTCAACATAGCATTGAGATTCTTGAGCGGGTTCTTCTTGAGTGGTGCCCGCTTGACTTCTTTCTTGATGGGCCTCACAACGGACTGAATCTCGTCAGAGTTGATGATCCTTGCCAAATCAGAATTAACCATCTTAGCTCTAGGAAGAAGGTACCCTTTCTTCTTCTCTGATGGCTTGTCGAATGATCCATAAATCGAATCGAGCTTCTCAAAAGCAGACTTAGTCCAAATAACAAACCTCCCAAGGTGACCACCAGGAGCCAATTTAAGAAGGTTCAATCTCTCCACATTCACGATCTCAACTCCAGGAATATTTCTAAAAGCTTTCACAGCCTTTGCGCCCTCAGTTCCATACACAATCAGAGGACCCTTGCGAGAGATGTATCGACGATTTCTCATTTTACCCTTCCCAGGACGGATTGCATGGCTGTCCTTTGCCTTCTCAGCGTCAGGAAAAGCACCGACCTTCTTGAGCACTTTGATGGCTTCCTTAGTTTTCTCAACACCTTCGGCAGAATCACTGACAACTAGAGGCATTTCAGGAACAGACTCAATTCTGTGCCCCCGGGCCATCACGAGGGATGGAATTGCAGAGGCAGCAATGGCTGAAACGACAGCGTATCTCTTCTGAATGACATTGATCTTACGGTGCCAGCGGCGCCAAATCTTAGTCGGAGCGAACATGCGTCCACCACGACACATATTACCAAAAGCTGCCTGACCGGCGCGGTGGGTACCACCACCCGGGACACGGGGGATACGGGACACTGCACGACCGGTACCCCATGATTCGGCAGAAGTCTGGTGACCAGCGCGCTTGCTGACAGCGTAGGGTTGCCGACTGTTCTTGGAGACGTTGGAGTGGACAAAGGTAACGATATCGGGTCGAATCGCCGCCTTCATAACATCGGGAAGCGGAACTGTCTGGGCTTCATCGGTGGCCATATCGCCCTCAAGGGCTTGTACACTGATGATGGGACGAGCTGCTGCGGCCATTGGTGGCGGGTTGGGGAAGGGAAGTGACGAGGAAGAAATGGCACACTAGGGTTTTGGGAAGACTCAACTGAGTTTTTCCGTGTTTATACGCACTCAAGGATGCAGCAGCTTAGAAATGGGTATCCACTCAGTTTTGGGTCTGTGCCCGTTCGGCAAAATCGGGCCCAGTACAACCGATTATTAAATACTACTCCTCCGATCCTTAATATAGGACTCAATTTTTGAGTTAGTTTTAGTCTTAAATATAAGACCCATTTTTCATATTTATCAATTTTTTTTAAATTACCCGGATACTCCCTCAACCATAATCAAATAGAAGAGGGAAAGGAGTATTAAGAAAGATGATTATGGTGTTTTAGGAAAAATGTGTCATTTTTATTAGAATTAACCAACTTACCTAACTTCCTTAATCTAATCAAATTAGTTAAATGGGTCTTATATTAAGGACCGGATGATTATTAAATAAAGGATGAATTACCAACGGGTTTGGATCTAACGAAAGGAGTTAGTCTCTCACAATGTGACGAATCAAAATTCAAATCCTCTCTAGAAGAGATGTCCACATTTAGGGTCTGACAATGCTTTAAATATGATTGTTTTCAATAGAATGATATCTATACTTTAGTTAAAAAAAAATACAGGGTGAATTAAAAAAGCGCAAGACAATTGGGGTTTGGTCTTGCCACTCGCTAGGATTTCATTTCATCATGCGTCCGCGCACGCTATAATTAACCGCTTTTGTATTTTTGACGGGAGAATCTCACAATCTTAAATACACGAGTCATGAATCAACGAAAGTGATGTTTTACTGTTATACCATCTTTAGTCCTTAATATAAGAGTTAATTTGACTTTTAATTTGTTTCCGAATATAAAATCTCAATCCATTTTATTTTTCACACTTATCCATTTTTTTAAAAATAATTCTTATAATAGTTGTACATGTTAAATATTTTATTAAATGTTAGTTATAGCTAATACACATGATTAATAAGAATATTCTAGAAAAGACAATACGTATTTATTACAAATAATTAATTTAACAAACTTTTTTAAATCAACTAATTTTTATGTTAAAGAGCCAGCGTAATATTTTCTATATGCATGTGCTACGTAATAATCAAAGACATCAGAGGTCAAAAATAAACAGATTTAGCTACGCCCAGTTTAAATTCTTACTTTTAGTTAACTTTTTAACTCATAAACCTGTTATATTATATTGTAAGTATTATCTGAAACATTTTATTTTATATTATTTAAAAGATTATAATATTATCATTACTTTAATATTATATTATTATTTTTTCAATATTAGGTTAACTGGTATAATTGAAACGCTTGTCAAGCAATTATTCTGTCCAGTTTCCACTGAGTTTCTCAATATCTCCCTTACAAAGTTCCATCATGCCTAACAAACATTCTTCGCGTCTCATAATCATGCCCAAGATGAATAGTGGCCCATACAAATGACTGGCAAGTGAGAAGAATGCTATAATACTTGAATAGTTTTTTTTTCCCTTTTTTTTTTGGTTAAAGAGGAAAAGATTGCTGTGATGAAATCACAAGCACAACAAAGTAAATGAATCGCCAGTAGTTATCGGGAAAAGGACAACAGCTCTCTTCATAATAAAACGCCTGCTCGATTCAAACTAACAAAGCTAATGAACGCGAAGAAAGCGACCGGCAAATGGAGGTGGGAAAAATCTGAAGACTGAACCATGGAACCAAGTATATAGGACTTTTCAAGTTCTTTTTACTTTTAAAATGCACTAGAACATCAAAAATATTTTATAACACGGACCTAAGGGTGAGCTGGAAGGGGCAACATCTCTAGTACAGCTACAAGAATCACATTCAATACTACGATCCTAACGGACCTTAGAATCAGCTGAATAATACTTCTGCTCTTTCAGCATTCCTTATGCATTCTCATGGCTGGGGTTACAAAGGTATACTGTCACATTTACAGGTTTCAGTTCACAGCGACACCAGGACACTTCCCTGCCTTGCTGGTGGCTGAGCAAATGGCATCATTCCATGCAGACTGGACCTCCTAACTGTGGAAGCAGACATTACAGATATAAATAGGTAAACGAAACAAAATCCAGAGCATGAGATCATAAAAAATGCATACCAATCAGCTAATTTCCAGTTGTTAAGCAGGTTGACATGATAGATCGCTTGGCGTTTCCTTTTTGGCAGCAATTCCTGCGGTAACTTCTGCTATCTTCGTACTGGCAGCATACGATGACAAAACATTCTCCTGAACAAGCCAATAAAATGGACAAGTCCACCTCAGATTCACAAATAAATCATGTAAAATTTTCATCTATGTTCAGTCGTAATCCAAGAACAACCATAAACAACGATAAAAATGATTTTTTTTCTCTTTTCTCATATATGACTTCCCCGCATCCCAAAAATAAAACTGGTTTGACTCAGTCGCTGCACAACCTACCAAAGGCGAAGCAGATGATAAGATTTTCATCTTAAATCAACCACAGCAAAGGATATCCACTGAAAATCATTATCTAGAGTGCAAAATATTGCGCTAACCAATCAAGATGGAATGATTTGTAGAAGGATATGATTCCAATATTTAGAATCGATATTGAAGCTTACAAAAGGCTCAAAATCAGGGCTAGACAAGTTGACAGTGAGGTTTCTCATCAACAACAAAACCTGCAGAAGACAACCAAATAAAATTACATACTTGTCAAACCATTGTCAGCTCAGAAATGAAAAATCAAAGCAAGTTCATACAATAACTGTGCCTGGGAATTTTATTTTGGATGGAATAGAATTGAGTGGCATGGCAAAAACGACTTTAGTCATTATTCGGAAGAAAATTTTCGGAGGGAATAAAATGGCAAGGAATGGCCTTTCAAGCAATTATTAGCCATCATAAATCCAATTTTTTCATGTCTCTCAAATCAGGGATCAAGGATAGAATGACAGGAAATAAATATTATACGACCTTCAATCCTTAATATAAGAGCTAGTTGACTGAGTTAAGTAGATTAATAAAGTTTCTTAAATTAGTTATTTGTAATAAATAAATGTTATTTTTCCTATCATACCCGTGCTAATGTGTATTAGCTAGAACTGTCATTTGATGGAATTTTTAACATGTGTAACTACTATAATGACTACTTTAAAAAAATGGAGAAACATGAGAGACAAAGGGATTGGGGTCTTATATTTAGGACTGAATTGAAAGTTAAATTAGTTCTTATATTAAAGATAATTATAAAAATAACCCCCCACCCAGTCAAACGAAAGCTTGATCTCATCCGTGGATATCAACCCCTCCCCTTTTTTTTCCACACACAAAAAATTGCACTGAAGAACTCCCTCTTCTTCAAGAAATTTGGAATCAACTCACTTGTCCAAGTTTCTCGCTCATAACTGGCACATTCATAAATTTATGAAAAGTTCTTTTAAATTATAAGAAGCTCATAGCTGGCTTCAAAATATGAAGCAATTATTTGACGTTTGAGGATGATACCAGGATCCAGAAGCCTTTTGGCTATATTTATATTTCATAACCTAGGAGTTTCTACAAGACTCGCGCACTGATTTACACCTTCTAAATTCTTCTATATTGTCTAATATTTTCAACATTTACGAGTTTGTTTACAATGTTGGACGGAGTTTCTACAGTGTTTTGAAGAATTCGTGCCTACAATGGTTTAGATTCATCACAAAATCATTCTTATTTGAAATCCTGTCGAAGAAAAAAGACAGATTTTCAAGCATGGCTGGTTCTGTCCTTTAATCCCAGCGTTCTATCTCAACTGGTCTATCAAAAGCCAAGAAGCTCAGCTCAAGTTCAAGATTCAAGTCTATGCCTCGTCATTAACCACCACCAGTTAAGAAAAGTGTTAAAATTCAGTAATTTGATGAAACTCACCATTGGCAAGGGCCATGCACCCTCACATACAGTCATTCTAAAAAATTCTGAGAGGTCAGGCTTGACCTAAATATTTCTTCTCCAAAACCTATAGGAGAAGGAAGAATGTACTAAAAGAAGCAGAGAAAGAGGCGCCTGATGTTACTTCTTTTTGATTAATACAAAACCCAAGCATACTTCCTGGTCAATTTTTTGTGTATCCTGTTCGACAGCAGCAGGGACCAACAATAAAATTCTAATAATTCTTTTGTCCAATAACAAAAAATTTAAATGATTATTGATTATCTCTAAAAGTTTTGATTTAAAAATAAAAGGTCCAGTACATGCAAACAAGAGATTATGAATAGATTTTTATGTAGAGTGTATAATTATTACTACCTTCTGTCCTAAACTACAAACTAGATCTTATATTTAGGACTACAGGTAGTTTTTTTTATAATTATTATTATTTTGGGTGAGATGTTCTTACAAAGTTATGACGTCCTATGAAAAAGTCAAAAAATTAGGAATTTATTTCACACTCTTCCATTTAAATTATCTCGAAAATGATAATATTGAGAAGAAATCATATCATTCTATTCTATTTTATAAGAACTCTCAAATGATGGTCAATTACAAACATCCTCTCACCTCATAAAACTTCTAAACAACGGAATGAAACATGAATTGTCAATCCACTCTATTTTGTTAATGGTTTGCCGCTCCATCCCATCCTAATCTGCCAAACACAACCTCAGTATCCTTTTCTTTTGGCCCCACTGTCCATTCTCTTTGTTGAAGACCCCCCCCCCGGGGGGGTGGATTATATAAGTTAGGAAGGAACGGGATTATTCTATCACAAGAGAAAGAATATGAGATGGCTGCCTTTTTGAGATTGCAATCTAAGTAGAAACGATAAGGTTACATCGCCTCCAAGATGGTATTTTGAGCAGCATTATAGACATAAATTAGCACCTCATGAACTCCAAAATATCTTAATCAAGCTTGAGCATTATAGTCAAGGGATCACCCGTCAGTTTTCCTAAGATGGATAACAGCAGCACCTAACATTAGATTTATGAAGTTGACATAATGCTTTGCTGTGCTGTAGAATCAAAAGCCACCACTAGTTTCCTCATCACTGTCTAATCGGCACCACCTTCACAGCATTCGTTTTTTTTTTTTTTTTTTTGGGGAGGGGGGGTGGGGGTGGACAAAATATGGGTATCTGAAATACAAATAGAAAGAAACATTTTTCGGTATAGGAATCGGTATCTAACAAATGGGTACATATTAAGCTTAAATGGGTGGTCTCATGTCCCATAATCATTCCCAAGGCTAACTAGATCTGCATGAGATTATAATGCCTAAAACATGGAAAGTAAATTTTAAGTGAGATGTTCCATTATATTGTGACTTGGAGATATCATGAAAATACAACCACTGCATCATTTAAGCAATCAATGTAGAGCGGGAAATAGTATCAACTTAATGACTTCGAGAACTTGTTTAGTTTAAGCAATGTCAAGCGAAATGTAAATTGCAATTCAAAACAAGAAAAAAGATGTCAAGATGCATTATAGTTCGGGTACCTAACCATGACTGGAAACAAGGTCCATATCCAGGAATCTAAAGTTAAATCAGGTGTGGGAATATATAACACTGGAATCTGATTAAACAGCCTAGTTTTACCCTCTAATTGCTTCCATCAATAAGAGAGGGTGATACACACTTATCAGAGGTGTTGCATCTCATCCAAGGATAGATATAAACGAACTCACAGTTTCAAAATTTATAGGATCCATTTCCTTCAGCTTCTGGACATGTCCTTTTGTATCTGGATCAAAAACACTTCCAATAAAGCCGTAAACCTCAGCAAAGTCCGGTAAACCTGTGATATATGGTCAACAGACCAATTATAACCAGCCAATAATAGTCAGTGAGGAAAAGAATGTAAAATAATAAAAAAATTATATGTGAAAGGATATTACCATGAAGCACTGGAGCTTGTTTTCCTTGCTTGGGCATCTCAGAACTTTGTAGCATTCTAGTAGAAGTTCCTACACCGCTGAGGCTGCTGTTGCTAATTCTTGATATCCCCTTTGATCCAATATCAGCTGAATCAGTAACGTCATATGCATAATAAGTAGTGGAAAGTTCCCTTTAATTCAGCCAATATATATTGTCAATGTCAAGGAAAAAACAAAAGAAATAATCAAGCATGCCTTCATTCCCATGAAGGGTGGTGATTTCATCCTGACATGGTATGTATCTGTTTGATCCAGCATTAATCGGCATTGAATTTTCATCCCATGTGGCATACCCAGGTGCAATAGTATTTGTTGAAGAAACGTAAGCCATGGATGCTGGCAATGGAACTAAGACTGACAACCCAAAAATAATGTCAGGGTTGTGAAAAATATTGTGCATTCAGGAATAGAATAATAGAATGTCACAATCGAAATAGGAGAATACCATTCTTTGGCGCCTTTTGAGGGTATGGATGAGCAGCTTTGCGCTTAGGTCGAGGAGGAGGCACGTGTGCAATTGTCCCGTTCTTCTGAACTTTTAAGAAGTATTTCTGGGCATGGCTTCGAATCTTGAAAAAAAATAAATAAATAAAATAGCAACAAGTGAGGCCTGAATGGAGCATGATAACGAAGAATCAGAGATGAAATGCTGTCTCCTGTCTTCTAACCTGAATAACTGTTTTTGAACCGACAAAATCTTCAATTTTCTTCCAATCTCTGTCAAATCTGAATTATCCAGCTATACGTCAGAAATTTAATTGCAAAGCTTATGTGACAAATAATTTCTCAAGAAAATTCAAATGAACCGCCCCGATGTAAAAGCTCTGAGGAGGGAAAAAATGGCGAGCTATCCGTTAAATCAGAATAGAACATAAACATTGACAAGTTGTATGTTTGGGGGGGGGGGTGGGAATGCCTGATAAGAAGCTAGCACAGTAACGATAGTTTTCTCGTTTAAATTTTATATTTTCTATCAATGTGAAACTTCCCTCAAACGAGCTCCGCGCCATCCTATCCCAGATCAGAAATGATCAACCCACAAAGCTTAGTACCTACTGGCTCTCCAAGAGGCAGAGAGGAATTCGAAATGGTAAGCAAATTTGCTCAGACTAAAAAGATTGATTGAATTGTGGAGACAGTCAAAGACTGGAAGACTTACGACGGAAAGACTGAAGATCAAGAAGGAAGATAAAGAACAATAAAAGCATTCTCGGCTTGATATAAAACAATCTAGAAATACTCAATTGGCACAGTAAGTAGAGAAGTTAGGTCAGATGAACACTCAAAAGGGGAACAAAGAGCGGAGAAGACATAATTGAGTGAAAATTAAAAGAAAAGAAGCATTGAAACTCACAGTTGAAGAGCTTCTAGAAACTTGTCATGCTCTTCCTCTGTCCAGCTTTCCCTCGATTTGGTAATGGTATAGGGCTTTCTCACCTTCTTGCTAGACCCGTCAGTGGGCGTCGAGGTCGCCATTGATTGAGAATTCGAAGTGGTGGAGTTCATGCTCAGAGCAGAGAGCAGATAAGCTCAAAAGTTAGAGAGAGAATGGTAAGAACTCGAATGTGGCGGGCTGGTCTGCCTAAATGAGTGGTTTTGCGTATATGCGCGATGCCCAACTTGAGGCCGGGAAAATGCTGTGGCCGCTTCCCAAAGATAACTACCACTTCCCCGATTTCCAAATCACGCGACGTCCCGTCACTGGGTTGAGGGAGCACTATAGTGCAGTCACCCCACCATATACACCCGCAGTGCGCCCGATATAAACCAACGTGAGCGAATAGGAGCGCAAGAGCGATGCCGTTGGGATAGACCGCGATATAGAGAATGGAACACAGGCCGTTGATGGTGGCCGATTTTTTGGAGCGTTGCAAAAATAATCAGGAAGGCTTAAAAGGCAGTGGGTCCCACCTAAGTTTGGTGATCACTACGTGGGCGTGTCTTTCGTCCACTAAATGGGAGGGACTAGATGGCCTACGTGTCAGTGATATAAGACCAATGCAGAACGCAACCCTTCTTGGAGGGGCAATTGAAGCTAGGTTGAGTTCGTTTGTCCAAAAAAACAAAAAAAAAGTGTTTTACCAGTTATTTTATCTGAATGACTTCATGTTAAAAACAATTATGGAGGGATAATATGTAAAAAATTGAATTTTCGATCTGTAGTAAAAATGAATTTGTTTTTTTTTCCTTGTGCTGTTATGGGAGAAATTAATCTCTATTGTCCATTAATTAAGAATATTCCTAATCTATCTAAGTCAGCTCAAACGAATATAAATCCGAATGGCACGTCCTTTGAGAGTAGTTGGGGAGTTCAATTTTTAACTTTTATATGTAACCAGCAAATAGCAACACCCCCTCATTGTTGCCCGACGTATACAGAATATATGAGAAATATGTTTTAAAGAATGTTGCTCCAAGACGTCGTGGGTACTATCTTTTTTCCTTCAATTCATCATCCTTGTATTATTGAGACAACTATTGCTACCAAATGATTCTAAAACACACGTGACCGTGGTGTTACTCAGCTGTGATGCGAGCTGATTTCTCTCTGATTATAAAAAGTCAAAGAAAAGCCGCGATGAAATGCTTCGAAAATATTAAACAAGAGGATTATGCAAAGAAATGTGTTTTTTTTTTTTTGCAATTCATTTTTGATCACCTGCTCTCTCGTCACGAGCTTTTTTTCTTCCCTGGTCTTTTGTTTTTTCCCTTCATTTTCTCTCCATCCAGATGGATAAAGGGAAGGGACACGTGACTGAGACGTTGCATCCAACTTTAGAAAGCTTTCTCTGCTCAAAATCACAGAAGAACACGGCTTTTGAAGGAAGAACAATGAAAATAATTTCAAGTGATGAAAATGAGCAATTAAGATTGCATCTGTGAAAGAAGAGACTGAACCTCACACATCAGGACGATAATAGTTGGCTGTATCATGAAATTACGTAACTCGTTGAAATTAAACGAATCAAATTGGCGAGTGGCCAATATCGTTTCAGCCTGCTTAACCAAATGACGTCGTTTTTGAGGAACAACACCACAAAGCGTTTGATGAGTCGAGTTGAAACAGTAGAGAAATATAACTCTTCAACCGCTTTGCGTTCCACAAACGCTCTCCCTCTCTCTCTCTCTCAAACTTCAATCAATCAGTCGTCCTTCTCTTTTTTTTAATTGTTTTTTTTTTCCGTTAAAACATAAATATCTTTCTATTAAAAACAATTTATTCAAAATATTATCTGATACTAAATGTGAATATATCTGTATTAACAGAGATTTAAATTTTGGTTTGCTAAGCTACAAGAGATTAATTCTTTTCTTTTTCCGGTCCAAAAAAAAAAAATTCTTTTCTTTTCTCTAAACCCAACTTCTGTTAGATGGTTTGATTTTTATCCTGTCCCGTACTTCACGTTCTCCTTGATGGATCATCTTTTGTTCTAGTTGAGTCTTTAGCGGGGGAAGACGCAAAAAAGAACAACTGGAATCATGAGCCCAAATTATAAAAATCATAAATTAAATTTTTAATTTTTAAATTATATAGTCCAATCAATTTTGTTTGTAATCATATTTTCGAACAAGCCTTGAGGAGACGACACGTGTTAAAGAGGTGGGTGACGTGGCTAAATTTGAGACCTGCAATTGCAGTGAAGGATAAGAGCCACGGAAGAGGCGCAGATGCTGGCCTACGCTGTCCTGCACATCCGGAGTCTGCTGCAGAAGCAGCTCGGAGACATAATCGGAATCCTGGTCAGGACGCAAATGGATATTCAGTTCCGGATCCGAAGCATTATATCGCATCCCTTCTTCTCTCGAAACCAAAGATCGTCGTCTTCGTCCTCACCATCTCACTCCTCTTCTTACTCGCCTTTCAAAAGTTTCTGTTCCAGAAGGGACTTCGGAGAATCTCAAGAAAACGGCGATGATAATAATAAGGGTACTGCTATCTTCCAATCTGGCCAATCATCTTCTTCTTCTTTTTTCCGTTTTCCTGTTTTAAGAAGTGATGAATCTTTTATAATCCACTTATTTTTTGCTGGTCTGGAATTATTTCCGCTTTTTCTTTCTTTTATAAAAGAAAGAAAGGCTTGACCTACTAGTCTTTGCTCCAGGGCGGTTCATATGGTCCTCAAGGTGGATAGTTAACTTGGTTATATATGAAACAGCTCAAATTTTATGCAAAGATGCCCAATTTCCCACTTGTTGCCACACAGGGAATCGGGCGTGAAGACAATTTTGTGAAAGCATATGTTCTCCATTTCTGCTATCATGGGAAAAGAATGCCAATTGATGCATGATCATTCCCTCTTCGTTATCTCAAGTAGTTATGTATGCCGAATCCTTAATGCTTCAGCATAATAGTAGTTTCCGAAATGTCATTTGACAACATTTCGCCCTTTGCATTAAGTGCCTGGTCACCTGAGTCCAAAAAAAAAAAAGTGCCTGGTCACATATAATGTAAGTTTTATAAATTTTCTTGAGGTGGAATCTATAACCCAGGAAGACTCATACAGAAACTGTTTGTTAAATGGTCCAGGAGACAAGTTTTCAACAGACTGGGACAAGGCATGGTCAAATTTCAGGAAGCAAGGGAGGAAATCACTCTTCTCTCGGTTTTCTCCAGACAAGTATGTGAGCTGGAATCCAAGGCGATCAGAGTTCCCAATCTCTGAGGAGACTGATCCGATCAAAAGAACAGAGAGATCAAACCTCATGTTGTGGACTAGTCCTGGCTTCACTTTAGTGGGGGCTATTATAATTGTTTCATTCCTTTTGTTATATACAATTCTTGCACCAATCAAGTGATGTCCTTGGTTTTGTATCTCACAAGTAAACTATTGGTTTCACTGAAACTGTAAATTGCCTATCAATGTGACAGCTTATCTCTTCCTCTTTGTTCCTCTGGTTCATCCAACTGGAATCAATATTATCCTCAGTTGTTACTTAACATTTCACATTCAGGATTGGCCCGGAAACAAAAACAAAAATCATACTCAGGTATATCTGAGTTGGCGATAGATCAACCTGAAGTGAAGTGTTGCACCCAGAAAAAGAAAACCTGAAGTGTAGTGACATTAAGAGATGCCTGTTGTCCATGCCCATCGGCTACCTGCTAATATACTTGCTTGAAATGCTCTGTTGTCCTTCCAAGATTTTTGTAGCCGCCGGCGTACTTGTTGATTCTCTCTCAGTCAGCTCTATTTCCGGGGATCAAATATATTCGTGCAAGCACGAAAACATGGCAAATGTGATATGAGGAAATTTGCCCAAAAGAAAAAAAGATGACATAAAGAAAGACTTCATCAGCGTCATATTCTCAACTCTAGTACAGATAGAGCAATTGCTGGGTTTATTTCCATACCCCATCGAACACGTATAACAACGAGTCCAGAAGAAGTGGTAGGTGCTTGAGAGGGAAAAAAAAAAAAATGAACAAATGCAATCAGTAGCTATCTTGTTCTACGTTAAGAGTTAAGCTACCCAGCGGAAGATTTTCTCCGTCCAGATCCAGTGGAGCTTGTTTGATAGGGCTTAGTAATAAATGGAGACTCGTCACGTCGAAGATATATATCTGGATTGCTGCTGCATGTTATGCCTTCCAGTTTTCGAATAGCAAAATCTGAAAAGCCTGTGAATTTCTTCTGTTTTAATGATTAACAAGTTAAATTGCCTTGCCTTGCATTCCTCTCTGCATTTACATTACTCATAGGATTCATTTATTTCATTCCAAGGGAAACAGCGATGTTCATCTTTGACGTGGTTCATAAGATCATGGCTGGTTTTATATAGTAGAGCTGTCTGCTAACCATCGCTGAGTATATAAATCCTTTACGTCTTCTTCGCCAAAATAATGGTATGATACAGATGTTAGGCATGTCTCCCTTCTAACGTAGACGACGCTATCAGGTCACTTTCATGGCAGACAAGGAAGAGACAAGAATCCCCAGTGCTGTAAACAAGATGGATCGAGTTCTTTATATAGTCTGACAATTCAAAGTGTTTTGATCTTGTAATGCAATAATTATCAGAGGTTGTTTGAATTTTATTTTGATTCTAAATATAAAACTCTAATACATTCTTTTTCATATTTATCTATTTTTTTTAAGATAATTCTTATAATAATGATAGTTTTAACCAATTAGTAAAGATATTTTAAGAAAGATAATATATATTTATTACAAATAACTAATTTAATTAATTTTTTTAATCTGTTAAATTAGTTAGTTAATTTTATATTGATGACCGGAGATAGTAGTACTTGTCAGAACAAGAAACTGACTCTTATGTTCGGTGACTTATCCAATCATCCATCCAAACAGTGTCTAAATGATTTAACCAGGCACTTAGTCGCTCGACATCACGTGGGACTTTCGCAACGTTCAGCCAAGAGTATTCCGTTAATCGGAATCCGAATGCTCGCTTCAATCTGCATTCAGATAAAATTTCTGCTCCCAGCTTTTTTAATGTCTGGGAAAAATATTTTAGATGAGTTACATACTACTCTCTACTTCTTAATATAAGAACTAGTTTAACTTTTAATTTGATTATAAATATAATACTATAATTCTAATTCACTTTATCTCTCATATTTAACTATTTTTTCTCAAGATAGTCCTTATAGTAGTTACAAATGTTAAATGTTTCATCAAATGATAATTCTAGTTAATACACATTATTAATATGGGTATTTTAGAGAAGACAACACCTACTTGTTACAAATAATTACCTTAACAAATTTTTTTAATTTATTTAAATTAGTCAACTAGTACTTATATTAAATAGTGGGGGTATTACTAAAGTTAGATCAGGTCACAGTCCCACTTCTCAAATAACCTACAGCTATGTTATGGATTATCCATTGATTAATAAGGTTTCTACCGAGGAGCATGATCTCATCTCACACTGTTGTGATGCACGAGTCGTGTTCTGACCAAATAACACAACCTCCACTGAATTTAATTAATTTTCGCTGCGACAAAGGTACGTAGCAAAAATTTGATGTCTCAATATTTTCCACGCGGAATGTGAATGCTAGCGCCGCTGCAGAAAAGCAAGGCAAGGTGTTTGTTTCACCCATTAGGCTTTTCCTTCTTCTTTTTTTCATTTTTATTAGATGCGCATTTATTAGCTTTTTTATTCAAAAAAAGAGAGAGAGCAGAATAAAAATTCTAGTCAAGATTTAAGAATGAGCCTATATATACATATGACCTGCGCCTTTGTTCTCCTCGCGCGACATAGAGTTCAGCACTTTGATACTGGTGGTTCGCTCTTTCCAATCGTTTCTGTGTTTTTCTGCAAACAAACGAAAATGGGTAGAACAGAAGAAAAGGGTGATCGTACAAGTACGAAGAAGGGTAGGCCTCTTCCAATGAGAGGACAGATCAAAGCTAAAATAATGAACGAGTTTGTAAGTATGGTACTAGATTCATGGAGAGCCCTGTGCAGGTGCGTGAGGGAAAAGGTGACAGATGAGCCACGTCCCTCCAAAACTGACCATTCTGGTCACAACTGAGTTCTATCATAGCTCCATTTTCTTTTCTCTGAGCTGCTCAATAATTTGCAGGCTATCCCGTTCTTCTTTGGTGTTGTACGCCTGTATTTGTATTATTATGCTGCTCTGTCTCTCTGTTGTAGTTTTGTTTCTGCTCATAGCCTTTAGTAATGTGCAGATTCTGCTATTTCATTCCTGTGTCCTCCCATTTCACATCTTGATTATTAATTCCACTTAATATCCTTTTCTTTTTTATTTACTTCCTAGTTCTATGACAAACAACTGCTCGAAGAAGTCCCCTGCAGCTTTAGTAGTAACTCTCAACGGTTTTCCTGTTAAACCTAAAGAATGGCGGTAGGGAAAATTAATAGAAAAAGGTTTCTTTTACTTGAAAGGTCAAAATTCAAAATTCAGACAATTAAGGGTCCACACTTCACAGCCACATTCTTAAAGCAAGCTACAATAACAGAGGTTGAATCTACTGGGCTTCGCGGATCGATAGTTATCATTGTCCATTTAAAGAATACAAATAAACAGTACTGTCGACCTTAATAACCTTCAGGATTAATTTCATTATTTGTGTAATTTCATGCAGAAGTAATCATGGTTCGCATAGAACGGGAAATCGGAAGACTTATATCCTTCTAGTGCAAAAAATAATAATGGAATATATATATCCATACTTATTTGAAAAACAGCTGGGCATAAAGAAACGTGAGTTTTCAGGATTTCTAACTCATCAAAGCCACATGGGCACGTGACGTTATGAGTAATATTATAGTCACACTATAATCTCGGGCACTAGTTATTGACCGCTCAGCTGTAAAAGGGCGCAGGTTCATTTGGCAATCTAGAAAATCATCCTTTCACACGAACTCATTTGAGATTTTGAGCGTGAAGTCAAAGAATCTGAAAGTATTTGCCGGGTTCGTCACACGATTGCTGAGTTGGCATATTCTTGAGGACATGCTTGTCTTGTCAACATAACTCAGTACAAAACACAGGAAGTGATTGTCAATAAACGGCTTGATGAATTCAATAAGTAAATGGGAAGGTAGGAATTTTGATCTCCCAAGCTAAAACAGTAGTGAATGTCTTAATATAATGCAGCACTCGTGCGGTTAGGCACTGTGATGTCGGATTCAGAAGGTCCCACGTGTAGATAGTTTATTTATCGATAGAAGAGCGAATCTTTCACAGACAGTCACAAAACATCGGACAAAGTCAAGTGCCCTCCGGTCTTCCTTATGGGTTGCAAACACGGGTCTTCACAGGCCCCATTCACTTCAATGTGGCTGCTTTCCAAGTCCAAGTCTCCTCCTTGGCCGGCGAATTACCTTGTGAACGTGCACCTAATTACTTGTTTGAATCGGCCTTGGCATGTGCTTTTGGTTTGTCTGTAAGTGTGTGTGTGTGTCATTTCAAACATGAGTCAAATACATATATATCACAATTAGACGCTATATTAACATCAATGTCAAAGACAATTAGACACATGACGCACCGTGCTTGAAATCTTGAATAACGAGCTGTATTGAGGCTTGTTTTATATATACTTGTTCGGGATATTTATTAGCAATTTCTTTGAAATTTAAAAAGTTTATTTAAAATGATTTATAAATAATTTTTCAATCATAATTCATAAAATAAAATATAAGTACGTAGATAGAGTTTTGTTTCGCCTTACTGTATTAATAAATCACAACTCCAAACAAGCTCAAAATCTAGTGGTGACAATGGATCCGTTTGAAGTAGTTTTTTAACAATGATTTACGGAATACAAAGTAAATATGTGAGAAAAATTTTATCTCAATTTATTGAGAATTTTTTAAGCCTTTCCAGACAGCTACAAATCTAGCGACGGTAAATTACATTTATTCTACTGGCTCGATTCGACGTGGGACGTGAAGCTCCAACAACACGTGTCTATTCCAGGGATATTTGTGCCCGATTTGCGCAGGGATGCCTCAGCATTTGCAAAAGAAAAGGAAGCGACGAGGAAACGAGAGCACATGGACATGGGCGGCTTGATAAATTGACTGGACTGAGATCTACGCTTTATACGAGTGCAGATATAATTTATATGATAAATACTGAGATAAGCGGGAGAAAGAAAAAATGAAAACTGATAATAGATAGATGACGTTTTCATGCAGGAAAAGTTTAAAATGAATGAAAATATTGAAGACCAATTGCACTGAACATGGCTAAACATTGGTGATAAGATGCAAAGCTATAGGTACAAAAATAAAAATTATATACTACCTTCAAACTTTAATATAAAAACTAATTGACTAATTTAAATAGATTAAGAAACTTCGCATGAAGACGGTTCATCGTCTGTTCTTTAGAACTTTTCGCTGTATGGAAGGTTACGCACTCATTTTTCTTTTGATAGGAACTTAGAAATTAGTTACAAGTCAAATGAAAACTGGGGTACCGCCAAAGTGTGCTTTGTTGAAAAGGGGTGGTATTAACTGCCTAGAAGAAAATGAGAACTTCAATCCTTTTTTGAAAGAGAATTCTCAAGGAGCTGTCAACAATGGCCCATTAGATCGTTGGGAAAAAAAGCCCATTGGATCTCTATTAAGGGCAATATTCACCGGCTTTTAATACAAGGCCACTTGTTATTTTTTCCCCCCTTCAAAAACCCTAGCTGGGTCAGGCGGTAACATTAATTATTAATTAATTAATTAATTATCTACAGATTGGAGAGAGTGGGCGCCGAGGATACGGAAGCAGAGCCTCCTTCTTCTTAGGCTCAGCGCAAGCGTCTCTCAACTCCGGTGGTTTCAATGGCGGCCATAACTCGCCTGGCAAGGCGTACAACCTCCATCTCTTACCTGGCGGGTAAATACTTTTCCTCTGCGGTTGCATCTCAGGCGCCTACGTACAATGCTCCTCTCTTCCATCCCAAACCCCAGTTTCCTCGTAAAGATCCACGGGATAGGAATGTCCAGTGGATCTTTTTGGGCTGCCCAGGCGTCGGTAAAGGCACCTACGCAAGTCGCCTCTGCAATCTTCTCGGCGTCCCTCACATTGCCACCGGCGATCTTGTTCGCGAAGAGCTCGCGTCCTCGGGCCCACTCTCTGCCCAGGTTTCCTATTCTATTATCTTCATCTTTTAATTTGCTGCAAAAGCTTTCACTTGATTTGATGTTTACCTCAAATTTTATTTGTTCTCTTTTTGATTGGTTAAGGTGGTCTAATGTGAAAATTTTGACCATGCCTTATATTGCTGGAAAACACATGGGATTGTATTGCTGATTTTGAACGCATCAAGTCATCAATCACTATGAGTCTCATTTAATAATCCTACAAAACTATGGTTTTTTTTTTATTTATTTCTCTTTAAGCTCAAACCTTGCTCCACTGCACTGCCAAAATTAAGACCTTGTTTATGAGAATGTTTGGGAGTGGGCTGCGATGGACTGAGCAATTTAAGTTTTTTACATATTGATTTAATTTAATTTTAAAATCATTAACACGATAAAGATATTGTTGAAGATTTTATCCTTAAAACCTAGCTCACGATGTTCGAATTATTTGATATCTTCCCTTTTTGACCTTTGCTTTGAATGAATACTAGATCATTGTGCAATATTTATTTTAACTTCTTGGAAAGGCAGCACTGTAGGGCCGTCCCCTATTGGGATGTACTATTAAACCAAAATTGGGGTTATCCGCTAAGAATTATGGTAGAGCGGTTTATGAAAAGAAATCTTTATTGGTTCTACCTCCTATTTTTTATGAAGAGAATGAATCTGATTCAATGGGTTAGGTCTACTTACCTTTTCTTTTGTTGATTTGGAATCTTTCCAATTTCTTTTGATTGGAATAATAGAAAATAGGAATATCTGGACTGTAGCAGCTTATGGCTTATGTTTGTCCTTATGGTGAGAATTTAAAATTTGAGATATTTCAATTTTCAGTTGCATCCACGCCTTCATTGCCACTTGTCATGCATTCTTTTGTTTGATAGTGAAGCATAGTTCTGTCCTGCTGTCAGATGGCTATTCATTTTTTTGGGAGGGGGGTATTTGCTTATATACAAACATAGGATACCTTATATATAAAATATTACATTTAGTATTGTTTTTAGTGAAATCTTGGTTGTGTCGGTTTTCAATTTGTGATTTGTGACTGTACGTGCCATTGATATCAAGACGTCCAGTTGAACATTTACCAGTGCTTGGTTATGGTGGCGTTTCAATTTGTGATCTGTTTAATGCGATTATGGATGGAGCTGTTGAAGGCTATCATTAGATAGCATTTGTTTCAAGAAGTTAGGGTCTGGTAAATTTATGCCTGTTGTTCCATGTCTTTCATAAGCTAATTTGTATTTTCCTGGTGTCATCTACAGCTGTCAGACATTGTAAACCAAGGTCAATTAGTCTCAGATGAAATCATAATAAGCTTATTGTCAAAGCGACTGGCTGCTGGGGAAGCAAAAGGTGAATCGGGTTTTATTCTTGACGGTTTTCCTCGAACAATAAACCAAGCAGTGAGTATTTTCACATACTTATAAGTCCAAATAATTTTATTCCACACTGCAACTGTTTAAAATTTCTTTTCCTGAAGATATTCGCTATGAATGCTGGGGAACTGATAGTATTAAAGCTGACGTGTTCTTCATTATATATGTATATAAAATAAATCTGTTATCTGTTACTAATAAATTTCATGACTTTATATTCATGTCTCAATAAGTTAACATTTATATACAATCACAACTAAAAAAGATTCAAAAAAAAAAAAAATGAAATGGTTAAACTAGCCAGCCGACCATTTTTCGTGGGTTTTGATCGGTTCTCCTTTTGACCATTCTTTTTCGAACCAGTTCTAACTTCTAACATTGTTTCAGCAGTTCAGACCAGTCCCTGACTGGTTTGGCTGAGTTTTCATAACACTACTGTTTTATCCCTTGATGAATATGAGCTGCAATGATTTGGTAATATCCTCTTTTCACAATGGCACTTTGCTTAATGGATTTGGATTTCCTTTTTGTTTGCCCAGGAAATTTTGGATGGGGTAACTGACATTGATTTGGTCGTTAATCTGAAGATCCGAGAAGATGTACTGCTTGAGAAATGCCTTGGTAGGAGAATTTGTAGTCAATGTGGGAAAAATTTTAATGTCGCTTCTATTAATATCAAGGGTGAGAATGGGAGCCCTGGAATCAGCATGGCACCTCTTCTCCCTCCTGCCCAATGCATGCCAAAGCTTTTACTCGTGCGGATGATACTGAAGAAGTAGTCAAAGAAAGGCTTCGCATATACTATGACATGGTATTGCTGTGTTATTAATATGGTTAATTGTTCATAATTTCTTTGAGTGGACTTATGGAAACTAATTCTCTGCTCCTCCTAGCTACTTATGATGTTAGTTACTGCGTTGTTAATATAATATTTTTCTTTATGTTCACGATTGTTTTGTTATTTGTTCTGTATCATGCTTGCAGAGTCAGCCTGTGGAGGAATTTTACCGCAGTCGAGGAAAACTATTGGAGTTTGAGCTGCCAGGAGGAATCCCTGAATCCTGGCCAAAGTTGCTGCAAGCTCTTGATCTTGATGATTATGAGCCCAGACAGTCTGCTGCTGCCTAAATATAATAATGGACACTAAAAGTGAGTATTTCATTCTTTGCATGCATAAGTTGCATGCCTGGCAATTTTGCAGGAAAGAAAATATGAGAAGGGGGACTTCCTCTATTTGTATTATTTGGATAAATAATGTTATCAAGAAGCGTTGAAATCTTGATCAAACCTATGCCTAATGGGCTTCTATTTGTATTATTATTACGTGAAATGTCAGAAGTTTTGGTGTACTTTTCTGTGACTTGGTGAGAGTTTATGACGGCTACTTAGATGCTTGGTTAGCGTTAAGCTTCAGTAGACTGATCCGTTACTGTTGTAATGCTTTCTTTGTTTTGTTTTGCCCTAGCCAATTACTATTCTAATACTCTGATTCAAGCGTGAATGGACTAATTTGGTTGCACCCACAATTGCTCAAGAGATTTGGGAATTGCTTTTTATATTGGCCTCTCAGGAAAAAAGCCCACTTCATGATTTCTGATATTCTCGCCATACTTGCTGCTGCTCTTGCTTATCAGTGGCATGACACCTCTTTGACTATGCTTCTTGTTCTGTTGCTGGCCGTGATTTGCACTTAACATATCTAACTCGGATTTTCCCTCTCCGGATTATGGGTTTGGTATTATTTCTGAATGTACCCTTCCTATTAGATGCCATATGGATTGGAGGGATGAGTTTTTTGGAAGTATGGGGGGCATTTTGTTTTCTTGCAGCTGGCCGAGCTGGTTTGCTCAAGGGTTGCAAGCCAGCAAGTTTAAATAGCTGCTAAAGTAGTTAGACAGGGCACAATACCAGCTCCTGCCTGCTCAGATCTGCATGGTGCAGGATAGATTTTGCCCTACATTTTATCTTCTTAGCTACCTCGTGCTTCGGTTAGTTAGTTTCTTTCCTCCTTTTTTTGTTTCTTTTTTCTTTTTTGTTTTTTCCCTCGGACTTGTTTATGCATTGGATGGAATGTTTTCATGTTGACTTTTTTGCTCCTCCAGATTGTTCACTTCCAATTTAAGCCGGGGGATTGATAGCTTGCTCCGCCTGGTCCGTGAATGTGACTGGGTTACTAGTTAGTTTAAATAAGCTCCAAACATGTATGTGGTCAATTATTGGGACCAATAGATGAAGATGGGCTGTTGTTGTTGATGTTGTTATTTGTTGCGCTAAACTGTTAGCTTTTTTATCAGCATTTTTTCTATCCGCAGCTGTAGCTTCATGCCATAAATTTGGCGAACCATCGTTCTGAAGTTTGTCAATTTATTAAAAGTTTCCAATGATGGATTTTTTTTCCCAAATGAGTGTTTTTAACTCAATTTTAATTTTGTTTTGAGAAATTGAAGCTGGCTGTGGGATTTTTTTTGGGAGGAAATTGACAAAAAAAACCTGAAATTGTGAAATCCCAATAAAGGCAGCTAACAGTTTAAATTTCAGGGGAAGTAGTATATCTGATGTGGTATTTTGTAAATGTAGTTAAATAATTAAAATGTTTCTGATTCAAAAAGTTTCTTAATAAGTTGTGTACTGATAATAACAAATATTGAATAATAAATGACAAAAATTGTTGGTAATGATAAGTTCGGAGCAAGGGTATTTTAATTATATTTATAAAATATCAGATTAGATATATTTTTTTTTTTGGGTTTTCAAGTGCCTGGATTAGGATTTCATAATTTCTATTTTTTTGGTCTTCCCCCTCCCCCCCCCCAAATGATCAATTTTAACCCCCAAAAAAAAATTTGATGATGAGAATGTGGGTTGAACTAGGAAGGTACATGTACAAGCCGAAGAGAGGGCCAACACGGCCCATTCCATTTTTCAGTCTGCCCCTTAGGCCAGGCTGGACAACCTTTCAACTCTACTTTTGATATTTATTCTTTTTACCTCTATTTAGAGAAATTTGTTTTTAATTAGCGAAATTATTTCTGTACCGTATGCAATTTTTGTAGCCGAAGTTATTTGTTTGAACGGAAATCATTATAAAAGTAAAAAATTGCAGCATTAATTAACTAACTAGTCATTAATGATAGACAAAGGGAATTTTTTAGTTATAACACCTGCTCATGGAATGTGTGTATGCGTAATCATTAGATATAAAAGAATTTAGGAAAAGACAACCAGATTACCACCTTGTGTGATAAATATATGAATTAGATAATTGAGTTACACAAATTAATGATATTAGTTATATTGGTTACCCATAAAAGAATGTGTATTGTTGGCAAAAAAATGTGTATTATTATTTCTAAAGGCTAAAGTATACATTTAGTTTTAAATTTATACAATGTTTCAATTTGGTTCCTTAACTTTAAAAAGCATACATTTGGTCCTTTAATTCTAAAATCATTAAGCTCTAATGATGATTTTTTGTAACAATCATGGATGTTTCAAAAATTAAACTCAATATTATTGATTTATAATAAGATCTTTTAAGATTTTAATGTCATCTTTTTTAAAAAAATTTTAGGGTTAAAAGACTAAAGTATACTTTTTAAAGTTAAGGGATCAAATTGAAACCTTATACAAAGTTAAATGACCAAATATATACTTTAGCCTTTTCTAAAATATTCCTTCTTTTAATCATCATATAAATACATAAAGCCATCTATTATACCACCTCTAGTTTTTAATATAAGACCCTGTTTGACTTTTATTTTGATCCTAAATATAAAACCCCAATCCACTTTATCTCTCATATTTATAAATTTTTTTTCAAGATAATCTTTCTAATAATTGTAGTTTTAGCCAATATAGTTGATTAGTAAAAATATATTAGGAAAGACAACACCTATTTCTTACAAATAACTAACTTAACTTCTTTCCTTAATCTCCTCAAATTAGTCAACTGGGTCCTATAATTAGGACCGGAGGTAGTAATTAATATGGGTAATTTTTTTAATTAATTAATATTTAAAACGGGGGAAATATTTAATGCAGGTTATCTAAATAATAACAAAATTTCATACCTTTAACGGAGTAAATTATTCCAAGAATTCATAATATAATTTACCCTTTTCTATGTCTAAATGTGAAAAGGAACATTTTAACATAAAAAATTTGAACTTACCTTGAAACTAAGGACGAGATATTTACTCGGACGTTACAGCTGTGTGGGTCAATACGCACCCCTTGACGAAGGGATGTATGACGGGTTGCCGTCCTGCGTGCTCAGTGTCACAATCGAAGTTTTTTTTTTTTTGGGCCGATAATTTTGAAGTTTTTAAACTTGAACATCCAATTATATATATATATATATATATATATATTTGGTGAATGCAAATTTTTAATTTTTAACGTTATATTAAATATTTGCAAAACAATATAGAAACTGAAATTATTTATTATATTTTTCTTATTCCTCTTAAGAACATTGATTATTTCCTTTTTAATTTTTTTACTCAAAAAGAAAATATTATTTTTGAAAATTTTTGAATTTGAATTTTTGAATTTTCAATGCATAATTGTGGCTCTGAGTGATGCGAGACGAATGAATGGATAGTATAATCGTGATTTGCAGTGGTTGCTGTACCGCGCAACACTGAATCTTGCGCCTAAGATATTTTTCATGGAAAACATAATAAATCAAAGTGCGGACAATTCGGTCATTTCATCACTAGGGCCATCATTGTCATTGAGCGCTGAGCTTAATTTCGAGCCCTATGGCGCCACGTGTTCCGATCCAGATCTCCAAAGATGCGGTGACCGCCTTGGAGCTCCCGGCTTTAGATTTTGTCCACATCACTATGACCACGTCACCAAATATATTACAACCTGGAAATATCTCACTCCTAATGGCACTTCTTGACCGCTCCACACCTCCATTTCGTCCACGCCAGCAACCTTGGACGAGCCCAATATCTTCTTCACTAGACGCCCATCGCATTATCTTCTTCCTTACCGCGGTTCAGAGATCGGTCAATCTCTCTTTACTCGCACACTTAACTTGAAGATTTTTTTTATAAAAATATTTTCTGGGTCAAAATTAATTTGATGGATATTGTTTAATCGTAAAAATCATTATCATGTAATTCTCCTGGTTTATAATGATTTTCTTCTGGATCGAGCTTGGAAATGGAGATTAATGAAGCTTCTGAGGTGGTAATCCGCGCTTATTTTCTGCCTTTTCTTTTTGGGGTCTTTGTAATAGATATATGATTCCTTTTTAAGTTCCCATATTTTGAAGTGCCAACGATTTAGCATAAGAAGTGATGCATACTACAATATCCTTTTGGATATGGAAGACTTCTTCTTCTGGGTTTGCTGTTGTGAATCTCCCTTGTATGCATAATGGATTTATATTTTCAGTAGAAGTCAATCACGTGTGTAATCGATTGGGGAATTTGCAACCTCAAGTGTTCTTCGGCCTACTTAGGGTTTGGAAGATGCTATCCTGTTCTTTCGGATGTTGACTCCGATACTTCAGTAAATTACAGCAAGAAGGAGTTCAGAGTTAGTATCGACTCAAGATCTATACTTCAGCTTTATATTTGTCTCTCAACCTTTTTTTTTACTTCCTCGCTGTTTTTTTTTGTGGTTTGGGGTATGTATATAATCACATTCATTTGATTCTGAAGTGGAGAACGTGATCAAGGGATCTTTGTATCTCAGCCGACAAAGAAATATGTTCTTAGGTGGTTTAATAATTCTTTCTCTGCTCATGCATGGTGAGGGAAGCCTGAAGGGTTTTGTTGAGAGCATTGTTGTCTGAGGATATTTCTTGGAGTTCATTGTGAAAAATAAAGCAGAACTTATGAATTATTGCTTGTGTAGGTCTGTGTTTTTTTTGGACCGCATATCCAGTGATTTATACCTGCACTGGGCTGAGTTATATTGTCAAGCTTGGGGTTCTGAAAAATGTATCGTGTGATGTTTCCTGTGTGGGGGGCAGGTTATAACCATTCCTAAATATCAGTGTTCTGTCATCTGAATGACAAGGGACGTCCTCATGAGCATTGCTGGTGATGATAAAGAATTTCAAGAATTGGCTCAGCGTCTGCAAGATGGTAAAAAACCACCAAAGAGGGAGCTGCTGGGACGGACATAATTTCCATGAGGATGATGAGTTAAAAAGTAATGGAACAGCTGAAGAAGTTAAAGTGGGACAAGATGGAATTGTGGAAGCTCCAGCCGTTCAGCATATGCCACAACAGCAACCTCAAGGGGCAATTTGGGAGAGGTTCCTACATCTCAGATCACTCAAGGTCTTGCTTGTGGAGATTGATGACTCTACTCGTCATGTTGTTGCGGCACTGCTTCGCAATTGTAGTTATGAAGGTTTGTTATTATTTGACGGTTATTAAATGTTTTACATATTTGAGTAGGCTTTGAGACTTGATGCAATTTTCATTCATTACCTTTGTAACATGTTTTCTTATTTCAGGCATGTGGATTTTTTTCCCTTCTAAATTATAAATGGATGTTTGGTGGTGTAAGTTCAAAATTGAAACAGTCTTTCATTTTCTGGTGGGGCTAGATAATAAAGATGTATAGTTACTAATTACATTAGGCTTGATCACATGTTCTTTTCATCATGTTTTCCTCTTAGACCTGTATTGGTGGTTTTATTTGTTTTCTGAATAGTTAGGCATATTTCCCATGTGCAACAACTCGTCTGACTTTGCCGAGAAATCCTTTTGAATCAGACAGGAAAAAGGACATCTTATTCAACCAGTGATTTATGCTTGATAAATTCATTTTTACTCTTGCTGCAAGCTGGGTTGATTTGTTGATCCGGAAGATAGTGCTCTGGCTGAATTGAGCTAGAGCCAAATATGTGTAGGAAAAGAAAAAAATCCCGAGAGTGAGTATGTCCTCTGAAGAGCGATCTTCAGCAAGGTCTATGAATTCCTAAAGAGGTTAAGTGCATTGTTAAGCATGGATATTCAACTCATAATGGCTAGCTACGCTTGTGAGGAAGAGGAATTTATTATAGTAATAATGGTTGCATGTATTATTTTCAGGGCTTCTTAACTGGAACGGGGTGGAAGAGCAGTAGGATTAAGAATTCTAATTCTTGTGTAATAAGTTAGAAAATTTGATGCCTCCACAGTGGAAAGGTTGCTTTTTGGCAGGTGGAGAATTTTGTTGGGGCTCCTCCTGGGGGACTTTCTTATGTTAGTTTGTCACTCTAGGATATATGGCTTAACTTTTAGAATATGACGATTTGTTTGGTTTGCTTGTTTCCTGGTCTCATTTTCATTGTTGGTCTTCCCTCAAGAAAAGGGTGATTGATAAGTATCCTGTCTTTCTTTGGACACATATGATTCAAGTATGGAAGTTTCTACGTAATTCAATAATTGCTGGGGCTAGCTGCTTAATTATATCCATGGGTTCCAGTAATTACGAACAGGTAAAACTTTAGAAGTTATGATTGAAAAATATAATGAACAGAAGAACTATGCCATTTTTATTTGCGGCCAAAGAGTATTTTTTTTTTTGGGGGTTATTGTTGAAAGAGATTCAACTGTGTCAGCATTAGTTTTGTGTATAGCATCAAACTAATTGCTTTTTTTTTTTTTTGGGACCAAAATTGCTTGTGGGAACTTATCCATAATAAGTATGTGCATAGTTACATGAGAACTCTGATACTGCGTGACATGCGAATGATCATTGTTAATTTTGTATTTTCTAGTTATTGAAGCAGCAAACGGATTGCAAGCATGGAAGATCTTGGAAGATCTAACCAGTCAAATAGATCTTGTCTTGACTGAGGTAGCTATGCCTTGCTTATCAGGCATTGGCCTTCTGTCCAAAATTATGGGCCATAAAACGCGGAAAAACATTCCAGTAATTAGTAAGTTTTCGGAGTGTCCATTTTGTTTTAAATGTTTCAATTTTGGTAACTTTGTTTCTCATGACAAGCTGTTTGAAAAAGCTATACTTTTCTATGGCTTCTAATGACGTTGGTCTGCAGTGATGTCATCTCATGACTCTATGGGTTTAGTCTTTAAGTGTTTGTCAAAGGGTGCCGTTGACTTTCTAGTGAAACCTATTCGGAAGAATGAGCTTAAAAACCTATGGCAGCATGTGTGGAGAAGATGTCATAGTGTGAGTGAACTTCATTTTCTTTTTGATCTCATACTTCCTATCTTAAATGCTGCTGAGTACAATTTATGCATTTAAAATTGTAAAAATTAGTGGTCATTTCTGTTGCTTATTCAATGGAGCTATGAAGATTCAATTTTTTTGCCCATCTTGAACCACCAAATTTATTTTTTTCCCATAAATAAGTTTCTGTTCTATATTTACCTTTTTATGTTTTGATATAGTACAGGCTTTCCTACTGTTCATAACAAATCTGAATTGTTTGTTGACCCCCCCCCCCCAAACAGTCAAGTGGTAGTGGAAGTGAAAGTGGCACACAAACTCAGAAATCCATTAAATCAAAGAGTGTTGAGAAGTCTGATAACAACAGTGGCAGCAACGATGAGAAGACAATGGTAGTGTGGGTCTTAATAACGGGGATGGAAGTGACAATGGTAGTGGTACTCAGGTATGACTGTTTCTTCGTTCATTGAATAGGCCTTAAGATTTAACTTGAGTTTCATGGATGTCTTTCTTTTCTTTCAATTGAACAAGTTAGTTGCTTGGGTTTAAAAGTTTATCTATATAGAATGAGTCATTACAATGTAGTTTACTGGTCTCCATTTGTGTGTAACATTTAATTAGATATGCAAGGATCAAGGAGAGAGTATATAATCTATTGCGGCGTTCTCCCTAGGCTGTAATCAGTCCTTAAATTATCAGTTTTGAAACCACCACACCACTAAATAAGACCACTGTGAAAACTCGTGAGTAAGCCAACTAAAGAAATCCCAAAAAAACCCAGATAGACAACACAGGAAGTGTTGTATAAG